GGACGACAATGATGTCGCCTGCCAGACGTGGCACCCATTGAGGGTTGTTGTTGTTGCTGTTGTCGCTGTTGCTGTTGCTGTTTGCTTTTTATGACTTTGGGGGTATTTATTTCACTTGAAACGGTACGCTGAAAGTACACTCAACAAAAGCCATAAAATGCGACAGGACAAGAACGAATTCCTATTCAGCGATTTCTATTCTAAAGCAGACAGATTTATTTTCTAAGAAAAAAGATTTAGAATTCACAGAAAATATTTCGTTAATTTCAAAATCTTTAAGAAAATCTGTAAATTTTGCAACATCAACATTCTTATTACTTTAAAATGGAAGCAGATATATTGTGGAACAAAGAAAGTGTGTTTTAAATAAAAGAAATGTGTGAAACATAATTTCTCAATAATTCCATAAATTGTCCATTGCATAAACCATAAAAATGTTGTTAAAAATGTGTTTTTAGTCCATGAAAAATAAAAAGTGATTCTTTTTCCTTCAGTGTAAGCGCTTGTTTCTGGCTGATGTTTCATTTTTGCTCGCAACTCGCTCACTCGCTCTCTCTCTCTCTCGCTCTCTCTCGCCCTCTCTCTTTGTCTTGCCTGTGCGTTAATGAGTCAACACAAAGGCTCAGCTGTTTGGTTAATGCATGTCCTGTCCCATCTCGCCCAACCCCCACCCACTATCCTTTAGCCAACACTGAGGGTTGCTTGTTGCCAAGCGTTTTGTTGCAATGTCGCCTTTGTCTGCACTCAAAAGTCTTGGCTGTTTGTCCAAATAACCGGCGGTTAAATCTTGCTCAGCTTTAAGCCATTGCTTTAAGCATCGAAGCCAGCTCACCTGTCTAACGGTCTGTCTGTCTAACTGTCCGTTTGACTGTTTGTCTAATTCACTGATTGCTCTTTCAGTTCCCAACTCATCTTGACATTCCATAACTTTCACTGTCAGCCACATTGGCCATTAGCCACGCGGCAAAACTGAAACTGTCAAGCGCATTTGGCAGTTTACCCTCATTTAACGCTAATTAGTTTTCTTCCTTTTTATTTTGGTTTTATTTTTATTTGTATTTTTTTTTTGTTTTTGTATAAATTTCATTGACCTTTCCCCTTAGCTGCGCATCTCACATTGAGTTGTCATAAACTTCCTAGCTGTCTGCAGGGACATTATTGACGACGATGGGTTAATGTGATAAATTCGAAAAGAAAAAATAATACAGTTAAAATAAGAATGTTTCGATTCTCAGATTGGATTTAGTTTTCTATATAGGACAAATACTGTAACTTAAATCAACAAAGTATAATTTATAAATCTTCTGCTGCTTTATTCTTATCAATAAAATGAAAAGTTTTATTGCATTTTGCTACCAAATATTTTACATGTATATTTAACAATTTATACCATTGTAGATGTGTTCGACTGACATCAGCAGAATGAAAGTGTGAGCATTGCTGGAAATTAAGCAAGCATAATCTTCTAATAATAATCATAAAGTGGCATCAACGTCAACGAATCGCCAAGCTGCCCCAAAAGTCTGAGTCTGATTTCTATTTGGGTGGTGGTTACTTATCGGCCACTCCCCGCCGAACAGTAGGAAAAGGAATATGAAATTCGGTCTCAATTTTGTATGGAGGAAAAGGCTCGACTTGCGTAAGTTGAAACTAATTTAATTAAATTTATACGCTCAAAAAAGCTTTGCAGCCGCGGCGCGTGGCAGCGGCAAACAATTTGTGGAGCGTGAGAAAGAGAGAGAGAGAGACGCGCTGTGGAGGGGCGTTGCTAGACTTGCAGCGCTGATTTACGGAACTTTTCTTTGCAGTCGCATATTTTTTGTGCTTCAGCTGAATGTTATAATTAAATTATTTGCACGCAACGTGAGGGATTTTTAAGATTTGTAGAAAAGACAAGTTGAGTCTTGACTTCAACTTTTTGGGGTTGGCTGCTCCCTTTTTGCGCAGTTGATCTGGATGAGTTATGAGATTGTGGAGATTAGATGTTGCATATGCAACATTAACTTTAAAGTAACACTTTAATAAACGAAGTTGCTCATTTTGTTTTGGCCTAAAAACACGATTTCTGGATAACTTTGTCAAAACTGTGGCAGACACTAATTGCGCTGCTATAATAAAAACCGGGCCAAGCAATCAAAATGTGCAACTTCCCATTAACTGACAGGCATATGATTATGTTTCGAGTCTGTAACAAATGAGTCTGCGATGTGCTTCAATTATGTGCCCAGGAAGTCAGGAGCAGGATGTTGGCAGCAGGCAAAACTTTTGCCGTCTGATGAATGCGAAAATATGTTTGTTGGGCGGCAGCATAATGAGGCTGCTTGCTGCTTGCTGCCTGCTGGCTGCTGGCTGTTGGCTGTTGGCTGCTGCCTTCTGTGGCAGCTGCAAGTTAAAGTTTTTTTTGCCTGTGGCCCATCAATCTGGCGGCTTTGTTTTTTGGCCAACGAGTTGAGTTTTGCAGTCAATTGCCGAGTCACTTAGGCAGCTCACATACAAAAGCCTTAATTTTTTGCGTAATTTATTTGCCAAACATTTACTTTTAGCATGCATAAATTTTACCACGGCGTATGCGTAATGTGTAATTTATGTGCGCTAGGTAAAAGGCATAATAAAGTGGCATAGGTCAGCCTGGGGGGCACATACATACTTGTGGCATATACGGCGTATGAGTAATGCACATTTTACGCTTCAATTGGCAAAGCCATTTTCGACTCGCGTTCTCTCTGTATGCTCATACATAATATTAATAAATTGAATGGTATATTTTTCTCTGTGTGTGTGTGTGTGTGTGTGTGTTAGTATGTGTGATATGTAAATGTAACAAAAAAAGAAATGAAAATACTGTTAAGCTTAGGCTTTTGTTGCTGCAGCTGCCGCAAACATGGGCACAACAACACAAATATTGCGCATACGCCATATGCGCCAGAGCTCATGTATTTTTCAAACAATTTCATGGCATCAATTTTGGCATCAGGCATGCAAAACACAGGAAACAACCATTGCACACAAACATATGTACGTTGACGTTGAATTTCAGCTGCATACTGCATTGATTTATTCATGGCCTAAGGGCATTTCAGAGCCCTGAGTTGGGTGGGAGCACAGTTACGTCATTTAATTGTGTATGGACTTTGTGCCTCTATCCAGCCTGGTCAGCCATCTTTGATTTGACCAGGCTGTTATTTAGGGATCTCCTTCTAGTAATTTCTCATAACTGTCCGCACCTGAATATGTGCGATTGTATATATAATTTTCTAATCTTGGCCGTAAGAAACTTTGCAATTTTAATTAATTTCTCTCCAATGTCATTCATTATATTTTAGGGTATCGTCGCTTCGCTTCAGCGCTGACAACAACAAAAAAAAAGGTTCTTCCTTTCTGGCAAATTTCCGAAGAACTGTTCAATCAGCCCTTGCGCTCAGACATTTGAAATTCATGACAGAAAATTTGTACGTGCCAGGAAATGCTAAACAGCCTATTTCTTGGGCCAAAAAACCTGCCACAGCTGCCCACAATTGGCAAAAGCGGCAAAAACAGTAAAAATGCCAGCTCATTGTGTTGGGTGTAGCTGATGTTGTCCTTGTTGTTGTTGTTGTTGCTGTTGCTGTTCTATTTGTTGTTGCTCTTATTGTTGTTGATTCAAATGCAAATATCGCTCGGATGGCTGTGCTAAAGTTTTCGCACGGCAAAAGTTTTTCTTTTTTTTCGCAACGTAGGCTCCTTGGCCCATAGGCAACTTCCGGCCAACTTTAAGCCCCCAATAAGCTTAGGCAACTTAACGGTTTATTGGCATGTTGTTGTTATTTTGTCAGGCAATATCGAAACCGAAACCGAAACTGAATGCTCAATCCGCACATTCAATAGACGCTCATTTTTCAAATCAAGTGAAGTGTGAATGAACGAGCGGGACGGCAAATGCTCAAAGGACCGGCAACAAATTTGCCACGCCAAATGAAATGTCTATAAAAAGTATAGTTACACAGCATAACAAGACCGGCAACCGATTCCAAATCTAGCTCAGTCGCTTTCTTTTGTATACCCTGTAAAATGCATAGAGATGGGATAAAATGGAATGATTAAAATGGTTTGGGTTGTTTGTATCAAGATTAGTTAAAGGTTTTTATGGCTCTGAAAAAAGAAAATTATGTAAATATATAAATATACATATATATATATTCTAGATCTGCCCTTCTAGCAAATCTTGTGAATCTTAGACTCATAATTCGGTTAATACTAGTTAATAAACATTTTCATTGACTTTTGAATACAGAGTATCATCCGAATCGAATACTCTTAGCTATAATAATTTTACTTGTGCTATTTGCATTTTTGCTTGGGTTTTTTCTTTTATATTACTCACCGACTAGTCGTTGTTTGTTCCTTTTGGGCTAAGCACTTAAAATGATTTCCAAGTTTTGAGCTTTGCTTATTTTATTTATTTGTGTTTATTATTTCATTTAAATGTTTTGTAAACATGCATCAAAGCTTAAACTGCTAGTTATAAATTTGTTACGGCTTACATTCGTATGCACATAATTGTGCTTAGTTTAATGTACTATATGTATGTATGTAATATGCATGTATATGTATATATATATGTATATAGAGAATACGATGTATGTATGTATGTAAATTGAATTTGGCTTAGTTATTAATTTCGAAATGAAAATTCTCGTTGTGATTATTGGTTGTGTACTTTTCATTAATTTATAGTTATTTTATGTATATTTTGTGGCTAGCTTAAAATTGTTTAATACGAGTTAAAATATATAAAATTCAACTTAGTAACTAGCATAATCATACATATTCATTGGGGTTAGTTTTTAAAATATTTTTCCAAATACTTTAAAATGCCAAGACTACGGTTATAAATGCTTCAACTGGTTTAAATGCGTTAATATTTGTGGCAGTTTGCTTTTTTATATACATTTTAGCTGCATAGAATATACTACTATGCAGCACCACGTATGTAAATACTTTAGAGAAGATATCAATGCTTATGATTTATACAATTAAAATATATTATTAATCTTAGGTTATAATTAAGTACGCATGTTGAACATGCGTCTAGCATTTAAAAAAATAGCTCAGTACAATGCAAATACTTATATTGATACATTTATCAAACTTAACTTAAGCTATTTAAATACACTAAGACAAATATGTACTACAAATTATATTTGGCGTAGTTAGCAAACTGTTTCTTGTTCTGTTTCAAACGTTTACCAACACTAAGTCAGTCACCAAAGCGCTCACTTCTCAGCACTTTGCATGGCCTTGCTCAGAGCAGCACCCAACTGACTGAATGACGGACGTTCTTTGGGATTGGTCGACCAGCAGGTGAGCTGAATAATGGAGAAAATTAAAGCGAAAATATGAATTAATTAGCTGTCATTGCTTGAGAAATGTAAGGGGGATGGGGCATCATACATACCAAAATCTCCTTGAGGCAGGCTGGCGTCTCCTCGGCCACGGACCATTCCAGTGTATTGTCGAGTGAACGTTGGACCACCAGCTCGTTGCTTAGCTCCTCATGCGGCAGTTTGGTAGCCTGATTGAATAGCTCCCAGACGACGACGCCAAAGGCAAAGATGTCGCTCTTGGTGGTATACTCATCCTCCTGTATGCATTCCGGTGCCAGCCAGCGCACCGGCAGCAACGTATTGCGATGCTTGTGATATTCGCGACTATACTTGTCCTTGCACAATGCCGGATAGGCGACTTTCACAATAAATTCACTGGAGATGACGCAGTTACGAGTGGCAAGGTCTCTGTTTGGAGAATCAGAAAGTTGATAATATGAAGGCTTAATGACTATCATCATTAGTTCTTAGCTTATTGATTAATATGCAACAGGAGAATTTGACTAATGAAAAACTTTCCATAGATAGGAATGATAGATAGCCATAAATAAACTACTTGGTTATGATTAGTTGGTGCTTCAGACTATTTTGGGAACCCCTTCTGCATTCTGGATAATATTTCTAGTTGTTTTTACCTGTGGGTGAAGCGAGCGCGATAGATGGCATCCATTCCCCGGGCTATTTGATAAGCGACGGCAAGCATTTGACTGGTGGTCAGTGGTGGTGGAGAGGATGTGGCTGTGGCGGTGTTAACCTTGCCGGCGGTGGCCAATAAAAATTGCTTGAGATCCCCCCAATCGGTGTACTCCAGCACCAAATAATGCGGATCCTTGTCGCGGCACAGACCATAGAGACGGACAACACCCTTATGCGAGATGGAGCGCAGCAGGTCTAGCTGCCGACGGAACTCCTGGCAAGCCTGCTCATCTTTGACCTTGTTCAGTGCCTTGACTAGAACCAAATGATCCTCCTGCTGTGGCTGTGGCTGTTCCTCCTCCTTGATTTCCTCAATGTCATCCATAGATGTCTTGGAGCGTCGTTTCTCATTTAGTGTGCTTAAGGTGGTGCTTCCGCTGCTACCACTGCCATTCTCACTATTACTGTGCTGCTTCTCAGTGTCGGCATCCTTGTCACTGGGCGACAAGACCGACACCAGGGATGCCTTCAATTTGCCCACAAACACATCGCCAAACTCACCGCGTCCAATTTGAATCAGTTCACTTAAACCGGAGCGTGGCAGCGACAGTTGCTCATAGACACTGGCGGATTTCTTTGAAGCCTTCGATTGCTGACTGCATGCGGTATCATCGGATTTCTGTGGATCACCATTTGCTGCCCGGGATTTGCTGTGGCCATTCCGTTGCGTTTTGGATAGACAGGGTTCCTGTTCATTGTTTTTGCCCGGCTCGGGTTGATCCCCGCCCGCTTCCTTGATGCTCAGCTCATTGAGGCGCGCCTTGCGTGCCTGCCGACGATAGCGACACCACAACATCAATCCAACCACGAGCACTATATAAGCCAAAGCCACCGTCATGGTAATGAGCACGGCACGTGTGACCAGAAAACCATCGCCGGCTGATTCCTCTGTAATGAAACCATCGCTGTTGGTCCGCACCACCAGTTGGACCTCTTCTCGCTTCAGGCCCGCACTGTTGCCAATGGTGCAGCCATATTTGCCCTCATCCTCCACTTGCACATTGCGTATCTCCAAGGTGCCATTCTCCAGAAAGCTGAAACGCTGACGATCCGTATTATTCGCGCTCATATATTGCAAATCTTTATCCCATTGGATCGTCGGCCGGGGATCACCAATTGCCTGGCAATGTATGACAGCGACACCCTGTTCGGCTGTCTCGACGGGTCCCAGGGGCGCCACACTAAACCTGGGAGCAACTACCACATTTATAGAGACAGTGGCATTGATCTGGCCCTGACTATTGCTGGCCAGACACGTATAGTTGCCGCGATGCTCGGCGCTAACATTCCGGAAGATTAGAGTGCCATTGATGTCGTCCACGTTGTCGGGCAGGCTGCTATTCGACGCATCCTGTGATGAGAGATGTAGACAGAAGGTACATTCGACTATTCAAAACCAATTTGAAATAAAAAAAAACCTTGACAATCATTGCTTGCTTTCAGGGGCGTCGTTTGTTTTAGACCCGTAACCAAAATGGTAAAAGAAAAACACGTTGCAAGTTCTTTGTGTACTGCACAGTTGTTCCGGCAAATTGACAAACAGTTGTCAAAATTGGTTTGGTCCTTGCCAAACAGCTGCAAACAACGCGGCAAGAGTGAATATTATAGAGGATTGGAGGATGGGGGTGGGAGTGGTTTGGCTAGCTCGACTCAATCCGGTTTTGCATATGAAAAGCATGTTGAAATAAATGTTTACACAGCATCGCGTTGCGTTTTTCAATTTGTCAGTTGGACATGTTGGACATTGAGATATAGCGATGGGATGTTGATGCAACCGGATTATTGGAGTGGTCTTCAAAATGACTTGTGATGTGAGTGCATATGAATATGCCTAGAATCAAGCATTCTAAACTGAATCCAATTGAAATCTATTCAGCAGTCGTAACTTGATGGAATAATGAATAATCAAATCAGTCTCGAAGCGGAGTTTCCACCTTTAAATGCAGCATTGATCTACAGGTCAAGCAACTTCACAATCAGAACGATTGTGGAAAATGTCGACGCATGCTAAATATGTATTTATTATCTTTCTGCAGATTAACTTAAATTCAGCCAGCCGTTAAATACTCACCCTGAGCCATTGCACCTGCGGCGTTGGGGTGCCTTGTGCTTTACAGTGCAGCTTGCCCTGTTGACCAAGTTCCAGATTCTTTGACGTTGGCTGCGGCGTGAACTTGAGCTGCTCAATCACCTCCAGAGTGCCAGGTGGGGAGTTGACAGCTGCATGTCCTTCCAGCTGTATTTGGCACATATAAATACCAGCATCGCTGGCAATGACACTATTGAAACTGAGTGTGCCATTCTGTTTGTGGAGGACCAAACGTGCATCTTCGCGTAGGAGGGCATCCTTGCCATGGTCCAGGGTCAGGCCAGGTATTAATGGTTCGCCTAGCTCCACATGTCGTAGGATTTTGCCATCCTTTCGCCAACGCAGCTGGACACGTTGATTTTGCAGCTCGGCAGGTAGCTCGTAGAGGCAGCTCAACGCTGCCGCATCGCCCTCTTTAATGGTCAGCTTGGCATTGGGACCCTGCTCGATGCGCAGACCTTCCGGCGATGGGGGCAATGAGAGTGATTGTTCCATGTCGCCAGAGCCGCCACGTTTGCCGCGACACAAGAATACCTGTTTGCCCCAGGACTCGGGCAACTTCTGGTTCTTCTTCAGACGGGGCAGACACTTGGCAACGCCCAGAGCACTCGACTGATACCTATACAAATAGCCCTGTTTGCTCATCACACGTGCCGCCGCATTGGCTGCAGTACAGCGATAGAGTCCATCGTCGGCAGTGCTCGGCTGACGCACCAGGAGGCGATGCTGCTGCAGCTCCACATTCTGCCAGGTGCTCAACTTGGCGCTGTCCCGATACCATTCAATCTGCAGCATCTCATCGCCGGATGCACCCTCCACATGGCACTTGAGCAGCAGCTCGTTCCGATTGCTGCCCAGCAACTGCACGCTGGCCGAGTCCAGATCTATAAGCAGCAGAATATCGCAATCAATGAGTGGTATTGTGGCAATGTGGCATACATACTAATAAAATCAATATTTATAGCTTAAAAAGATTACAACGAGAGTTATCTTTATGCTGCATTAATTCTACATTTTTTATCAGCTTAAACCTAAATTTAACTTAGTTCTGAATCTGTTGAATTTCTGTGGAATCTGTTAGCTCTTGAAAAGTATTATATACTCTTGCTGAATGCTTTATCAAATCTATTTTCTGTCAACTACGAAGGACAACTCGTAACTGAATTGCTATGCATTCCATAAATACGCATAATATATATACATATATACATATAAATATATTTGAAAGAAACATTCGGTTTTAATGCATTTCTTAGCACTTTTTGTTCGTGGCACGCTGCATTAAGTGCATTTTATAGTCAGCCAGCTCAACGGGGCAAAAAACACAGTGTTGCAATCTTTGTCTTTATCGCCGCTGCCTGGCATCCCATTTAAGGTGCAGAGGATGCATAAATTGAACTGTCAGTCAGTTCTGTTCTGCTCTGCTCTGCTTTGGGCTCGGACTCCTTGGGACTCGTTACCTCACTTTGGATTTATGTAAATGCTTCGCAGCTTTCTGCATATATGTGTGAAGAGGAGGAAACGTTTTTTTTACTGCGGGTGGGTGGTGGAGAACGAGAAAGGGTCCAACGGTACTTGGCAAACAATTGCAGCATGTGAAAAACAGTTTGTGGCAAAAGACATAAAACGGGGAATGTGAATGTTTCAGGTTGAAATGATGCTTTTGATGGTGCGAGCTACTGGGCGTGGCATAGAAATGCCGTTGCATCTTACACCAGGTACCTATTTAGTACATATACATATACATTCCATACATTATATACATAATCACATTGAGCGAAGAGATTGCATCTACAAGACACCATTGTATTTGACCCTGGTCTGAGCAAATTATCTACGATCAACGTTTTTAATGTCTGCAAATAACATTTTGTATCATAATCTTTAACTCTCAGATACTTTTGTATTTGGCTATGAATACAATGCAAATATTCTTTTGTTTAATTTCTGTATCTACTTGATACTTTCGTATCTAATACACTTGGGCAGCAAAATGCTATCTCTAAGATTGCTGACATCTCTTTTGTGTATACCCTATTTCTTCTCTCTTGGACATATTTATGTTTTAATGCATGTAATATACATTCATAGATATATATATATATATAAAGTTGTAGTTCGAAATAGTTAGTCTATAAATATAATCGCATAGTAAACTTAATCTGCATAGTTGTTGTTGCTGTTGTTATTTTGGATATCCATTAGATACATATTTGTGTGCGCCTATCTAAGTGCCAATTAGTTCACTCTACTGTCATTTTGCTCGTAACATATACGAAAAGTTATTGTTGCTGGGCCAAGTCAGAAGTATCTGTCAGTGTGTCGGTGTCAGCGGACGTGCCACAGCACACAGATACACACACACACACACACATACACGCAAATGAAGCAAAAACAAATAGAAATACAAATACATTTAAAACTTTTGACACTTCCTCGACAGAGACGAAGTCGGAGACGACACAGCGCTGTTTATTGAGTTGTTGCTGTCGTTGCATGTTTTGCTTGTTGTTGTTTTGCTGTTTGTTTTTTCTATGCCACCAAATAAGTATCTACAAATATTTAGAAGCATTTCTCCCATCCTGCAGTCGTACGCTGAGACAAACAAAGTCGAAGCCTAAACAAGATTTATGTGCATATGTAAATTTTCTAACGCGCCCAGCCAAACCGCAGGCAAACACAAAGTATGGAAGTTTGGAGACCCAGACCCAGACCTGGACCCGGACCCGGACCCAGTCCCGCAACTAGAGCCAGAGCCCACAACCAGATTCACAGTTGGAGCTGGAAGTGGCAGACATTCGAGGCAAAAGCAAAATATCCATAAAACATACATCAACCATTTGGTGGCGGGCAGGTTCATTTTGCTTTGGAACATAAAAAAATATTTGTTTAGATAAAAATATATCTGTTTTATAAAAATTATGACAAAGTCGTAAGGAAGAGATAAAATTGAAGAAACATCACAAACGTAATTTAAATTTAAAGTGTTTTCCATACATAAATGTTTGAATTGTGTAAATATATGAAATTAATAAATTAATTATTAACTACAATTTAAATATTCACAGTAAACAAGTTGTCAATTTTATAATTCAATTCAACAGTCTTAAAACATTATTCAATTTAATATTTGATAATTGAAAACTGAAATAAATTTTATTTATTAAACATAATTTTATATAGATAAAAGTCTGGTTGTTGGTAATCCTCCGAGTCTTAGGTCGACCTCAATGCTGAAGCTGAACTGTAACTCAAGTTAGTAGCCGCTAATTAAGCAGACTCTCATTAAGGTTGATGCATGCAACGTCAGCGGCAACAAGCCGACAGGCACATATCTCTTAACACCTACAACTTAAGCGCTGGAACGCTGAAATAGTGGAAGTAGCTGCGGATGAAGAAGTCGACCATCAGTCACACGTGGCATGCAACGTTGATGAGGAGCACATTCAGACAGGCGGGCAGAGAGCAATGCGAAGTAAACAGAAAAGCAACTGGCAAAGATTACAAAATAAACTAAACTTGGCTAGCAACTAGAGAGAAATGTGTAAAACTAGATGCTAAAGTGGCCAGCAGACATTATCACATTTCAGCTGATTTTCTTAACAAATATTTGAGTGATTCAATAGATGAGTTCCAGTTGGGTGCAACAATAAGTATTTATTTAAATAGTTGTGTCATAAATAAAATTTATAGTTATTATCGCCATCCATTTCCGTAAGTAGACATTGAGAGAACGGCCTTAATAGCTGAAGAAATTGTAATCAATTATGTGTTTACATATCATAGGAATATATAAATCTTTATTTTGCGATTAAAAAATGATATAAAAGTGATAAAAAAATGACATCCGATAAACTGCTATGCTCAACAGCAGGAAGAGTTGCTGCTGTCGCTGTCCTCATCATCATCGTCAGCATTACGTAAATTCAAATTATCTAGGTCGTCAATAATGCCATCCATTAGTTTGGGCTCTTCATACAAAATGTTGCGATTCAGTTTGCACTGCTCGACGATGAATTTGAGACCGTCATTTTTACTGACCGCGGTTGGATTACCGATTAGGATGAGCAACGTCCTGGCACGCGATATCATCGCGTTCACCCGACGTGGATTGGACAGAAAGTGGATGGTCTCGCTTGAAATAACCAGCGATGCAATAATAATAGGCTTTTCACGTCCCTGGTAGGTCTCCACCGTGCCCACATTTACGTTAAACAGGTCCATTTTACGTAGCATATATGTCAAGAGACGGCATTGGCCCAGGTATGGAGTCACGACGCCAATATGCTTCTGCTCAACCGGCACGTCACCAAGTCCACCTTTGAGCAGGGTAGCCACATACCAGCAGAGTACCTGAGCCTCCACCATATTATAGCTACTCGTTGAGTTGGCTTCGGTCTCCATTCTGCCTTTCGTGGCCTGAAACAGAACGGGAAATTTCCCATTTGGTAGAATGCTCCACTTCTCGGCCAGATTGACCTGGTCCATAGGCGCCAGTGGTATTATTTCGTTATTGTAATAGAGCTTATTGTAGAGGCCAACGATCTCTGGATGGGATCGGTAGCTGCGTACCAATCGTGACTGCAGTGTGCGATCATAGTTGCCACTGCTGGTGTCCACCTCGTACAATTTGTGGAGCATCAGGCGTTCCATTAGAGATTGGCCCAGGCCAAGATCGGCCGCTCGCTTGCGCTTGACGACCGCACCCAACTGCTTGTGATCCCCAGATAGTATTACATGGCAATCGATGCTCTTCATGTCCGCAATGGCCAATAGCGTCTCGGGCTCTGAACTTGATCCTGCCTCATCAATGAAAATGTGACTGAACTTGCCTGGATATTCACGAACTCGCATGCTAGCTGTGCACAGCGTGGTCACAATTATTCCATAATTTTCCAACTTAACGCACTGCACGGCTGATTGATTATTTTTGAATCGATTACGTTGTGCCAAGTAGTTCGAGAATTTCAACACCGACGGATTCATCTGCTTTGCGGCTTTCCTGAGTCTAGTGTACGAGACCAAGCGCATGAGCACATGCGTCAGGCCGTTGGGAAGCTGAAGAAATCTGTTATCCTTCTCAATACACTCGATAATCTTCAATGCGATAGTGTCGCAGGCGGAATTCGAGTTCGCTGTCACAAGGATATGGCAACCCTTCTGAATGTACAGCTGAAGTATGGCCTCCACAATTGTTGTCGTCTTGCCGCAGCCTGTGCATATGGTAAGTGATCGATCGATTAACATTCAATTTTTGGCCAAGCTGAGTCACTCACCTGGCGGTCCAAAGACAATGTAAGGTGCCCGCGGATTGGGACCGGCAACGATCTGCTTTACAGCCAGCAACTGTTCCGGATTAGTCTCAATGGATTTGTTGATCAGTGAAAATGTGGCCAGCTCTCTGGGAACAATCTTCACGACTTTATCCGGAACGGAGGGGAAGAGATAGCGACGCACATGGGGAGATGTATTAAGCACGTTCAGTGCGCGATACATTAGGCGATATGGAATCCGAGGTGAGCGAAACATTACATCGAATTTTTTGTTTCTGAACAACTCATTTGGCGACATTTTGCAAAATCGTTTAAATTGAAACACAACGCCATCTTTATTTTTGCGTTTGACAATTTGGTTTGATATGTTTATGCTGGTGATTTCTGCAATTATGCTGCTCGATGGCAGTCGCATTAGTTGGTTCTTGGCCGCTGCCGTAACCGGCAAAGTACCCTCGGGCAAGAGCACGATATCGTCGAGATGCGTTACCAACATTCTGGCATTAATATTTTTGGGCAACGCAACGCGAAATTTGCCCAACTTGGTCTCACCAATTTGCACACTAGATTGAGCGAGCTGAGAATAGAGGTGGATTGTTGATATATCCTCGATGGACAGGAGCGTTGTTAGTACGGAGCAGACATTGTCACAGCTCAATTGCCGCGTCTCCAAATAATTGCTGAAGATTGGATCGTTCTCTCCTAGACTGGCATCATTGAATTTCAGATCCAGTGCTTGCCACATCTTTGCACTGGGCTCGTATAGTGATACGGTCCTCATTTTTATAGTCGCACAAAGTCACAAATTGTTCAAAATAATCAAAAGCAGCAGCTCCGCTTTTAAAATACAGACTTGCTCTGTTCGTGATCAACTCACAACTAAAATGACGAATCATTTGATGGGAATCACAAAAATATAAAGTGCGCAGAAAAGCATTGCCAGCGAATTGCTGTTGGATACATACATACATAGGCGAGATAGGGGAGACAAGCCGAGCGACTTTACATAATACACACATTTGCGGTTATCTACATACATATAACAAACATTTGAGAGATTAGCGATATAACGTATTATGAGAACAACGTAAGGAACTGATAATCTTTTGTAGCTGGTTTGTGGATCAAACTGGACTGGATCAAACAAATAATAAATTTACGCTCGATATTTATCAAAAGTACGTTGTAAATGCTTCAGTTCAAAGATTTGCGAAAATGCCCTACACATACATATACACAAGTATATGCATTTAATTACATGTGTGACGAGCTTATTTTAATATAGAATTGAGAGACAATGACAAAAGTGAAGATATTGTGGGGGTTCACTATGCACAACTATGTTTAACAGATGAAATGATCATTAGTAATATTAAGAAAAAATACAAAGAATAAATTAAACGTTTCAAAATATCGTCACAAAAAATCTCATAAGCAAGTTTATTCGATTTACTCATTCAGCACAAACTGCATTTTAATTGTTTGACCAACACATGCATGCAAAGATGAGCAAAATGTTCGCTCTCTTTTTAGACATGGCTGCTTTGTTTCGTGCTAAGTTGAGCTGCATTCATCGCGTATATTTATCGATATATGTATATCGATGCATCGTGTACATTTGTGGATTCGCGAATTTACAGTTGTTTTTTTTATTTACATTAAGAAAACAATGATAAGCCATTAATTCGATGTAACCTTTAGCTCAACGCACAGTTGAAGCGTACATTGTCCTAACTAAGAAGTGTCTCATTAAAGTTGATGTATGCAACGTCAGCAACAATCCGATGCGCATATCTTTTAACACCTACACATAACGCGCTGAAACGGCAGTTTGAGGGGGAGATGGTGCATGGGTAGAAGTCGACCATCAGTCACACGTTGCATGTACGGCTAAAGGGGGAGAAAGGGATGGCGGCGAAGTAAACATAAAAGAAACAGCCAACGGCTGCAAAGCAAAATAAATTTCTAAAAACTTTGCTGGAAACTGGAAACGGGCTGAGCATAAACCACAGCCGTTGTAAACAATTGCCTGGACTCGAGGGGCTGGCAGCCATAAAAATAAATAGAAGAAGAATATAAGAAAGGTGCAGTAAACTCGCTTTGGGTAAACAAAGTGGAAGTAAATGTCGAAAGGCAGGCAGCAAAATTATAGAAATTGACAGTCCGTTTGTCCGGCAAGAGGAGTGCGATGGCTTGGAAGGGGGTGGCAAAAGTTCACCGCTATCGCTGTCACATAAAGCCCTAAAGTCTTGGCCCCTTATTGGTCCACAAAATATCGTAAGTGTGCCGACTGCGTCTTATTTTGTCAAAGGCAACGTTTGACGATAAGATACGCAGCACTGCATTGGATGCACAATTTGGTTGCTGTTGTTGTTGTTGTTGTTATTGTTGTTTTATTGACTTTTATGAAAATATAATTAATTGATAATCAAAAATTGATTATGTTACGGGCAGACGGCTCAAGTGGAAATATTTCAGCGCTATCATAACTTGAGTTAACTATCACCACAATATGAATGAGAGCGAAAGAGTCACTGATGGCACCCATAGAAATGGTTACAAAAGTTGCTTAGAGTATTTGTAACCCTCACTCCCTGGCTGTTGGGCCACTTAAGCAGCTTATTTTGACCTATTTTCATTTGTGTTTTGTTGCCTTTAAATTGGCAAATAATGAATTTAATCTTATGCCATGTTAAGGTGCAGTACATGGTGTAATTAAATAAGCGCGAACTAAACCCATACATTTTCGGGATATGTTAATTTTAAAGACTACACCCAGTTGTTGATGACTAACTGACAGACCCACTAAATTATGCAACATAAAAAGAACGCATCTGTCGGACACATGCTGACTGCTATAAACAGTAATGTGCGATTATTTAACGATATCGAATTGATTATTAATCGATGCATCAATTTTTATTCAAGAATATTTGCGCAAACATTGGACTCCTGTCCCATTCATAATTTCTTGTTTTATACAACTAAATAAGTGTATTAAACAGTTTTTCTTGCGCAAAGTATGGCAATTCAAATACTTATTCAATTTTTATTTTATTGTGTAGAACTTCAAAAGATATATGTATGTAAAACCATTTTATTTAATAAGATTATTGATAAGAAGCAAAGAGAAAAAAATTGATTGTGCAATTGAAGCTGAATTTAAGTTCCATTCAGAAGCTTTTAATGCCATTTATTTTGCCATTGTTCTGACTTGCAATTTCTACGGTTAAATTTATGACCAACTGACCATAGCTGGCATCAGACATAAGCCCTGTAGCTCTGTAGACAGTGTGCTATCTTTGCCGGCACATCTTTAATTAAAGTTGACCGCTCCAAACGCCCTGAATCCCCCGACTGCTCCTTGGTTTTCAAATTAAAATGTTAAACATTCGATTATCGCACATTGTCTGAGTCCGGGCAATGCTTTCTCCGTTAAATTTCTCGACCCACTCAATTGCTGAAACTTTGCTTGCTAATGATCAACTCAAGCTCAACTGTAAGCAGGGGGTCCAAGTCAAACCAGTTAGAATGTTCAAGTCGGGCGGGATCGAGCAGAAAATGCCCTGTAGCCAGAAATAGTCACAAACATGGTTCTGGCATATGACATAAATGTATAGAATATATTTCTAATTGTGGAAAAATTCAAGTTTTTTTTTTTTGAGAGAGAGAATTTTGATTTTGAGAAACTCAGCCTTATATGCAATTTTATAAATATGTTATACCCGTTTTTATGCACCAAACTTGTACAGGGTGTCATTAATAGACCAGAGAGAAAGTGTGTGTGTGTGTGTGTGTGTGTGAGAGAGAGATAATGACAGAATCAGAGAGAGGGCGGCAGGGAAACGCGCCAAAAAGCTGACTACAGTTTGTGTCTGAGTCGCTTTAATGTTTTCGAGCTTGGGCTCGTAAAATTTTATGCGTTTTTTCCGGCATTCAGCAAATGAAAATTATCCGCCTGGCCCCCGAAATACTATGTAAGAGACCAACTCTGCCAACTGCAGTCAACTTGAACTTGTGTACAGCAACAGCAACAGCAACAGCAACACCAACAGCAACATATGAATCAGGGGGTGTTGTTGTTGGCTTGTCTGAGGGTTGATTTTGTCCTCGACTTCTCGCATTCGCCCCCTTTTTGTGTCGTCGTGTCTTTGCATTTTGTTTGGTTTTTATGACTTTGGCTGGCTGTTGGGTTGCCATTGTTGTTGTTGTTGTTGCTGCTGTTGCTGCTGTTGCTGTTGCCATTTCTCATTTTATGTTTATGTTTCGTGTTAATGTTGCATTTCATTTCCATGTACATTTCAGAATGCCCGCTGCCTTGGGTTACCGTTTCGCCACCCCCGCCCTCTCATCCAACCACACATATACATATAACCCCCCTTCATTTGTATATATATATGTATATTTTTTTTTAAATTCAACTGCGTCGCCATGAGACATACATAACTCAGCTTAGCTCAACTCAGCTGTTGGTTCGTGCTTTATCCTTGGGTTATCCTTGCACCAGAGAGTCCAACAACCCCTTTGCACTGCTCTGCAATGTTTCGAACTGTCGTCTCTCTGACTGTCGTGTCTGTCGTTTGTCTGACTAGGCTGCTAGTTGTCTGGCTCTGGTCTAGTCTGGTCTATGTTTCTGTTTTTATTCCGTTTGTTTCCTTCTTTTTGTCTACCCGAATCAGTTAGCTGGCATTTGTTCAATGCTCTCTGCGATGAAGCAAGTTTGGCATTGTTGTCCTGAAAATGCATTCGGCAGCTCAATATTGTTGTTGTTTTTGCTATGCCATAAACAAATGGAATTCATTGGAGTCGAATATGACACTTTGAATATTTTATCTATGGCAAAAACAAAACAACAATTTTTAGAATAATCAAAACGTTGAATAGAAAACTTGGATTGTAAACAGAATATTTCGTGCATATATTGAATATCATCAGGGTATGTCGCCGTCGTTCATAATTCATCATTATGCTCATAAATTGTTGCCATTCAATGTTTAATTTGTTAAATGTTGCAAGCAAAATGTCAGTTTTGTTGCGCTTAATTGAACATTTGTTTCCAGATTGCTACTCTGTCTGATGGGCATAATCTGAGCACACAGACTACCCTTATTACTCGTTCCGAGTGTGCGACTCCATGCCCATTTCAATAGTTATTGCGTGGAAGAGTTGGGGGCATCGATAACCCACTTAGCCTCTGGCCATTCAGTTGGCGCCACTGCCAATATATCCCATTCTCGTTCCCCCAACAAACGCCATTCTCCTTTCGATAATACTTCACTCTCGCTTCGAGGCATTTAGCGACCTTTCAACAGTGCTCGAGCTGGTACACAGCCAGCAGCAATTAAAATCAACTCCCCAAAAACTACAAATTAATTAGTTAATTAATTAGCTAAAACACTTGAGTGCAGCGCGTGAGATGCTATAAATAGTTGCAGTCTTTGATGGTGTTCAGCGGCTTTGATCAGCTGCCAGGCGGTGCTGACAGGCAGTGAAACAAATACAACAACTACAACAACTTCAATTCCAGCTGCAACACATGCAGCGCAGATTGTGCATAAAACTTACACGCACGCTTTGTTTACATGCCCGAGCAATGAGAGGGGGGAAGAGGGGGAGGGAGGTTGCGGGGCAACGACTGTTTGTTAAATTTATGCATTTTTCTGCTTAAAGGCAAATGCAACTAAATGAACATCAATCACACGACGCCGACGAAGACGATGACGATGACGTTGGGCGAAGCAGCAGCAAATACAAATGCACGCTTGAAGATACCTTTTAAAAATTATAGTTTCTATCTAGCTGTAAATCGAGATTTATCGATATGCTTAATCTGGATGAGGTATCAGGTATCTAAACACCAAATTTCATAAAGACTGACAGACAGTTGCACAACTTCATAAGACCCATTTCACACCATGTTAATGACTACAGGGTGTAACACAATATGTAATTGCAAATCGATATTTATCGATATGCATATTCTGTGTGAGGTATCACAAAACTATATAGAGACTGACAGACAGTTGTTGCACAACTTCATAATACCCATTTCACACCATTTTAATGACTATAGGGTATAAAAAAAACAACTGCAACTACAACTGTAACTGCAACTGAAACTGCACTTGCCACTTGGATGCATGTAGTTTCTTCTTAACTCTTTCTCTTAGTATGTTTGCTCTGTGTGTCTTCTTGTTTTGGGCCACGCTACGTTGCCTGGGTAAATGCATTGCACTGCACTTCCTGTGCAACAACCAGATATCTAGCAGGGAGAGGGGAAGGGAGTGTGGTGTGCGTGACGTATGTACATCAAAAGTTTTGGTTTTTATCTATCATCAGTGTTGTTGCTGTCGTTGTTGTTCTTCCCGCTTCAGCGTTGAGTTTTTATGCCTCTTTACCTACGGCTGCTTGTGGTTTTGACCAAGCGGAAAGGGAAGCCACAGCCCAGATAAAGGGAGAAGGAGGAGAGATGGTGAGGAGGGGCGGTTAGTGTGGGGTTTGGATAGGAGTAGCATTTCTACATTAATCAAATTAATTTGCTGCATACGTGTGGTATTCTCATGTTGATATACAAGTTTAAGGTGGGAATGAAAATGTACAGAATTTTTTTTTTTATTTTGTAAATGCTAAAAAAATCTTGATATTTATATACATAGACATATATATTTTAGGCATAATTATTTTGGATATAACTGGTACTTATGTGTATCAGCTGTGCCAGTTAATGCATTCTGATGTTCTCTATAAAATCAGAGGCAACACTTTACGGCTTTGGCCATAATCACAGTAATTGTATTTAAAGTTTGGAGGGGAACTTACATATTACGCTCAATTTAGCTGGCGGGGACGCCTGCCTGGCGCCGCTGGTCACACTGGCTGCAATACACACATAATCGCCGGCATCCTCGCGCCTCACGGAGTCGATATGCAAATTGGAGCCGATTTGTGCGACACGCTTGTCATACACAATTTGTTGACCTGCAATGGCATTGAATGGACATTGTAGCCTTAGCAAGAAAAGTTGGCAATGCCAACTCTCACACCTCGCTGACTGCTGTCTACACTTACCATTGTGCAACCAGTCGTAGTGGAAATCGCTGGAGGGTCCCGTTGCCTCACAGCTGAAGTCAACGGCATCGTTCTCGATGATCGTTTGACTCTGCGGCGGTTGAATGAATCGCGAAGAGCCGGCCAAGCTGGGTGCTATTACAGAAAAGAGAAGCGGAAGTTGAAAATGGAAAATGGATTAGTGTTTGCCGGCATCGTATATTACTTATTGTATATATCATCAACAATTTAATATAATTAACAAAAATTGCATTTACCATAATTGCGTTTAATTAAAGTGTTTTAGGCAAATTAAATGCGCTTAAGCGGCTTAAATTACAGTGTTTAAGCTAAATGCAATTTTGTTAAGAGTCAAAAGCAACAACAAAAAATTACATAGCATAAACCCAGGACGAGTTGCGTGTCGACAAAGCATCAGCAACAACAGCAACTAATTTTACGTAAAATATGTGTTTTAAAACATGTGTAACACATGTAAGGACACTTCAAATATGACGAACATTTAATACCCTTTGGAGCATGTTTAATATATGGAAATTCCATTACAAATCCGCTACTTAAATGCTAATAAAGCTAAAAGACTCGCGAGAGAAAATACACAAACCAACAAGGGCCTTTCTATGTTGCTGCATTGAGCCAACATAATTAAAAGCCAGAGCCATGAAAAAATGCATGCATAAAATAACTGAATATATTAATGCAATCAGCCAGCCACGAATGCAATTTATGGCTCATAGAATTTATGTTTGGCTAAGTGTGAACATAATGAAAAACATGATCAAATGAGAATTATAATTGCATTGCTAAAGTGGCAAATTAATAACTAATATACCCTATTTGGATTCTACTCCGTTTTCCTGAAAATGGGTAGAACGACAAGAAACAGAATTTGGTTGGTCCTAAATTTGCTAATTGAGATCGGTTGGTGAATAATCCTTTACTGGCAGGAGCAGAAGAAATATTCGGGAATCTCATATTTTTTCTCCTCTTTTGCAACTTTTCTAGAAGTCTATAAATCATAACTTAGGAATATATATCATTTCCTTTGCGATTCTTCGGATTATCTAGAATTGTTTTGTAACTTTACTTTTAGCTCTTTGCGGTTAATGTTAAAAGATTACCATTAAGGCAATTGCTATTAGGCGCCACCTTAACCAAGACCTTGCCAAAATCAGACACACAGAAGGACTTACACACACACATATATATATAGATACAGGCACACACACATATATATATGCAGGCACACACATATTTAGTGGTTTTACCTGCCAGCAAAGGGAGAACAAAGTAAAAGGCAAGTTGCCAAAGCAATTCAGCTGCGATTATTTTCAATTGTAGTACGAGCCGTGTGCATTTCTCGCCTGTCGAGCGGCAAGACCAACTACAAAACGGAGACCATTATATTTTGGCACTAATTGAAGCAATTTAGGAAAACACCTCGAAGAGGGAGCAACAGCAGCAGCAGCAGCAACAGCAACAGCAACGGCAACAACAACAACAGCTCCAACTCGGGGCGAGGCAGGACACGGAATCAATAAGCAGCCAGCAACATCATTAAACTCATTTGGTTTTGTTCGCATTGTTGTTGCTGTTGGCTTTTTTGGGCTAAGGAAACAACTGCAAATCATATGCCAGTCACACAGCCAGCGACGTGTTATGATACAACCACAAAGATGGAGCCACAAAGTCAACCACAAAGGCTGTCAGGCAGGCGCTTCAGTTGAGTTGAGTCTCCCTATCAGCCCCAGCCAGTCAGCCAGCCAGCCAAGCAGAATCGATTTAATTTGCTGGTGCTGCTGTTGCTGTTGGTGCTGCTGTTGCTGCTGCTGCAACCAGTTTCCTTCACTGTTCGAGAAGTCAGTTACTGGGCGTCGATTAAAGAAATATGCGCCCCCGGTGCCGCTGCTTTCGATATATGGATTGGGCTTCGTCTTGATTGCGCTGACGTTGGCAAAAAGTCGTGAATTCAAGAGAGAGGAAAGAAAAAAAAAGTGTTGATACGGCGGATGAAGAGCACAAAGCAGCGGGCAGTCCGACAGCCTTCATGCTGCACTCAGAAAAATAAGTGCAGACGATTTCAGAAGAATGGGACGAACAAAAGTTTCGAAAAATGTTTAAAACAGATTACTTCTTTCAGAAAGATGTTGATGACAAGTGAAATTCAAAAAAGATATTTCTGATTGAAGAATACAACTTTCTATATATACGAGTATATATATATTGTTTTGAGTGTAGCCTATCTGGCTGTCTATCTCTGACAATCTCAGTGTTTGTGTGTGTCAGATAATTAGTTCGTTTGTTTGCGCTACATTCGAGTGTCCGAATATCGAAATCAGCGAGTCAGCGACCAACTGCTGAGGCTGCCACAAATTGTGCGGCAGCATTTGTCGATTAAGCGCAATGAATGCGAAAATATCGTTGTAATAATCAGGAGGAGTCCAGCAGCGGTCCATTGGTGCCCCATGTGGCACAGTCAGCACTTGAAGTAGCCCCTTGATGAGTGCTGCTGCTGCTGCTGCCTATTATTGTTATTGGAGGCTGTTCGCTTCCCCCTTGGGTGGCGTTTTGATTTGCTAAAGAAGGAAACAACAACAGCAACAAAAAAAGAAAAGAAAAAAAGAAACCAAAAGGCCGAGAAAAAAAGAAGAGAAAAGAAAACTGAAATGTCACTCAAGAATTTCTGGCATCTTTACAGTCAACATTGTGGAACCTTTGGAAAACTGCAAGTCAACATGGGAAAGGCATTTAAGCAGCAAAAACATTCGAATAGACAGGGACGGCACAAGAATAGAAAGAGCGACAGAGACAGAGACAGTGAGAGAGAAAGAGAAATGTGAATGGGAAGCTTGAAATGAATGTGCATGACAATTACCCGTCAAAAGTTTGATGTAGGACTTACAACAAGCCAAAAAGGAACAACGAATCAAAGTTAACTGAAATGAAATACCATAACACAGACAAAGAGAGTTGAAAAAGGCTAAATAGAAGGATGTCCATTTGTTCAGCTTTCACTTTTTTTTATAACTGCTTCTCTGAGTACTCTGTAGCAATCACAAATGGTTTAGTTAAGTGCACCAAACTGTAGAGCTATCTTGGCCAAACTTGGCCATAGATTCTTAATCTGTCAATATATCTATGAAAACTAATTTCTATTCAACTTTTTATTCCGAATATGTTCTTTAGGCAATTCAGATCCGATTATGGGGTAGCTTTTAAAATATCACTCTCGATTCGAGCATTGAAAAATGTGTCATAATTGAAATGATGTATTTTATGAGTCTCTTAGGTCTCTATCAGAAATTTATATGCTCTAAGACCTTGACCTTTGTATCTTTTTCCGTTGGCTGGAATACAAGGCTGAGTCCATTTAATCCAAAAGGGAACAAAACATATTATAGTTAATAATAAGAAGGCTAAATGTAAAGAATACACAATTCTGTATTTTATGCGCCAAACCTCAACGAAATAAAAAAATCTTTCACTCACAACATCTGCTATATTAACATATAATGGCAAACTTTTTACGGCCGTTGAGAACATTTCAGAATTGTGAAGCACATTCAAGCAGAGTTGGCCCATCTAATCTGAACAGAGCGAGAAACAATGCAACGTGTGAGGGACCCTAGAGGTTGGCAAATACACGTCTAATTCATGCAATTATGAGTGCCTCAACATGAACTTTAAGTTTGCCATTATATTGCTTTGAAAAGGGGCAAAATTTTATGGGTTGCATATTCATGCGCATATATGAATATAGTTGCTGCCTCATGTCAGCTGCCTTGCCGAGTCCAGATCTCTCTCTCTTTTTATGTGTGTGTGTGGGTTGCCCTGGCATGGCATGTTGCATGCAGCATTTTGCATGCTTGAATAACAAATTATGAGTGCCACACAAAAGACTCACTACAAAAACAGAATGGATGGCCGAGAAAGGGGGAGACAGAGACAGAGACAGAGAGAGTGAGAAAGAGACCGCCTTACTATTTGCCATACAAATAATGGACGTTGAATGTTGCACAGATTTGAAATGTGCACCGTGCCACAGGCAACAACAGCGAGTCTCCGCCGACTCCGACTCCGTCTCCAGCACCGATTCTGGTTCTGGGCTCCGGTTGCCTTTTGTCTGCGGCTGTTTGCCTTTGTGCTACTTAACAGTCAGCAGTTTTGCAGCGTGTCCTGTCAAACACAAAAGCACACACATCTACACATTCATATGCCTACACTGAGACGAAAATATGATTTACAATGCAATTCGCTCAGAGCTCAGAACATATTTTTCAACATTTTCGTAAGAAAGTTAAGATTGTGGAAAAACGAAAACCTTTTTTTTTTTGAATTGTGGAGTGTTTTTTTTTATTTATATTTTAAAAAGTCATTTATTTTGCCGAGTGTATGCATATGTAGTTGTCTGTCTGGAGTTTTGCATAATTGCGTGTGCCTCTGCGCTCGGCTGGCGGCTCGGATTCCTTTTTGGGAAATCTCAAAGCGTCAACTCCATTTGATTAGCTGAATTTTCGGCGTCGCTTGTCTCACTTCAAGTGCCAAAAAAGATCCTTTTTGCCTGCACTCCTGCCTGCCTGGCATATCCTGTAGCTGTATTATTTTTTTTGTGTGTGTTTGTGCCTGGCATTGTTTGCTTTTCTTTTTGGTTGTTATTTGCCTAACGACTTTATTTTGAACTTGGCCGCTCATAATTTTTCATAGCCTGCCAGGCTATGCCAGCTACTGTCCACGTCCTTTTTGTCCCGGTGTGTGTGTGTGTGTGTGTGTGTATGTGTGTGTTGCTCTGTATAATCTTGGCCAACTCTCCCGCTGCTGTTGTGCATTAGTTTTGCTAGCTCTGTGGTCTCGTTTACAATTGCAGCCCACCCGGCATGCCTGTTAATTGACTCATTTTGCGCGCCGTTTGCTTTTCAAATTCAATTGCGCCGCTTCTTGGTTTAGTTTTGCTGTAATTCGAGCTGAGTGCGGTTGGTTGCCCCTTTGTGAAGCCAAACCTTCCAGTGTACATACAATTTGCACAATGTGCACCTCTACTTGGCTTAAGAATGGAGTGGAAACAGAGTCGACTTATTACGCTAGGCGGCTTTGCATTGATGCCAGCTTAGTTTCGAGTAGTTCCCTCAAGGAAATGTATGACAGGTATGCCAAAGGTTCTGTGTATGTCGAGTTGCTTGTGAACCACTTACAAGAACAGTGCTGTGCATAGTAAGTAGCCGAGTAGCATAAGTAGTTGTATTGATTTTTAATGGGTTCTTGGGAAATGGAGTGTGTACTTTATATATTTCTGAAGAGGTGCGTTTTCTACAACAACAACGAAAACCAAATGTGTTTAAAGGCTTCATTTTGATGTATCAATAAAGCCGTCGTGTTGGGATTTGTTAGGCAAGAAATGAAAAAATGGTTTGGAATTAGTAGATCTGTGAATCTATTTGACAATAAACCAGCAAATATTTTAGCATATATTTAATGACCATCATCATTTTGAATACATTGCTTATTGATTTTCTTTTATCAGACTCACTTAAACTGAATCTGCCTTCTGATCTCTGAGTAAGTTCAGTTTATGTTTTCAAGAGTGGTTTGTGGACACAGTTGGAATTACTTGAACTGAGTTTAAGCACATGAGCTGAATTACTCGCAAATTGAGCTTGAATATTTACTCAATAAACAGAGCCAGAGTCGTTGAAAAGGACAACTCAAGCAGGACAACTCCAACTTCAACCCTTTTAAAATTGAATGAATACATATATATATATATATATATATTATTATTTTGAGTTTCGTTCAAAATTAACTTACCCAATGTGGCGACGTAGGCCAGAGTGAGCAGCAACAACGACATATTCATATCCATTGCTGGTTATCCTCAGTCCTCAGTCCTCAGTTGTCGAAGTGAAGTGGAGTAAAGTATCTCCGGAGTCGGCAGCCGTTCCGAGCGGGCTTATGGGCCAATTAGCAAACTATATGATAACCCACAACACACGACACTCACACGAATGAATCTGCTGCTGACAAACTCTGTTGTTGATGATGTGATACTCGTACTCAAACTCGAAACTCCGTAAACTGCACAGTGCGATATATATATATGTATATGTATATATGTGTGTATCTGTGGATATAGTACTACTCGTAAGTGCAGCCACTCGAAAATGCACTCCACTCAACGCATGTGTAAATATTCAATATTTGGTTGCCAGTTGGACAACGACGACGATGGCGATGATTCCAAACTGTGTGTGGATTTCTGACTGCTGACGGCCTTTTTTTTTCAACACTCTTTTGCCTTTGTATCTCTGGGCGAGAGACAGAGAGAGAGGGGGGAGCGGAGGTGGGTGGTGGGGGTGCGTTTGGGGGTTTGGTATTTACTATAGACACTCAAATTAAATTGGTATTTACATAGTTGGAACGCATGAAATGCATTTATCACTGAAAAACACAACCGGCGACCAAAAGGCAGTAAAAGATACGCCAGACGAACGATTCCACGGCACTTGCTTTTTTTTATAATTGTTGTTGTTGTAGTTGTTGTTGCTTTGGTTGGTTTATGTTTCGTGGTTGCGTTTTTTATCAGCGCCTAGATTGACAAGCGACAAGCTGGCAAGATACTCGCTGCTGACGTCAAATTGTAATGGCAGAGACACCGCCACCGACAAAGGTATCTAGATACATACACACACGAACACACACACACGCACACACATACACACACACAGAGAATGCAATGCCGAAGACGAAGATTGTTTTTGTTGTTGCTGGAATAGTTGTTGTTGTTGTTGTTGCTGCTGCTGGAGTTGGGGTGCAGTTCAATTACCCAGGCTTAAAACCGAACCGTCAACGTAAACGCAAACGCAAACGTAAACGAAGCGCACACAAGGCGAGCGCAACAAATCAACTTAATTTGTATCGCAAAGATACAAAATATATTCAATGCAGCAGCGCATCCTTGGCGTGCCTGCGAATCTCCAACTGCGAACCGGCTTTTATTTTGTAGTTTTACTCTTGATTTTGGTGGGTGCTTTATTTTTCTTTTATTTTTTGCGTTCTTTTTTCTTATTGTTTTTGCGAGCGAGAGTGTGCGAGGGAGAGGGCGAGAGGGGGGTCGCGTAGCAGCCGGCTGATATTAGACAGATGCGTAAGGGCAGCGTCGAAATACGATGAAATTTCAGGAGAACCGCGTGCGTTCGACGTCTGTTTATTACTGAAGATACTCGGCAGTTGGAGTTGTTGTGAGGAACCGGCTTTTTATGCTGCCAAATACTGGGAATGCCTATCTGCTGCTACTTCTCGTCTCACGGGCTCTCTTTATGCGTGTGTGTGCAACCAGTATTTTTGTTTATATGTCGACAGTGTTGCCGTGCGACTGTTTGCTTATACTGGGCGGCGTAAGTTGGGCGCGCAAATTCGTAATTTTTGAAATGAATGAAGTTTAAGGTATTCCTTTTGATGCTATGATTCATATTTATTGATTCTGATTTCACTGCTTACAGCTCCAAAAACTGAACAAATTTTCAAAAGCAATGCATTTTCATAAAGTAAAATAAAAACATTAATTCTACAACCGAAATTAAATCACATCATTTATGTGTGTATCTTTTGTACGGAGTAATTAAAACATAAGCCTCTTAATAAGCAACTCTATCGTGAATTAGTAATTAGTAGACAGCTCAGCGGAATGCAACTGCCGTCAAGTGATTCCTGTGGATTCATGCATAAATCAAAGTCAGCTTTCAAATCAGTGACAAGGAAATGTTTCGCTCTAATCGCTTGTGGACACACAGACAATGCCAAATGAAGTTATCAGCCAAGTCAATAATCAGCGCTTCCTCTCAACAAACATCTTTCATTGCTTTCTGCTGCTACTGTTTCAAATCCCAACCATAATGCGCCTTAATGATTACACTTTAGTGGGTAGAGTTTTTGGGTGGCATATTTCGGGTTTTTATGTGGGCTGCAGGAACTTGGCAAAGCAGGAAGCTTCTCGTCTAAGAACGCTGTTGACTACTCTGTGCGTGGTCTGACCGATTAAATGTGCGTGTGTGTGTGTCTGTGTGTGTGTGTTTTTCATTTTATAGTTTTCCGCTTTTTTTACGATGCCTTTCAACCCCCAAAATACAGAGCAAGGCAAGAGAACGAACCCGAAAACAATTGCAACAGATCCTTTCGACGCGCCGCCTGCCAACCGACTGACACCCAAAAGTCATAAAATGCCGTTGCCATTTATATATATATATATATGTGTATATAGTGTATATATAGTGTATATATATAGAGGGGTGGCATACTCTGGTTATCAAAACCAAAAACGTTGGGCCCGTCGTCAATGCGCTTTTACATTTCGATGCCCAGCGACAGTTATTGATGTCATAAAGTTGGAGATTTATGTCTATTGGGTTTATACGATTTCATTGTTTGAGCGAGCACGAAAACAGGGCGGAGACGATCTATCCGCCAAACAGGCAAATTGTGAAACTAACAATTTATTAAGTGAAATATGTATACGTATTTCAGAATGTGGGTTAGCAAATCAAATATAATGTTTTACAAATATTTTATATAACCCATAAACATATGTCTGTCTATAGCATATGACAGTCAGACAATCAAAGAATTTTCTGATTTTCAGATTGAGATACACATTTTCATTGATTTCCACTTTTATTTAAAAACATCACTTTAAATATTAATAAAAGTTTCTGTTTATAATATATCATCTATATACATATATTATAACTATAAATGTATTCATTAATATCGAAATATTTGCATAAAAGTGAATATATAGAAGTGAATATAAGTTTATAAAATATAGAATTAGAGTTAGACTTCTTCATACCTTGCTTGCAGCACTTAATAAGCCATTTAATTGTCTATCTATAATCTTTAAGCGTCAATCCACGTCTGCGATAGGGCTGTCTAGCATTTCAGAGGAAACAGCATTGCTCTTATCTGGGAGAACCTGGTCGGTCCACTGCCCACCAATTGGCTCGACGACAGTTTCCTCGCAATTGCCACCAATGTCTGCATTTAATCGCTTCATTTTCATTTCCATTTCTATTTCCATTTGCCTGCCTCTGCTCAACTTCAACTTCAATCGTAATTGCCTATTTTTTTTCTCAATTCTTTTTCTTTTTTTTTGGATTTTTTGCCTATATGCATTTTATGCATATTTTATGGTTTTTTATGGTGAGCGCATAAACAAATGCGTTCAAACAGCCACATCAAAGTAAACTACACATGCGCAAGCGAGAAGGACAGGTAGGGAGATGGGGCTGGGGAGAGAGAGAGAGAGAGAGACAGAGAGCGAGAAGCAGCAAGTGCAATTAAACGACCTAAAACACCGCCCAATGCTCCCTACGCCCCTTCCCTTTATCCATTCCTTCGATTGCCTTTGATCTGCGGCGACGCTGGCGACGACATCGACATGCATTAAAACCCGTTGCTGCTGCTCTGCCTGTGCCTCTGCTTTTGTTGTTGCTGTTGTTGTTGTTGCTGTTGGGGCCTCCGCTCTTCCGTATTTCCCTTTTTAATTCCCTCTCTTCTCGCTATCCGTTGTTGTTTATAGTGAGAGAGTTCTCGCAAAGGTTGTTCGGATGTGTTTATTTTGTTTAGTCTACGCAAAGGCCGCCTTACTAAAATTTATTTTAATGCCTTCAAAATGTTTGATGTTTGCAGACAATGGCCATATAGTGTGTATATATATATATATATATATGCATCCATGTCTGTACTATATATACACAAAGTAAGTTGTCGAATTCTCTTGGCCGCGCTTCATAAAATTATACGAGGCGTTGAGTTAAGGTGAGCAGAATTAAGCATATAAGTCTAGGTATTTCCTAGCACGATAAATGTTATTCTCAGTCTAAATTGGAAGCATGAATAATACTTCCTAAGAACTCTATCTACTATTTTGGCCTAAATATTTTATTATCTCTTAACGAAAATCAACTTCAATTGAAAACTTTCTCTAAAATCCCTTTGATTTTTTATTTTAATTCCGTACAACAAAACAAAATTTGTTCAATGATAACAACTTATCGACTCTTCTGATTATATATTTTATCGACTCTTCTGTAAGCTCTTTTTTAAATGATCCCAATCTATATTTTCCACTACTTTGTATAACAGCTTTGCCATCAGATACTTATTCCAGGGAAATATAACAGTTTGCTTTTCTTACAGCATTTTCCATTTGCAACTTTATGGAATTCTCGGTGAGGTGAGTCGGGGTAAATGGTGGGTAGGCGAGTATGGAGGGGTATTGGGGGTATGGGTTTGGAGGTGGGGCTTGTCTTGTACTCGTCACTTGGCACATTTCATTGCTTTGCTTTGGCCCGCCTGCAGTCGACTCATAAAAAGTACATAAAAACAAAAAACTGTTGAGCAATGCCGCATCGTGTGCTTTATTATGCTGCCGATAGAGAGGGGAGGGTGGGGGGAATGGGGCAAGTGGGCAGCGAATAATGTACGGCCGTAAAATAAGTTTGAACGATGGAAGCGGAATTTAACGATAGCATATCCAACTCCAATCAAGAGGCATTCTCTGGTTGCGCTATAAAATGGGGGCTCTATGAGAGCTATAAAATATTTATTCTACTAAAAAACTAACTGTACAATGGATATACAAATATATATATATATATACACACAGAGAGACACGCAGACACATAAATATAAATATAAATATAAATGCTATATATATATATATAAATATATGTAGGTAAATACAAATAGATGTAAATAACAAATTGAATTAACATATACATTTTGAGAGAGGGGCGGACAAAGGCGGCCCTCGGGAGATCATTTTGAATGTGGCAACTGGAGAGAGCAGCACCGAGCATAGTTCCACTCCACACACTAAACAATATCATCGGCCACTTGCGACTCCTGCTCCAGTATTGTGCTCTCGCGCAACTTGCTCTTGAGATTCTTGCTGGAGTTGTTGGCCTCGGTGAGGCAAGGTTCGTGCTCGGCATGATCGTGGTGGTCTCCCTCGTGTCCATCGATGGCCGCCGCATGTGCGCCATCCTCCAGCTGCACCTTGCCCATGTGGCGACGATAGCGATACCAGAGCTTCAGCCCCAACACCAGCACAAAGTACAGGAATGCCAAACAGATGATCACAATGATGATGCGTGTCACAATTGAATTCGATGCGGATTTATTGCTACGCACAACTAGCAGCACCTCCTCCCGCTTCAGCCCGGCACTGCTGCCAATGGTGCAGCCATAGTTGCCCTCATCCTCCGCCTGCACATTCCGTATCTCCAGCGTTCCATTCTCTAGCAGACGAAATCGAGCCGGATCCGTATTGTTCTCGTTGAGATACGTGAGATCCTTGTCCCAACGGATTGTTGGCTTTGGTTCCCCCGTGGCCTGGCAGTGCATCACAGCGATGTCCTCCTCGCTGACCTCAATGGGTCCTACAGGTGGCACACTAAACTTGGGCGCCACAACCACATTGATAGCCACCGTGGCGCTTATCTGTCCCTGGCTATTGCTTGCCACACAGGTGTATTGGCCACGCTGCTCATTGCTCACCCCCCGAAAGATGAGGGTGCCATTGTGATCGCTCACATTCTGTGGCAGTGGCAGCTGCGTCTCCTGTGGCACATATAAAACATATTATTGAGTATTTTTTTTTATTATTGAATTTCACTTTCTTTCAGTGCTCACCCGCATCCATTTGACCTGAGGCGTTGGTGTTCCTTGTGCCTTGCAATGCACTTTGCTCACGCTGCCCAGCTCCAGATTCTTGGACGTTGGCTGCGGCATAAACTTGAGCTGTTCTATGACCTCCAAGCTGCCGCTGCCTGAGCTAACCGGCGACTGGCCCTCGACCAGCAACTGGCATTGATAGACACCCGCATCGCTGGCCAAAACGCTACCAAAGTGCAGCGAACCCGTCTCCTTGTTGAGCGCGATTCGTGCATCCTCGCGCACCATTGTCTCCAATTGGGGTTCGTGGTTGGTGCCACTCACCTGTCCCAGTTCCCATTGACGCAGAGTTTTATTGTCTTTGCGCCAGCGCAGAATGACGCTGTTGCTCTGACGATAAACATCGGGCAGCTGATAGACACAGGGCAGTTCCAATGAGCTCTGCTCCTTAACCGTTGTTAGTCCGTTGGGGCCACGAGTGATGCTGACATCCGTCTGACTACTGGCTGCTGCTGCTGGTTGAGAGTAGTTGTTATTTAATGCAAATACTCCAAAAATGAGCTCAACTCAGTGTTGAGTCATCGTTTGCCATGCTTACCCCGCGCACAGCTAACCCCCCCGCTGCTGAGGAGGATCAGCAGAGCAGAGCAGCTCAAAATGCTGCTGATTTTTATCTCTGATTTCATCTTGAAGAATTCGTTTGTTCTCCTTTTTTTTTTTGATTTTTGCTGTCTGTTTTACCTAATAAAAACCGGCTCGTTTTACTTCTTTTCTTTCCTTGTTCTGTTTTGCGAATTTTTGTAATTGTTTCTTTAGAAATGTTGTGCACAGCTCAACTCGGCTCAGCTTCAGTTCATTTCACTTAATGTGTATTTTTATGTTACGCACACGCGTCACGCTTAATTATCCTGCTGCACACTCCGAGAATACGCCGTATGACGAAAAGATTGCGCACATTTAATCGTACGACAACCAAACGCGTTCGCATTCGAAATTGAACTGACGCCGCAGCGAGCTAATTTAAGGCTGGCAGGCGACACACGAGCCGGTCGACGCATGCGCACTCAGCTGCTCCCAGTATTAACCCAGTATTTCGGTAGTCGCATACTACTATGCGCCTCCGTGCAACACTGCATTGCGTGCGCATCAAAATGTAGTATTTGATTAGTAGTAGAAGTACTTGTCGAGGATATTTGTAAAGTTGGAAGAATTCTTCGAGCCCATTAAGTATATATATATATTCGATATAGCCATATCCATCTGTCTTTTAGTTCGAATATATCTGAGCAGAACTCTCTCAGTTTCAGAAGTATCTGGATGAAACTTGTAATATATCTATATATAACTACAATTTGATTAAATGTAGTAGAATTACAATTTTTATAATTTCTAATTGCTGACAAATATATAACAGTCATAATAAACCTAATTTTAAATATAAGAAAATTAAATAGTTTTTTAGGCCTCTGCGAAATCCAGCTCAGCTATAATTTAAAATACTAGTATTATGCTACAAATGGGATTGACTCATTTGATTGATTGTATTGACAATTGCTCGAGCTAAGGATTAAACAGTCTAAAATTGAGGTATGTTCGATACGCGGCTATAAAGTGTTTGCCGTTTGGCCACTCGGAAGGGACATCTTGTCATCATTTTGTAGACTATCGCACAGCATAGCACAAATAGTCCCCAAAATACATACGTGAAGAGCAGAATAAAGCGATTTGGCTGCCACAGAACCGTATAGCTGAGATTGTAGTTTTCTAAAAAGAGAGTTTCTTTGATCAATTCAACTTTGTTTGAATTGAATACTGTAATTAAATACTCACCTAACACGGCGTAGCCCATGCCTATTTTGGATTTACCCATGCGATACGAGCAGGTTGGCACCATAATCTCCAAATAGCTGTGCTCCTGCTCCTTGAGCGCTTTCAGATCAAAATGCCGCACGGCATTCTCATAGAAATTGATGACTTTCGTGGAGGGATAAATAAATATACGAGATTCATGCCAATGACCCGAGAATATAATGTGTGGATCCAAATCGCTGATAACAGCTCGCAGCAGCGGACCACCGCCGATGAGTAACGGTGCATGGGAGACACCGATGCGAAGTCGATCTGCATTGTGATCCTTGTCGGGATTGCTGAAATCCAGGAGCATGCGATTGATCTTGAAGAAACGTAAATGATTGTCATAGTCAAACAGATCCTCGCTCATGAATTCGTTTTCAAAACGACGCTGATTCGAGTTCGATATATAGTCGCCATTATCGCCACCAATATCATTATCACCTGGCACATGAACACGCTGAAAATAGGCAGAGATCATGCGAAACTACGATGATTAATCGAATAACTCAACGGATACGGGGGCAGATGGCATTGACATACATTCATTAGCCTTTTGTTGTGGTAGATGCGCTTGAAGCGCCGCACATATTGCTTGTACTCCTGAGCGGTAGCTATGTTACCCTCGTCGAGCAGATCTCCCAGGAAAACTATAATGTGTGGCTGCGTAAAGGAGACGGCGCGCTCAAAGGACTTCTGCAGATAACGATCCAAGTCGTAGCGGGCCAGTGGGCTGTGCGACGATCGATCGTAGGAGGTGCCCAAGATCTGCGGATCCGCAATGAGCAGCAGCCGTGTGCAGTTTTCTAAATTTGAAATTGCCAAATATAATTGTATTTATTTTATTTTTATTTAAGGGCACTTACCCAGTTTACAGTCGATTGGGTTCCAGCTGGATTGTGCTACATAATAAATAAGCACTTCATTGAAGAACATGAGCAACAAGGTGAGCACAATAAAGCCACGGCACACAAGTCTGTAAGATATAAGGGTTTTCTTAGAAAAGTATTTTTATATCCTGATCTGCATAGTATATTTCTTACCGATTAACTACGCGCAACGAAGCCATAATCATGCTGAGCGTTTTGGGCTCTTTTTCTCCACGGCGATTGTTTATAAATGTGTCCTAGTTTTTTGTAGTGGCATGGCGCTACATGCTATGATGGTCTATATTTAAAAATGCGAAAATGCAGATTTTACGTAAGTTTCGCTTTCGAAAGTAATGCGGGCGAATTGAAAAGACGATGCTGTTGCATGCACCGCATATAGCTGGTAACTGGCAACTGATTCGCTTGCTGACGGCACGCAGGGAAGACGCTACGGAGGAGACTAATTAAATTAAAGAGCATTAGAGAAGGGCTTTGACTGTTAATTGGTGCAGTAGTAGTAGTACAGATATGTGGCACTTACAACAGCCCAGGCCGGTTGGATACTTTGTTGATTTGCTTGCCACTGGCTGCCATGCGCGCTTCTTCTGGTTGTCATGGGACAGCGTGTCACGATTGGGTCTTTACAAATTTTAAATATACGCAAAGCCGTTAAGGGGTATACTATATCCGCCAAGGGGCGCCTCATTTGAACGCCGCATTATCTACACTCAAAACAAAACAGACCCCACAGATAAGAAATACATTTATATTTGGCAATTTTGTTACTGTTAATGCAGTTGCAGCATGTTAACGCAATTGAGAGTTAACAGCGAGTTGTCAGCGCAAAATGACACACATAATTTTAAATGCAACTCTGCATTTCGTGAAGTTGCCCCTCTGCGTGCATATTTTGCAATCTGGCCACATTGTGTGTGGTAGAGTAATGGCGTGCCATTCCGCACAAATAGTGCGCTGTTGAAATTTTTTCTTGCTGACAACAAACGCTGCCTAATTCACGACGGAAATAATAAGAATAGTGAATAATGACAACTTAAGTGTGAATATATAGTGTTTGTATGGTGCATTTGTCGTTAAAGCCAATCGTGTTTGTGTTTTAACAGTTCGGCCTCAACTGATAGAGTTTGGCAAATTTTTTTTTGTACCGCTGGCTGCTGCTCCTATATTGTGAAAAGTAAGACCAGCTCTGCTTAAAATTTGCAGCTGCACAACGAATCTAATTTGCATGAAAAACTATACAAAAAAAAATGCTATGCACTGTGTGGCCTGCAAACAACATTTTGGTGTGGCATTTTCGTATGAAAATTGGCGAAAAAACGGGCATTATTTGTGTCTCGAGTTGTTAGTAGTTTGATTGTGTGTGTGCATGCGTGTGTGTGTGTATTTTTGTGTTCATCAGTATGTGTGCGTGTGGCTTGGCAATGCTGCCGCCCGCTGTAATCGTTGATTTGGCAATGCTGCCGTGCTGCTTTGGCGCTGCAGTGTGCGTTGATTTTTTTTTGAGGGTCACGCTTGTTTTTGTTTTTGTCTCTTTTTTAGTATTAACATGTCTTTGCTGTTATTTACATGAAATGCTATCGTCTTGTTTTATAATTATGTTATTGTGCTCTCATTGTTTACCTTTACAGTTACAGCATATTGTCGTCTAAAGAGAGGAGAGGAGTACGGAAAGTGTGCAAAGCGGAAGAGTGAAAAGAGAGATTTTTAGCAGCTGCCAACAAATGGCGGACATTGTTTATCCCAACGGCTGTCGGCCGTTGGTTGAGGATCTGGGCACCGATGAACTTATACGCCGTCTCAAGGTTTTCATTAATCTACTCGTCCAATCTTGACTATTTATTTAATGCAGCGGCAATTTCCTTGCAGACTTTGGCAAATGTGCTGCAGACCATGGACCAGGATGATAATCTGCATCAGCAGTATATACCGCTGGCACTGCATCTGCTGGACGATTTCTTTATGCAGCATCAGTCGCGAGATGTTCAATTGCTGATTGCCTGCTGCATAGCGGATGTGTTGCGTGTCTATGCGCCCGAAGCGCCGTACAAGGAGCAAGATCAGATTAAGGCGATCTTCAAGTTTTTCATCAAACAACTCCATGGTCTAAAGGATCCGCGTGATCCCTCGTTCAAGCGGTACTTCTACTTGCTGGAAAATCTTGCCTTTGTCAAATCATTCAATATGTGTTTCGAACTGGAGGATTGTCAGGAGATATTTCACGAACTCTTCAGCACTGTCTTTAAGATCATCAAGTGAGTATGATTGCACATATATACAAATATATATTTTTATGTTATTAATCATAAATAACTATAATAAAAATAATTTTTATAATTGTAGTGATCAGCACAGCGTTAAAGTGAAGAACTTTTTCCTTGATGTGCTAAGTCCACTGATAACCGAGGCAGATAATCTGTCTGTTGAACTGTTGGATCTTATACTGATTAACATTGTGGAGCCCAACAAGTCGGCCAACAAGCATGCCCATGAGCTGACGGAGCAACTGCTGGTCAAAACTGGCGATGCGTTCGAGGCAACCATCAAATTGGTAGTAATCTATAAATATGTTACAACAAATTGAATTCTATACAATAAATAAATTTAATCCATTTAGTTCTTCAACCGATCATTGGTAATGGACAAGCCAAATATGAAGCTGGCCATTACAAGCAAGATTTACGACATCATCTATGAGCTTAACCAAATCAATAGTGATCTGCTGATTTCCGTGTTGCCGCAACTGGAGAACAAGCTCCTCTCCACGGACGATGCTGAGCGGCTGAGTAAGTATACTGCTGTTTATTCTTATTTGAATTTAATACAGAGGTAAAAAACATGAATCTTAATGTAATTGTCAATGCCCTCATTAATATAGGAGCCACAACGCTGCTAGCGCGCATGTTTTCCGAGAAGGACTCTGAATTGTCCACAAAGTATCCGCAGCTATTGCGTTCGTTCCTTGGTCGCTTCTGCGACATTACCGAGCCAGTGCGAGTCAAATGCGTTCAATCGTCAATGCACTTTCTGCTTAATCATCCACATCTGCAGTCAGAAATAACCCAAAAGCTGCGCATGCGTCATCACGATCTGGACGAGCTGGTCCGCCATGAGGTTGTCATGGCCATCGTGGAAACTGCCAAACGTAATTTTGACATTGTCGTCAAATCACCGGAACTGCTTGAAATTGTGCGTGAGCGCACAATGGACAAGAAATACAAGATACGCCGTGATGCGATGAATGGGCTGGGCTACATTTACAAGCGGGCTATATGCGAGCCAAACGATTTGAGTCCCGAGGTTAAACAGCAGGTGGACTGGATCAAGAATAAGATTATGCATGGCTATTACAAACTGTGCCTGGAGGATAAGTTGATGGTGGAGCGTCTGCTTATTACGTGCCTGGTGCCATATAAACTGGCGCCAGAGGAGCGCATGAAGAAGCTTTATCATCTGCTCGGCGATCTAGACACAAATGCCACCAAGGCCTTTGTTGAACTGCAAAAGAATCAAATGAAATCACGTCACACGGTCAGCGATTGGATCAAGTTGCATCACTCCAAGGAATTCACACCACGCGTCCTCAGCCAGCTGGCCGCCAAGCAGGCTAATATTGCCAAGTAAACACACTAATTTTTGCAGCCTTTAAGAAGTACTTTATTCATTTATTTATATTAACACCTTAGATTGCTACCGGATCCGTTGAAAGCTAGTGAGTTTATCACTCAGTTCAGTCAACATCTGCGCAAGGATGCACAACTCCTGCGCTGCATAAACATTGTACTGAAACGCGATGTCAGCTGTCGCGAATGCGCCGACACAATGAGCGTGCTGCTCAAGAAACTGGGCGCTCACGTCATGACGAATCTTTACTATAATACAGTAAAGATGCTCATCGAGCGCGTCGCCTCCGTTATGGTGGACAAAGAGTCGATTGGTGTACTTATCGGGTAAGTTGATATCATTAAATTCCCAATTATAACTCATCAAATTAATAATACTTTCTATGCAGCCTGATCGAGCAGTGCATTCAGGGCGGTGAGATTTGCAACGAGATCGGAATTTCACGACACGAGGCTGGCGAACGCGGCCTCAAGCTATTAAGCGTAAGTGGAAATGAATCGAAAAAAAACATGCCTAGATATGCGTTAATTGTATTCCCTTGTGCATTTACAGATGTTATCTTATGTGTTTTCGGCCCATTTCTTTACCGATACGTCGCTGCGACATCTGATTGCTCTACTGCGCTTCGAGCACGAATATGTAGCACCGCTTGTGCTGAAAACGCTAACGCACTTGGGTCGTTATCAGCCGCTCATTGACGATGGCAATCCCGCCATTTTGGTCGAGTTGGCACCCATTTGCAAGGACTTTGCGCTGATGGGTACGCCGAAGCAGGCAAAGCATGCGGTTCGCTGCATCTTCGTCAATAGCCAGTCATCGTCGACGGCGACGACAGATGGCGGCGGCAGTGCCTCAACTACCACCCAAACAGTGCATCCCATTTTCAATGAGATCATCGAGGATTTGCGTATTAAACTGGCGCCCAATTGTGAATATCAGCGTACAAAGATTGTCACATTGGGTCACATAGCACTCAATATGCCGCAGGCATTCCTAACGCCCGTTAAAAACATGATTGCGCGTCGCATTGTCAAGGAGCTGCTCATCCAGGAGGTGCCGGCACAGCGCGATGTCGAACTGCCCGAGAGCCACTGGTGCGAGGAGGATGAACTGCCACCGGATACACTCTGTAAGCTAGACGCTCTCAAGACTATGGCACGCTGGCTACTTGGCCTGCGCTCGGATGAGCATGCAGCGCAAAAGACATTCCGCATGCTGGCGGCTTTTGTGACTCAACGAGGCGATTTACTGGCCCAGAATCGACTGTGCAGTGCCGAGAAATCGTGGCTGCGTCTGGGCGCCGCCTGCGCCATGCTTAAGGTGTGCGAACAAAAGGGCGTCGGCGATCAATATAGTGCCGAGCAGTATTTACAGCTCTCCCAGCTGATGGTGAGTACTTCTCTTAAGTTTCATTGAGTATTTTATTTAAATGTCGTTTCTTACTGCAGGAGGATCCAGTGCTGGAGGTGCGTGAGATCTTTGCTCGTAAACTGCACAAGGGGCTGGGCAGAAGTCTTCCGCGCAATTGCTTGCCATTGGACTTTATGGGCTACTATGTGCTGAGCGGCAAGGAGACCAACAGAAAGTGAGTTTTTTCCTTTTTGTGATTTTAAATGTAATTCAAATTGTTGCTAAATTTGCTTTAATTTCGCTTGTCTAAGATTGCAAGATCAGGTGCGTCACTATGTGGAGGCAGATGTGAATAAGCGAAGGGAATATCTCAAGACTGTGGCCATGACGTGTAAGTTTTCAGTTATGCAGATCAAAATGAAAAAGAAAACAATAAAATTGGGTTAATTTCTCTTACAGCACCAGACAGTTCGACAGAATCGCAATCGCTCCATATTTTACCTGACTACATGCTGGCTTTTGCCATACCGGTGCTGGTGCACGATCCCAGTTTCACGAACCACGAGGACTATGTGCAGTTGCGCCGTATGGAGAAGTGTTTGCGTTTCGTGCTCGAGCCGCTGATGGCGAAACGCGAATCGTTTGTTTACGGTTTTTACAATCAGCTGCTGCAGTTGATCAAAAATCGCGAGTTTAGCCAGGGTTCGGATAAGGATAGAATGCAAAATAACTACGTATGTAGCTGCATATATCGCAACGATTTTAGCAAAATCATTAATTTGTTATGTTCTTGTCTGGTTTTTATAGAAAATGTGGGCGCTCTGTGATCTCGCCATGCACATAATCGATGCCAAAGTTGGTCAATGTGATGGCAATTCGAGCGCATTCTCAATGCCACTGGCGCTGCCTGAAATGTACTATAAACTGCCCGCCGTTGCAAATTTCCAGAACACCGAAATCTACATACCTCTGGACATCTACACACTGAGCGCCAAAACGAGCAAAGCGTCTGCGACGATGACAACGGCCGGCTCACATGTGAATGCTGCTGCTTCCAAGCGAACTGCTGCCGCATTGGCAATCATGGATGATGACAATTCACAGGTAAACCAAATTGCATTCTAAATGTATGAATATTTAATTCAATTCAATTAACAGGAGAACAATCTATTCGACAACATACGTGCCGCCGACACAACGGAGCCGATGACTAAGCGAACGCGCGGCGGCGCCGCAGCGCCAGCCAAATCGTAGAGCAAAAAGAAGGAGGCGCGTACTTGTTAGTTTAGTGTTAGGTTTTAGGTCCTAAGTTAACTAAATATGTAAGACGTAGTTGGGTACTACGATTAGAATACAATAACACAGAAACAACACACACGGAACAACAAGAAACCCCTCAGCCGACACACCTACACAGCTGTATCCTTGAAATAATTCTAACATCTCTCTTGAGTGTGGATGAAACAAAAGAAACCAGAAAAAAAAGAACAGAACAGACCAATCAACCAACATGGCATATACCATTTTTTTTAAATGTGTCGCCTGATTTGTTAATTTTTAGTTGTAATTTATGAAAGAGCCGAGTTTTATCATTTTATTATTCTATTATATATTTTAAATTGTCTCCTGTTTCGTATTATGCTCCTTTCGGCTTGTTTGAATTGTCAAAACTAATGCATTATTTTAAACGAACCTTTTTTTTAAGATATGTAATTCAAAAACAATCGAATAAAGCAAAAAAAAAAAAAAGCTAGAATGCAAATTAGTTGAAGAGTATGCCCCGACGAAAAGTAACAGAGCCTTATTAAGAAATTAATATTAACTTTTCTATGAGCGCAGTAAAAATTTAGTTAAAATAAAATGCGTGATTAATCATAACATATACTTTACATAAACATATACACATACATATTCATATAATACAGACAAAAATGCATTGAAAATGTATTGAAACCATTTAAGTAACATTGAAATTTGAAAAAAAGAAAATGTACATTTAATTATTATTACTGTTTTTCAAATACAAATAATTTTCTAAAAATAAGTAATTATAAATAAAAATTGTCCAAAAACAAGAAAATCATTTGAATTTACAACCAGAACGCGCGCTTCTCAAATACGGTAACACTACGTCAAGAAGTGTTGCCACTCTGCGCACGCAGCTTGGCAACGCTTCAAGAAACTGCATTCGTATTGGAAGCGGGGGTGTGTCGTGTGTATGTGTTTGTTTCGTGCGTTTTCGTTGAAAAATTGATTAAATTGTATGAAAAGAGTATAAATGTCCGAATAAAAGGATTAACGTGGGTGTGTGCTATAAACTGAAGGACTTACTTCAGAGTTCAAGTGCTGAATAATGCAGTCGCTACACGGAATGAAATATTTTGTAGCTGGTAGTGACGTCACAAGGCAGCAATACGAAGTCAACGCAGCCGCAAACCCATCCGCTGCTATCAGTATGAAAACAAACGCGCAGCTAAACGGGCAGCAGCGGCGCATATACACCTCAACCCCCATCGCAAACAGACGTGAATCGCAGCAACAGCGGAACGACGACGACGCCATTGGTTTTTGTAATTTAGCCAAGGCAACAGCGAAGCGTTACATTTGCGTGGGCGGTGTCAAGGGGCAAGAGTTGACCTTCGATGTGCGGCTAATAGTGATAATACTCCTATTTGCCATCATAATTATCGGCTACAGACTTATCATCATCATGTTAGCAAGTGAGTAAATGTTTTTATACTTGTTGTTATTTTTGTTTACCAAGTGACCTATGTCAGTTTGCAAATGTGAATATAATATAAAATGAATATATATAAATATATATATATAAACTATTATACTATTTGTACTTGTATATGCAATGGCAAGTGTATGATCTCATACCGATTTTCATTTGTATTGTTTATACGTCGTTTTACCTTCCAGTTTTCTCACTCAAGCAGCCAACCCTCTTCCGCCCCATCAAACGAAATGCGCTCAACATCTAAATAAAGACACCAATTGATTGTTGCGCATTTCGTTTCAGCCAAGAGCAAACAGCTGCTCATTTGCATAGGCAAAGCCGAAAGACAAAATGGCAATATATCACTAATTTCACTGATTGCTTTAAAATTCGTCTTCAACTCCGTTTAACTATAGCCTGTGTTTACATGCACACATACACACAAGCACAAACACAAACATAATTTACAAACATGTCAAGTTCTTTTGTGCCTACTCTGTGAGTGACTTAGCGGTAGTTTGAACTCGAGCGCGTCACGCGACCTAAAATGCACAGTGGGGCAAATAGCATTTAAATTTAAATTGATTTATGTGTAGAGTTATAATTGTACAAGACAAAATCGTAAAAAAATGATTTACTTTTGAAATTTGCTTTTCAATCATTTCAAGGTATTTGATAATTAATTTACACTGCTGACCCACTGTGCCACATTTGAATAGATGTCAAAACTGTTCGATTCAAGAGATCGCCTTAAGTAATTGCTGTCCGATTTTGCAACAGACGACGTGTAAAACATATGAAGTGTTTTTCGTCTTTTTTTTTTATCTTCTGACGACACTGCGCATTTATCGTGCTGCCGATACAACAAGCTAGAAGCGAATACGAAATCGATGGCCTTGACGAGCGTGTTGTGTATCTATTAATAGATATTAATTCCATTATTACCGCCCACAGTGCCCTACATCAATGGCAGCAGCGGGCAGCAGCAGCAACTGAGGAGCTATGTGCAGGCACAGCTGAGCGCTGCCTTCGACTGGTCGGAGCAGCATCAGGTGCGCTCCAAGCTGAGCCCAGTTCTGTGTGGTCTCCTCGTGGCTGCCTTTTTCTATCTCATCGTTTATCTGGACAGCGCCGTTCCCGGAGTTGATCCTCCAGCACCATTCTCGCCACGTTCCAAGCAGCGGTAAGTTTTGCCTTAAGCCTTAAAAGATTAACTTATTTATTTTGCTAATTTATTATCGTTTTTCTTTAGCAGCTATCGTCAGAAGAGCTCAGCTTTGCAGCTAAACTATTTAATTGCGTTGGGTTCAGGAATTTTGCTAACATTTCTGATGTATGTCGATTTGTGAAGAGATAAGAACATTTCCCTAAAGTCAATTATGGCAGCAGTATAAGTATTAAACAAAACAAAAAAAAAAAAACAACCAGTCCACATTAATAATGCTAAACACTCGCTTCCCTATTAGCCGTTAGTTTATATTTCATGTCTATAAAGTATTATGTATTTATTTATATTATTTGTGCAATGCTGCTAAAGCAAAACCCAACAACGTTGTCTGAATTTACAAGAAAAGCTAAATGAGAGTTTGAAGCTAACAACTTTTGTTCTAAGTAAATCAATTATATTATTTATATTTAACTATAAACCTATGTGAAAGTACAAAATGAAAAATGTGTAAAATTATGCCTATCAAAATTAGGCAAACTATATAGCTATGAGTACTAAAAATATTATTTCCTTTATATATATGAAGTACGAATTAGATGGGTTATCAATAAGTATTAAACTGGTATTGAAAAGTACTAAAAACTATTTTTCTATTATGTTTTTTTTTTTATAGATATTTAAAGTTCCGTTTAAAAATGAACAAGTGTTGAACTTTTTAAAATTGGAACAGAATATGAGCTACTTTTGTGAAGTATTTTGCATTAAAATGTATGAAGTCAGATTCTCAATGCGAGTGAAATTTTGTTGCCAATCAGCGCTGCTTACCTGGGAGACGTTGAATGTTTTCAAGCGATTCTCGCCTATGAAACGGCCCACAACGTGTACGTAGCAACCTGTAGCACAAAATATTATAATAATATCGTATATATAGTGTATTAATTTAATGCTTGCCATTAGCCAAAGATTTCAGATCATTCTCAAAATCATAGTAAATTGCCTGCAGAATGGGACCTTTTTCCTCGTTGCGCAGCAGCAGCGTCTGCTCACCCCGCTTACCCGCAATAATGCGCAGCAGCTTACCTGTTGTGCATTTATTTTTCAATATTTATATTCAAAGAAGTTGATTTATATTTGTTTCCTTACCGTAGACATTCCAAAGTGCGTTCAATTGCGGCTGCATTTGATGCATTTTAATGCAAAAGTTAACGCGGCCAATTAAGCTTAATAAATTGCGTCCAGGCTTGGACATTGTTGAAGTTGGCAACGCTGCAAGCGGTTCAATTTTGGTCTTTGCAATTGTTGTTGTTGGCTTTGTATTTTCTTTAGCAAAGTATAAACTTTTGTCGAGCCCATTTGCAACTGGCGCATAGACAAACTCGTGCTTGGGCCTAATTTGCATTGGTTCCTCCTTCACAAATCCTGATAATATCAGCTTATTGTCCTTTTGGCAAAGACTCAATTTGGTTTGCTTTAGTTGACTTCCAGTTTTTCTCAACAAGCCCGAAGCGGTTTCAAAGCTGCGATTGCAAAGCTGCGCCCTGAACTTCTGCTGGGTATTGCTGGCCGGGCTGTTGCTCTTTTTTGCTAGCCATACGAAAAACATTTTAAATAAAAAATATATATATATAGAGTAGCATAATTGAAGAATATTTGGCTTACTTTTGTTGGTGAACATTTTGTGTCGTGGAATAATGACAGTTACAGCTTAAGTAGAACTTTGGCGCCAAGGTGACCGTTTGCTTTTTAAGGTATTTTGTGCAGCCCTGCTATGGTTGGTATTTCGTGATTGAATTATCGATACTTTATAATCGCCGTGCCGATAATCACCACTCTCCACGCGAGTTTATTTTCTTTTTAATGCATTAAAATTTTGTAAATAGCACAATTAAAATTAATTAAAGTACAATATTAAGAACCTAGCGCAGCAGCGATGAGTACCATACTGGAGAAGATTGCGGCCATCGAGTCGGAGGTAAGACAACCATACGCCAAATGTCCCAGCTATAAAAAACTAACCTGTCTCCCACTCTTGGATGTGTGCGTGTGTGTGTGTGTAGATGGCACGCACGCAAAAGAATAAGGCAACTTCTGCCCATTTGGGCCTATTGAAAGCCAAGTTGGCCAAGCTGCGACGCGAGCTCATCTCGCCAAAGGGCGGCGGCGGCGGAACCGGCGAGGGTAAGCTTTCTTTTGGCATTTTATATTATGGCAACTAAATCTGAATTTCGTTTTTCCTCTTAGCCGGCTTTGAGGTGGCCAAAACTGGTGATGCCCGGGTGGGTTTCGTCGGCTTTCCTTCGGTGGGCAAGTCGACGTTACTCTCGAACTTGGCCGGCGTTTACTCCGAGGTGGCTGCCTATGAGTTCACAACGCTGACAACTGTGCCGGGCTGTATTAAGTACAAGGGCGCCAAAATACAGCTGCTCGATTTGCCGGGTATTATTGAGGGCGCCAAGGATGGCAAGGGTCGCGGTCGTCAAGTGATTGCTGTGGCTCGCACTTGCAATCTGATTTTCATGGTGCTGGACTGCCTCAAGCCGCTGGGCCACAAGAAGTTGCTGGAGCACGAGTTGGAGGGCTTTGGCATTCGCCTGAATAAGAAACCGCCAAATATTTACTACAAGCGGAAGGATAAGGGCGGCATCAATCTCAATAGCATGGTGACACAATCCGAACTGGACTCTGATCTAGTGAAGACCATATTGTCGGAGTACAAGATACATAATGCGGACATCACGTTACGCTATGATGCCACCAGTGATGATCTGATTGATGTCATCGAGGGCAATCGCATTTATATACCTTGTATCTATTTGCTGAACAAGATCGATCAGATCTCCATTGAGGAGCTGGACGTCATCTATAAGATACCGCATTGTGTGCCCATTTCAGCGCATCATCATTGGAATTTTGATGATCTGCTCGAGCTAATGTGGGAATACCTGAGACTTGTGCGAATTTATACGAAGCCCAAGGGACAATTGCCTGACTATAGTTCGCCCGTAGTGCTGCACAATGAACACACCAGCATCGAAGACTTTTGTAACAAACTGCATCGCTCCATTGCCAAGGAATTTAAATAGTATGTCTTAAATGCTTTTCTTTTGTGGAATAATCCTTTAAATATTCTCCCTTTCTTTGAATAGTGCGCTCGTCTGGGGTTCTTCGGTGAAGCATCAGCCGCAGAAGGTGGGCATTGAGCATATACTCAATGATGAGGATGTCGTTCAAATTGTGAAAAAGGTCTAAGGCCATTTAATTGATATAGATTCCTTGGATTTTAATTGTTTGCGCATATTTTTTTAAATAAAAATTTGAATTGCTCTTGCTTGACGGCGTTGCCACCTAAGATAAATTTGTTGTTTTTAAACACACAAATAGTTATCGATAGTGTCACTACTGTGCTGTTAAATAAATATTCGCATCTACGCTTTTAGCTGTTTTCTTGTTGTTATCTTCTAAGAAAAGTTTATTAAATAGCGAATCTAAATAATGCAAATACATAATTGCGTATTTAACAGCATACTAAGCTCAAAATATCTATTCATTTTCAAAAAGTGCGGGCAATCGCCGAGCTATAGAACTATCGCTTATGTCGCTAATAAACTTATTGCAATCGCTACTTGGTTTGACCATCTCGAAGCTCACGTTGTTATTATTTATAATTCAATATAGTTTTATTTAAATGGTCGAGGCAAATCAAAGTGATGCCCAAATGGCGGACAGCACTTGGGAGCCGGGCGACAGCAAGGAATGGTCCAAATCGATTAAGCCGCTGCAGGAGAAATGGAAACTGGTGCCGGCATTTCTTCAGGTGAAGGGACTGGTGAAGCAGCATATTGATTCCTTTAATCATTTCATCAATGTGGACATCAAGAAGATAGTGCGTGCCAACGAGATCGTGACAAGCGGTGCCGATCCCCTCTTCTACCTCAAATATCTGGACGTGCGTGTGGGCAAACCGGATATCGACGATGGCTTTAACATAACCAAGGCGACCACGCCGCATGAGTGCCGGTTGAGGGACACCACGTACTCGGCTCCCATCAGCGTAGACATTGAGTATACGCGTGGCACGCAGCGCATTAAGCGCAACAATTTACTGATTGGACGCATGCCACTGATGTTGAGATGCTCGAATTGTGTGCTTACCGGCAAATCCGAATTCGAGCTGTCCAAGCTGAACGAATGTCCGCTGGATCCGGGTGGATATTTTGTGGTGCGCGGTCAGGAGAAGGTTATACTCATCCAGGAGCAGTTGTCGTGGAATAAAATGCTAACCGAGGATTTCAATGGCGTTGTGCAGTGTCAGGTGACGTCTTCAACGCATGAGAAGAAATCTCGGACGCTGGTGCTGAGCAAGCATGGCAAATACTACTTGAAGCACAACTCCATGACGGATGACATACCCATTGTGGTGATCTTTAAGGCACTGGGCGTCGTCTCCGATCAGGAAATAATGACACATATCGGTTTGGATGCACGTTCGCAGAATCGCTTTGGTGCTTCGCTCCTCGAAGCCTTCAATCTGAAGGTTTTCACCCAGCAGCGAGCCCTGGACTATATGGGTGAGTTGCAGGCAGGCCAAGATTTTTGGGGAACTCATTTTGTGAAATCTTCTGTTTTGCAGGCTCCAAGCTGGTGGTAAAGCGATTTCAGAGTGCCACCAATAAGACACCGTCGGAGGAGGCACGCGAACTGCTGCTGACCACAATTCTGGCTCATGTGCCAGTGGACAATTTCAACTTTCAGATGAAGGCAATCTATGTGTCGCTAATGGTGCGTCGCGTGATGGCTGCTGAGCTGGATAAGACGCTCTTCGACGATCGCGATTACTATGGCAATAAGCGTTTGGAGTTGGCCGGTTCGCTGATGTCGCTGATGTTTGAGGATCTCTTCAAGCGCATGAACTGGGAGCTCAAGATGATAGCGGACAAGAATATACCCAAGGTGAAGGCCGCCCAGTTCGATGTCGTTAAGCATATGAGAGCGGCACAGATCACCGTTGGTCTCGAGTCCGCAATTAGTTCGGGCAATTGGACCATCAAGCGTTTCAAAATGGAACGCGCTGGTGTGACCCAAGTGCTGTCTCGGCTCAGCTACATCTCGGCGCTGGGCATGATGACTCGGGTGAATTCACAGTTCGAGAAGACGCGAAAGGTGTCTGGGCCGCGTTCGCTGCAGCCAAGCCAGTGGGGCATGCTGTGTCCCTCGGACACGCCCGAGGGTGAGGCGTGCGGTCTGGTCAAGAATCTGGCTCTAATGACGCACATAACAACGGAGGTGGATGAGCGACCGGTGATGACATTGGCCTACAATGCCGGCGTCGAGGATATACGCGAAGTGAGCGGCAATCCCATGAATAATCCGCACGTATTTCTTGTCTTCATCAATGGCAATGTGCTCGGCCTGACCATCAATCAGAAGCATCTGGTGCGTAATTTGCGCTACATGCGACGCAAGGGACGCATGGGCAGCTTTGTCTCCATACACACCTCGTACACGCAGCGCTGCATCTTCATTCACACGGATGGTGGACGGCTCTGTCGACCCTATATCATTGTTGATAATATGCGTCCGCTTGTGGAGCAACGGCATTTGGATGAACTGCTGCGTGGCATACGTAAATTTGATGATTTTCTGCATGATGGTTTGATTGAGTACCTGGATGTGAATGAGGAGAACGATTCGTTTATTGCATGGAATGAGGAGCACATCGAGCCACTGACAACACACCTCGAAATCGAACCATTCACTCTGCTGGGCGTCTGTGCCGGCTTGGTTCCCTACCCGCATCACAATCAAAGTCCGCGCAACACCTATCAATGTGCGATGGGTAAACAGGCGATGGGCATGATTGGCTATAATCAAAAGAATCGCATTGATTCCCTCATGTACAACTTGGTCTATCCTCAGGCACCAATGGTCAAATCTCGCACCATTGAGTTGACCAACTTCGATAAGCTACCAGCTGGCCAAAATGCCACTGTGGCTGTGATGAGCTACTCCGGCTATGATATTGAGGATGCCTTGATCCTGAATAAGGCCTCAATTGATCGGGGCTATGGGCGGTGTCTCGTCTACAAGAACTCCAAGTGTACCGTGAAGCGTTATGCGAATCAAACATTTGACAGAATCATGGGGCCGGTCAAGGATGCACTGACCAATAAGGTGATCTTCAAGCATGATGTCCTGGACACGGATGGGATTGTGGCGCCTGGCGAAATGGTTCAAAACAAACAGATCATGATTAACAAGGAGATGCCGGCTGTGACATCCATTAATCCACTCGAAGGTTAGTAACGAAAAATATACAATGAATTCCGTTTCCTACTTATTGATATATCCTCTTCCTCCTAGGACAATCTCCTCAGGTGCCCTACACAGCTGTGCCCATTAGCTACAAGGGACCCGAACCCAGCTATATTGAGCGTGTAATGGTCTCGGCCAATTCCGAGGAGGACTTTCTCATTAAGATCCTGTTGCGACAGACGCGCATTCCGGAAATTGGCGACAAGTTTAGTTCGCGGCACGGACAGAAGGGCGTCACGGGTTTGATCGTGGATCAGGAGGATATGCCCTTCAATGACTATGGCATATGTCCGGATATGATTATGAATCCCCATGGTTTTCCCTCCCGTATGACTGTGGGTAAGACGCTGGAGCTTCTGGGCGGCAAAGCTGGCGTTCTTGAGGGTAAATTTCATTACGGCACTGCTTTCGGAGGCTCCAAGGCGGCGGATGTGCAGGCGGAGCTGGTGCGTCACGGCTTCAACTACATGGGCAAGGACTTTTTCTATTCGGGCATAACGGGCGGACCGCTCGAGGCGTACATCTATTCCGGTCCCGTATACTATCAGAAACTGAAGCACATGGTGCAGGACAAGATGCATGCCAGAGCCCGTGGCCCAAAGGCGGTGCTGACACGCCAGCCCACCCAGGGTCGTAGTCGCGAGGGTGGACTGCGTCTGGGCGAAATGGAACGCGATTGCCTGATATCGTATGGAGCGAGCATGCTGATAATGGAACGCCTCATGATATCCTCGGATGCGTTTGAAGTCGATGTATGTCGCACCTGCGGCCGATTAGCCTACTGCTCCTGGTGCCACTTTTGTCAGTCGTCGGCGCATGTCTCGAAGATATCCATGCCGTATGCCTGCAAGCTGCTCTTCCAGGAGCTGACCAGCATGAATGTGGTGCCCAAGCTCATTTTAGAGAACTATTAGAACTAGAGAACTTTATGGATTATACAAATGCATATATAATATATGACTGAACACGAACTGAATAAAGGAAGTGTTTTTATTTGTTAGAATATTTATTTACAAGCCTTCTATTTCTAGTAACTTCTAGTCACTTGAATACGTGAATAGTTTGACTTTCTCGAAATTAAAAATAGTTATTGTAACTGCTATTTATTTGTGTACAATTTCAATTTCGGCAAGTTCCAATTAGTGAGCGACCACTGTAATTAAGCTACGCGTTGATAGACAGCAATGTGATACAAGACAGAACATATTTGTCATAAACTGTACCAAGTTCAATGAACGCAGGGTTGTGGACTACGTGACCTGCTCATCCGTACTCGTCACATCTATTCAAAGCGCCCTTACCCCCAACTCCCCAAAAATGGCGCCTTGATAAATGTTGTGGGCTAAACGCGATGGCAACGTCTGCTTTTCCATTCCTATTTAGACCCCCCATCAAGCTGCCAGGCAGCCAGGCAGCCAGCCACGCCCAACCAGGCGATTTGTCCTGCTTCACTTTCACATTTTAACATATTCATGCAGTTTCCTCGCGAATGTCAAAGTGAAGTGGCTCCAAAAGCTCCACTGTTAACTAACAGCATATGTTAAAGCTCTGTTAGGTGGCTTAGACGGCTTAAGCTTGCTGCTTAATTGCATCTTTTATGGGGGGCGAGACTTATCAAATTGCTGATTAACCTTGTTTTCTCCCTTTTGTGGGTGTTCCTTTGTGTAAACACAAAAGTTATGGCCAGGCACGCAAACCGCCAACAAAGCGTAGCAAAAAGCTAAAGTGGACGCCGTCTTTTCAAATGAATACCCAACATTTTGGACTTTGGGAGAGTGTATATAATTCGATTAGCAATGGACCAATTATGTATTAATTCGGGAAAATTCTATATATCTATATATACTTTGCACATTTATATTTAAGTAACAACGCTTTACATTCAACGATTTTTTATTCTGCTACTTATTACAGGGTATTGTAGTTAACATCAGTGTATTTCATTGGTTCCCCTTGACTTGTTGATTATCAATTAGCATAGGAAAATAAACAGTGTCGCATAAACAAATCAATTCCTTTGCTTGTTTAATTCTCAGACCTCTCCGGTTATCTACTTATGCGCAATATCAAGAAAAAAGAAAAGGGTCGACTCGAGTGTTGTTTGCATATTCTCAAAAATTCAGTGCTATGAGGACATGGTCTTTTTTTCTCGTTGGTGTATCTTAACTTTGAGTGGCTGCTGCGACTTTGAGGCTATTCATAAACCCATTTTGGCCAAGTTTGTTGGCTTAGTGGGTCAATGGACTGGCAACGCACGTGACTCGTCATCTGCCAACTGGCAACTACCAACTGGCAACTGGCAACACCTAGAAGGCGTTGTGTCCTTGTGTGTCATTTCAAGTCACTTGAGCTCAAAATAGTCGAATCAACCCAAAACCACCCCAAACCCCAGGCCAGTTGCATATTTGCGGCAGTGCAATGACTGCAAACAGGCCAAAGAGGGCCAAATGGGGGTGTTAAAACTATCCACAAGCCAATGGGCACAATAACGATAAGACTGCTCAACCAACTGGCTACCTTCCGGTCGGAGTTTTGCTTGGTTTGGGTTTGGCATTCATGGCTTTTGGCTATTTGTCAAAAAGTTTACTTTTTGATTCTATATACAAACACATGTAGGGGATATATATATATATATATATATCTATATAAATATTTATACATATATAAAGGATTTAAATGGGTGTTGGCCAGTGTTGAGCAAAGTTGCTTAAGCGATGCTTAACTTTGGTCGGACAGATACAACACACAACATACTAGTCAAAGCTACCCAAAGGCCATATCGATATAACTTATCTACGGCTTTTGAAATTTGATGTTTTTTTTTCCATTTTTTTTGTTGGCTTTCAGCTTCAACCCAACAAACTGATGCCAATAAACTCAGTCTGTGAACTTTAAGCAAATTCATTGGGCACCTGTTCTAGCTAACAGCGCTATGTTAAAGGTCTGGTCTAAAGAGCAGGATATGATTTGCGCGCTCTTTGATAAGTTGTGATACGCTCTCTTTGCATTTTAAAAACTGCTGAGAACGTCAACATTTACTGTTGATACTCGTCGTATACAGCATACATATAAAACAAAGTTTGGTTTGTATTAAGCCTAAGTTTTACTCTAGTTAAATAGGTGCATTCATCAAACTGTACAGCTCGAATGTTAGCTGCCCATCATCTCTGAGCAGCTAACACTGTGTGCTTTTCGCTCTCTTTCGCAAGGGGGCCCTATAAAAGACAGCGTCGAATTGAAAGAGAGTTCAGTTCAGACCGGTGCTCACTCGCGTTTTTGCAAACTGCACGTAAAGCTTGGCTAGCGCTTGAATTATAAATGAAAAGCTGAACAAAATATATATTTGGAGTGCAACTTGCACAAAGCAATAATTATTATCAGTTCGTTGCGTGTGTGTATCAGTGTGTTTGTTGCAAAAATATATATGTATATATGTGTTAATAAAGCTGTGCAAAGTTGTAAATAAATGCAGTGATGAAAATATTCAAATAACTTTTTCAATACAAATTGAACAAAATTGTAAATAGTACAAATATATTACGAATCAAAATGCCAAATGCTGTGGAAATAACAACAAATGCCAGCGACTCCAAGATGCCATTCAAAGTAAGTTAAACGAACAAATTGCAATCAAAGGCCAAAGCAAGCTGAGGCTCAGCTGAGGCTTTAGTGCAATGCCATGCCCTTTTTTGGGCGTTTGCTGCTGTTTCTGTTGTTGTTGTTATCGTTGTTGTTGTTAACCGCGTGCTGCGTGTTTCGCATTTGCGCTATTTAAAAATTCCCACATAAAAACTGGGTGAACTTACAGAGCCAAGCTGTGAGCGAGAGATAAGAGCGTGCAGTAAAGAGCAGCCAAAAAGCTCTGCTGCTGAGCGCGCTGTTAACTTTTGTTTATTTGCGAGAGCACAAGAGAGCTACAAGTCGAGAGAAACACACAGAAAGAGAGAGGGAGAGTGTGAAAAGTAAAGAGCGCAGTAAGCGCCTTTGGTTTTGCAAATACAAAATACTTGACATGAATTTTGGGTGTTTTTACTTTGTGGATTGTGCCTATTTAATTGTTTTTTCCATTTCAGCTTGCAAATTGTTTGTCTTTGGCATTTGTTTGTTTGCCTGCAATGCCTTTGTTGTCAACTAATTTGTTTATCCGCTATCTAAATAACTTGAAGCCGTTTGAAGGACAGTTTTTTCTCGTTTTATTTGTCTTTTGGACAGAAGCAAGCTTAAAGCAAACTAAGTCCACAGTGCACAACTTGCTCCATATAAGCCACAGAGCAATTTCTTGATGAAACATCCTTTGGCAAATAATTCACCAACTTTACTGCGGCTGCTTTGTGTTCCCTTTTGCTGTGTTTGTTGTGTGTGTGTGTGTGTTTAAAACTACGCAATAAACAAGTACACAAAATGACAGGCTTCAAGAGCTGTCAGTGTTCCATTAAAATGTCGCCGCTTATTATAATAATTAATTCAAAATCCCGCCAAACATAAATCGACTTAAAAGCTGTCATGCAAAATGCTATTAAAAAACTTCCGCAGCTGACATGTTTGTTTAATTAGTGAGTGGTGCCTCGCCTACCGCGTACCGCCTCTGCCAGCAACAACAGCATAAATAAAGCATACAACATTTAATACATGTATCTATGTATGTGCATACATAGTTTAAGTAGCAATTTAAACTTGGCGCCTAATTTCCCCAGCGACACTCAAATCTGCGTTCTAGGCCTATCAAATATTTACTAGCCAACTTGTGGCTGTATCCTTCACGCCACCAACCCCACCCCCTCCCCTCACCTACCCTAGTTAGTTTCGGTTGCATGTCTTTAGCTGTAATTGTGGGTGTGTGTGTGTGTGTAGGTGCCCTAATTGGGACGCAGCAACGTAGCTACAGGCGCTATGATGTTAGTGACAGGAGTGAACAGGATAAGTGTTGCGTGTTGAGTGTCCTCCGGCTAGAAACGCCATTTTTCAAGATTACCCGATAGTTGTGCTTTCCACTTTCGGCTCACTGCTGCTTTAGATGAGACGTTTTCTGATCAACTGCAGGCACAATTTGTGAGTTTGCATTATTTCAGGCATTTCAACCTTTTAATTGTCCTTTTCTATAACTATATTCGATTCAAAGCTGTTTATATGATTGTTTTAAAGATTCGAGTCCATCAAATGTCTAGAATTTTAATGATTTTGTAAAGTTCTCTTAACATTTTTCCATAATTAGTAGATACATGATACATTGACTGTTGTCTGCTTTCGCAATTTTGTTTATATTATCTAAGTATATATTTTTCCAAATTGCTTAAGAGACCTTTAGCTTCAGCTTACGATAAACTAAATGAAAATATGTTTTTGTTCTTCAACTTGCCAAGTAGTATTCCGTGTTTTGGTTTCCAGTGTGAAGTCAGTAACCACAGCAGCCACAATTTCCAAAATCTTTTCCATCAGAAAAGTTAAACCAACTTACAGGTGGTCAGCTTTGCCAGCTTATTGATATGCAAGTAAATTATTTGATTTTCCCAATTAAAATTCGCAGTATTAATATAGGCTGTTTCAGACGAACTCGACTGGGTAGATACCCTGTTCTATTTTTAAACGTTGGAAATGGACGCGAAAATGAACATTGTTCAAATAACAATAATAATTTATTGACTAAACAATGTAGCAACTTTATCGATAAATATCGAAATGGAAGCTATCCTTTTTTCCAACAATAATGATTTTTAAATATGTTATGCCCAAATGATTATAAATATTCCAAAATAAGCACGAGTGAGACTATCCAAATTATCGGGTTTACTGGCAATCCACAGATTTTCACAGCTACTTGAATAACTTTTACTACTTGAAAAAATTCACTTCAGTTGAGTTTGCCATATTTTTGGCTTAATATGATTCATATTTGATGCAAATCTTGTTTAAGTGAGGCTGAAAAAGTGTTTCCAAATGTTGAAGCTTTAAGAAAGTGCAATTCATTAGCATGGGTGCTGCCACAAGGGGTGTTTCGGTGAGGGTTGCTCCCACCCTGGGCTAACTGTTTCGCATGATATGACCTGAAGGCAATTTGCCTCTTCTGCATCTTGTTTTACTGAGTCTACTTTTCAATTTCTTTTCTCTTTTTGGCCTCCTTTGTGCCATGCTGTGCTGTAGATAATTCGTATAAAAATGTTCAAATGCAAACTCAACTTCAATTTCATTTCGCACGCCTTGCTATAATATTTATGAAGGTTCATGCTACAGCTGCACGCTGCACGCTGCATGCTGCAGGCAACTGAAGTAATAAATTTGGAAGAGCAGCCGTGCGGCCGACGATGCTGTTGCATCTCCATTCTCCATCTGGCCACGGTCTTATTTATGTTCAGTTTAACCTTAACGCTCAGGCGCCATTTAACAAAACATGCAAGTTTAATCGGAAGACTGGCAACGGATGAATGTCCTTGGGCCCGCCTGGCTGCCTGGCTGTCTTCTGCCGTGCCGAGGTTCGTGGCATGCGCTTCAAAGTATGCTGCATTAAACTGCTGACAGGCATAACTTGTTAGCAAAAACACGACAAATATTTGTGCGGCAAGGCAGACGAGTGCATGTCAAACTGTGTTCGAGTTTTCAGCAGCAACAACACCGTAATAGAAAAAAATCCCATAAAAAAACAAACACATAAAACACTCACATAAATATGTGCAACTTGTGCATAGTATAAAATGCAGGTGCATTCCAGTAGTTGGTTTCATAATAATTTCAATAAAGAAAAACGACTATAAAAACTTTAAAATTCTCTACAATGTAATTTGATGTGACAGTTTGTATATTCAGTTAAAAGCAAATCCAGAAAAGTTAAACCTTGGATTCATTTTCAATATTGCTGGTGTTTTGGTTTGTCTCGAGGGCATAATTACTTGCTTTTTGGTTACTTAATTACTCGACAATTCGACTCAAATGACAGCTCCATTTCCATGTGGCTTTGAATGATGTGTATTTAATGATAGCCATTGGTTATTTGCGTTAATTATTCGATGGCCAACGACAACGTTGCCATGTTCATCCTACAGCCAAAACTTGAATGAAAAAATCAATGAACTATGAAGAATTCAAAGAACAGTCAACAACATCAACATCAAACTCAAAAGATATTCTAAAAGTTATGGTCTTCCATATAAAAATCGAATAATCTCAAAGTCATTTCACATTTACGCTAGCGAGCGGCAAATAACAATTCAAAAGTGTCTTTTTCGCTGCAGATTTGACATTTACTTTTGCTTTATTAACATTTGATATACTTTGAATCCGCTGAGAAAAGTGCATATTGGTTTTTTCACAATTTTTAGCTCATAATAAAGAATGCTTTACTGGGATCAGAGTATTAAGCAGTCAGCTATATTCAGCAGCAGTTTTTATACTTCTTTTGTGTCTTTGAAAAGTTCACTTAAATTGCTTGAAGTTTGTTTGCAAAGTTTCGCAATGACAAACTTGTTCTGAGCTATGGAAAAGTCTACATACCAAACATTGAATATATTTTAATAATTATTTACATATAAGAAATGCTCTAAGAATATTTAGGTTATTTGCTCTGGTTTAAGTTTATTCATATTTAGTGAATTCATATTCATTTTAAGTGAATGTAGGCGTTCAACGAAATAAGAAAAAAACTCTGACAGGGTATTTTGGGTTTTTTTTTTGGCTCCTAATGAGCCACTCAACTGGGTGGCAAATTTATATTGATATATGTATATTTACAGACATGATTTCCACAAAACACTTCGCTTATCACGCAGGTCATCAGCCCCTTCAGAGAGCTGCTGCTCTTGACTGATCCCATAATCCTAACAGCTTTATGCGTGCGAGTCGTCAAGGTCGTCGCTCAGTTATTATAGTGCCTGTAATCTGGGCAAACTTTCAGGAGATGCTAAGCTGCTTAACTTATGTGGGGCTGTGTGTATTGTTGATAGCAGAAATTTTGCTAAAACTTTGAGGCTGGTAATGAGTTCACGTATCAGTCGAAATTGCGTAGGAACTGGGCCTGAAGCATGCATACTCACATATACATATATATATATATGTATATATTTACATCTGTATATAAACCATATATATGTACGTATATAGAAAAAAAATATTTTTTTCATCTGCACGCGCTGCTTAATGCCGAGTTGATTAAGCCTGGGCTGTGCCCAGCAGCAGACCAAACAAAACCAAAAAATAAAAAAGTAAAATAAATAAATAAGTAAAAAAACAAAATACGAAACGAAAACAAAAAGCGTTATATGAACTTTTTGGGCGCCGTCGAGTGTCCGGCTTAAATATTTCATATGGGGGCCCATGTCGCATTCGCAGTTGTTGCTGTTGCTGCTCTTGTTGTTGTTGTTGGGCCAGGCCTTTGTATTAATTTATTATTCATTCAATGTGTATCGCCGTCCATATGTGACTGCAAACGTGTATTTGCTTATTATTACCTTTCCTCTCTCTTTGTTGCCATTACATCTGGCTGCCTCTCTCAGGTCAAGGACGTGACGCGCAACATTAAAAAAGCCGTTTGCGCTGCAAGCCTCGAGGAGATACGCACCAAGGTGGCCGAGAAATTTGACAAGTATGAAGAGCAGCCGACAATCCATTTGGACTCCGATGGCACTGAGATCGATGACGAGGAGTATTTTCGCACTCTCGACGAGAACACCGAGTTGGTGGCCGTTTTCCCAGGCGAACATTGGATTGATGTGAGTAGACCGAATAATCAAATCAAATCAAATTGTGTCTGTAGAATTTATCTAGAGAACAAGCCACTATTAAAATGATAAGATCGGTTGAGTTTTGGCAAACTTACTATTTATTAAAGGCAGGTCATCCTTAGTGACTTGGAAGCAATTCGTGCTGCAGGTTTTGTTATTCAATTTGAGAGAAAATTGGAAAGTATAATTATAAAGAGCATACATTAAAGTTACAGAGTAATTGTAAAGGACAAACATATGCATAGCATGTGTGTCAACATAAATGAGAAAATGGAATTTACAACTTTTTTGATTATTTTGACATTGACTTTAATTTAATTTCCAAGAATTTCGCTACTTTTTTTTTGATGCCATAATTCAATTTCCGTCTCTGGGAAAACATCACGTATACGAACTTGTAACTGTAAAGTATTTATGGTTTATAGCCTACCCATTACGTGACCATAACCACTCCAAATGCCACCGGCAATGGCAGTATCACTGGCAATGGCACTGGCACTGGCACTGGCAATCCGGACAACGGGGACACCACGGACGCCAACAACTCGGAGTCGGCTAGGATTCGTCAGTTGGTTGGCCAATTGCAGAACAACTTGTGCAATGTATCCGTCATGAATGATGCCGACTTGGACTCCTTATCCAACATGGATCCCAACTCGTTGGTGGATATAACAGGCAAGGAATTCATGGAGCAGCTCAAAGATGCTGGCAGGTGAGCAAAAACAGCTGCAAGCCAAAGTTAAATTTGTATTTACGATTCGTAAGGGGAAAGGGAACTTTCATTCATGAATACCCATTTGTAAATATCCTTTATTATATCTATATTTATGTTCAGACCGTTATGTGCCAAACGTAATGCTGAGGATCGTCTGAATTTGCTGAAGCTGCTGAAAGCAGGCGCCATTTTTTGCTCGGAACGCTATCCGGAAGATGCGGAGGCCATTGATCGAGAGATTGGTCGGCAGTTGAATGAGGCGGAGAGCGGACAGGTGACTGCAACCAATGCTAGCAACACCCGCACCATTGAGGTGGTGCAGTGCGACAATCAGAATACCACCATTACAATAACCGTTGCGGAGGCAACCAGCACCACTTGCGGCACCACTGAGAGCACAGCTGCCAAGGAGGCCAATGAGATGAACGCCAATGCGAATGGCAATGGCAACACTGGCGACATCTGACTGCCCATTTTAGGCAGCCTTAGATGAAGCCTGGCCGCCAGGGAGTAGCCAAACTAAGGCACAATTTTATCAAATGATGTTTCAACAAAACGAACCGAAATAAATCAGTCCTGCAACATTGGGTTAACATACACGTATTTGTAGCATGTAATTTAAGCGCTGCAAAATGCCAAAAAAAAACAAAAACAAAAAACAAAATAGTAAACTGAAACGAGAGCATAACAAAACGCATAACGAAACGTAAAAAATCTTGAAAAATGCTTCATAGAATTTAAGAGTAAATGAAAGTTAACGAAATATTCCACGTATTAGTATTAAATTGTTGAAAGGTTGCGACTAAAATAATCATCAGCGAACTATCAAGAAGAAACGAGTCTCCAAATTACAACATCTAAGCTGCTTACATTTGGGCATATATTAGAACTAAAATCACAACTGCAACTAATATAAAAAATCAAATGTAACCCAAAATGAAAATAGTCCCTTAAATTTGAACCACAAATATACAAAAGTTGTGTTCCAGATCAAATTTTAAAACAAATCAGTTCTTTTCTAGTTCTTATTTTGCTTTGAAGAATGATTGTTAAGAGTTTTCAAGTTTAAATTTTATTACTGCAGCCAATACAGCAATTTACAATCTGATATTTGCAAAACTTATCGGTACCTTTGATTAGATTTAATAACTATGAACGGCAAGGATTTTTTAAAATAGAAAAAAGTATTGGATTCAATTGAATTAGTTATTTACAAACAAAGATTTCTTATTCAAAATTTGCTGTCAATTTTAAAATAGCAGCTTCATTTCAGTCCGCTAAAGAAACGCACCTGAAACAAATAAATGAAATGTATTAAGAAATCAAAATTAGTGACAACAATCGATTTAAACCATTTAATATTATAATATTATATGAGTAACAGATGCATAGATATTCGGAGAGAAAAATATATCCCATAATCATTAATGTTATTGCATTAGTTAAACTATATTAAAAAATGGTTTTATTGTTAACAAATTGCTAAGTAGTAAAACAGCCTTTTGAGAATAGCTAGAATTCGCAATTGAATCATTTGTTTGTTAATTTAGCAACAATTAAGCAATTTTATCGATTGATTATTAATTTTAAATATCTTTTGTAATTTTCCATAAACAATTTCCTGATTTCTGATTAGCAAATTGATATTCATAATAATTATGATGGAATATAAGTACTTACTGATTGTTTGAGCTTGTGGTATATTTTCTGCCATGGCTAACAAATTAGGTTAACATGTTGTTCAATAAGAAAATGAAGTAGAAATTGAAACGCACACATAAAATTGTTTTTAGACTAAATGTCATTAAAAATGTCATTTGTTGAAGCCAATTGAGACTGACTGTATTTATGTGAAATAATTATTTGAGTGTACGACTTCGAACTCGATCTGGTTTGAAATTGCTTCAAGTAAAGACCCCCACAATAAAACGTATTGTAGCCAAAAATAATAATAAAAAACAACAACATCAAAACATGAAGAATTTATTAAATAAACGGAAAACCCTTAATATTAGTATATTAGCAACAGTAAATGCAAATGCAATTACACTCTTATATACAATCTCATATACAGAATAACAACCAGGCAAATCAAAGGCAAGAAAAATACAGTATTGAATAAGCAATAAATATACAAAAAATAAAACGAAGAAATGAAAAACATTATTAAATATAGTAACTGCAAACACCAAACAACAATATACCTAAATAAATGCATATTAACAAACTAATAAAAAAATATTCGATGTACAGGTTAACTCGGCGTATGCGCAACACAGTCAAATGTGCAACAAGGCATCTGAAAATACAAAGGATTAAAGAGTATCAAACTGTGGCAAGAAAGAGACAGAGAAAGAGACAGAGAGAGTGAGAGAGCGAGCTTTAAAGAGAGCAGTTGCTATTTCTTGGATTTGTTGCAGTTAATTGCATTAAAACACTGCCGGAGCAATGACGTCACAACGCCCCTTGCATGCTTTGTGACGTGCGCAAGAAATAAGAGGCCAGGTCGCAGGCAGGCCGTGTCAGGACATGCTAGAACATGCCACGGCTGCTCCTGCTCCGCTCTGCTGCCCTACTAACACAGTTTAACTCAGCTGAGCTTGTGCAGCCTGTAACTGACCTAAATCTATGACGACATTGTGACCAACACCCTAGCCCCCCTAACCACCCCATCTCCCTTCACACCACTCCAGTGGGCAAGTGGGCGTTGTGGCCTAACCTCAAAATTTGATTTGCTGTTGGGCTTTTAGCATTTTTAATGCGTTCAAATTAACTAAAAATCTTTTGAAGCAGCCTTTTACTTTTTGAAAGCCACTAATTTCCCATTGGGCTTTCGGCCATTGTTATTGTTATTTTTCATTATTGTTTCTGCTGCTGTTGTTCTTGTTGTTGGGTTGTGTTAGCGGTTTTCTGACCTTGACATGTCGCATTCGGTTGGGGACAAAAAAAAAATTATTTTTTCAATTTAAATATGCATGTTTTGGGCTCACAACTGCGTCTGACTTGCTTTGATGTGCGGCATATTTACTGTATTGCGAAAGCAGTTAAGTGAGTCGCAGGGTGGCACTTTCCTTCTCCTTCGATGAAATTGTATCTTTTGTAAAGTGTAATTTGGCTAGACTATATTTGCGGGTTAACCTTTGAAGTTCAAAAAAGTGACATTTTAGAAGGGAGCTCAAATATCAGAAGAAAAAAAGAAAAAAAAAGCGCAATAGAAAAATTTAATAAGACGAAAAAGGACAAATAAAATGGTTTCAATTATTGTTGTTTTCCCACTTGTTCCTTTCTTGGCGAAGGCACAAAAATATCCAGTTTAAGGTTATATAAATCATCAAAAATATATTGCTTTTGACAATCAAAACATTATTTTTAGGTAATTATTTACATGATTTAATCAAGTTTACCAGTCTTATTAATTTTCCAGCAGAAAGGCAATCAATCCACTTTCCACTTTGCACTTCCTTTGGTACGTATAACAAATTTATTTGCCACTGAAAGAGTATATGGCTCACTGCTACAAGCTACAAGTACTCAGAAAGTGTTTTGAATAAATAAGCAAAAATGGGTTGCAAGGAGCAAGCAATCCTTGCTCAATGCAAAGCTAACAAGTGAAGAAATCAGCGGCCAAATGGCAGAGCATAAGGCACAAATGTCAAATGTCTGGCATCCTAAGGGATTCTGGGGGTAAGAAGGGGGGCGTGGTTATGGTAAACGACATGCCGAATGAAGCTTTTGCATTGCGCGCAGGCGAGCGCATAATTTTCTACCAATTTCGTTTCCAGCTTTTTATTTTATATTTGCTCCTGTTTAGTACTTTTTTTTTTAGACAAAAATGGATGTGGAAAGAGCTGTTTGTTTATTTGTAAGCCAGCGGGGGGCTCTGATTTGCCACCCAAGTGTGTGTGTGTGTGTGTGTGTGCGTTGGTGTGTGAGCTTCGCATTGCATATAAGCAGTAAGTTTTTGTAATGGATGCCGCTGTGGGCATTGCTAATACGCCCCGTGGCACACATGCGTTGGCAGATGGGGGCTGGAACATGGGCGTGGGTGTAGCCATAATCATGCAGTTTGTGCCACAGGCAACAAGCGCTTAGATTGCCTCATTTGCCTGATTTGCTAGAATATTCGTATGTGTGGGCCATGGCGGAGGAGTCTGTGTAGGCTGTCTGTGTGTGCGTATGTTTTTATATTTGCTTGCCACGCTGATTTGTTTGCGCGACCAAAGTCATTAGCTGCTGCCGCAGAGTCCATAAAAGGAGCATATACGCCTAGACACAGCTGTCAGTAATGAAAATATATCCATTACAGCCCCCCCTACTCCCCACACCCAATACAAACATGAAATTATACATTTTGTTTATCTTACTGCTGCCGCTGGGTGTCTGGGTATGATACAGCGTGATGCTTCCAACTAAGCTGACCTTTAACTCGGCGCCTGGTTTGTTCACAGCTGGAGCAGAGTCCTGTAACCAAAATGGCATGCATGGAGCGTTGCATGTTGAACTGGCAGAATGAGGCGTTCAATACCCAAGCACTGCTGGCCATGGACCAGGATCAGCCAGATTCCGCGTAAATCCTGCAGCTGGATGTGCAGCAACTGTCGGAGTGTCGCCTAAATGTACACAAATTTGATTGCACGTTAAAGTGTATGTTTGAAAAGTTTACATTGCCCCTGAAATGTACACGGAATGGCGATCTAAAGCGATCTAAGGGCTAGTATAAAATTGATAGCATACTTTTATGGGCGTAAATATAATTGTCAAGTTCGCTGTGAAAATGATTTAGAATTTTGTGGGTAAGGCTTAAAGTTGAGTTTCTGGGATAAAGTAACTCGCAAAATGAGATGATAAAGCAGTACTTGTGTTGGACATTCCGTCCAATAAATGAATACATTCAATTAGACTATAAAATAAAACAGCTGTAAACATTAAGCCTGAGCGTAATTAAAGCAAATATTCCAACAAATAAAATGTGTGAAAATACAGCCAAATTGATATGTAAATGTCTGCGCATATATAATTAAATATACGATACCGATTAAGTTTAATTGCATGTTCAACATTATACAAAAAAAAAAAAAACACGAAACGAAGCGAAATAAAAGCGTAAGTGAAAGGAATCCAAAACCAAAAAAAAAAAAGAATAAACAAAAAATGTTAAGCAGACCCGCATACTTACTGATGTCTGTGTAAGTGGGTGTGGTGTGTACATATTTCAATTTAATTAAAACGTTTTCAATTTTATGTGTTTTTCTTTGGCATTTCGGTTTTATTTAAATTCATTCAATTATAACCAAAGGTCAGAGAAGCACAAGTATCGCAAATATTCGGTTTATCTGTGGAGTTTCCGGATTTCGTTGCTGGAATTTGTTTGCATGCTGGACAATTTCAAATGTGCAACAAATCCACATGCGGCCGCTGAAGGCCAAAGTTGAGTTAAAGTTTGGCATGAGGCCAGAAAACCAAAAAAAAAAAAAAAAAGTGGTCGCCTAAAACAATTAATCATTGCCACATGCGTTGACCTTTTTGTGAGGGTATGTTACAGTTTGAGTAACTGCTGCGATGACAAGTGAGTCAATTAATCTAACGGCCCAATTCCTGTCAAACTGCAGACGACGAAGGTCATGCGTTATAATTAAACATGACTGTTCTTGCTGCTACTGCTGCTGCTGTTGATGATGATGATGATGATGGTGACCATGTGGCTACCTCTCACCTTGAGGCGCGACTGACTGGCGCGACGCATAAATTTCAATTTGTTATGCTCAGCTCCTGTCTGAGAGCTCACCTCGACTGTGGCATGCATTTAAATGCGTGCATGGCCAATATGTAAAATGTTTTCGTGCCATAACCCAAATGTGCATTCCCAATTAGCAGGCTGGCACATAAATTATGGGCCTTTTTGATTGTAGCAAGGAAATTAACGCGGAAGTTGTTACGCTGCCAAACATGACTTCAATGCATATATATCGCGCATAATGTGCGAAATATGCAAAATATGCGAAATACGTAAATATGTGAAATATGTGAGATATTTTGATGATGGGTCAGCGTATTGCTGAAATATGCAAAACGCGTTTTCCGCTTTTAGCCCGTTGTTGCCTGTCAACGTCATGGGACGAGGTAATTGGAGATGCTCCAATGATTCGCAAAGCTAAGCACTTTAAAATGTAACTGTAAGTGAATTGCACAGTTTTCATTTTTATGTTTCCATGAAAACATGGTTCAATTTCACAAAAGTTAATAAAATGAAATGTAAAAAGAAAAGAAAGAATTCCAAATATTTTAACACATAAAAAGCTGCTAGATGTTGCAGCTAAAAGTGAACAAAAACCTGTTTATATTTAAAATTTAATCAAAAATGTATATAATACTTAGAAGCTCAAAAATTGATTTATTCAACTCCGTTGAAGGTAATCAACGAAGGTAAGATATGAATATACCAACAACTAAAGCTATCAACAATTTTGTATCTGTGGCTCTTTTATATTTGCAAAGAATAATGCATTTATTAACCTATTCATGTGCTATTAAACTATGGAGGTCGAATAATGATATACCAATAATAATAATGTTAGAGCTAACAATAAGTTTGCAGCTCAATTTTCTCTGTATTTATACTCTCTTCTCTACACTACACTCAATATAATAAGAGATTGGAAGCCACTTTCAAGCAAATCCAATATACATTGAGCATTCACGATTGTAGCTTATTTTACAATTTGTTTTATAAAATCGGAGAAATTGCACGCCCTTCCGAAAAGCAAAATTGAAATGCAATTCAATGAAAAGCATTTTTCCGCTTTCGTGTGGTTTTTATGAGAGTCACGTACGCATCGCCATTGTCAATCAGTTGAAAATCTCTGCGAGTTTCCAGCGATTTCCTTGCTGCGTGCAATGCATTCACGTAGTGACAATTAACGTTACAAGCGGCGTATGTGTAATATTTTGGAATTTTCAGCTTAGCTTCGTTATATATGTGTGTAACTTGCACAATAACAAAGCCAAATTTATGTTAAAGAGCTGAATGAAGTTATCCAATTTTATTTTGTTTGTTTTGAGGGTCGCAATAAACATTTACAAGACAGAGAGACAGACAGAGAGAGAGAGAGAGAGAGAGAGATGGGGGGGCGGGGGGCATAAATGTCACGCCCAGTTCAATTGACGAATTTTGGCTCGTGAATCTGCGCCTTTGTCTGCGCACCTTTGTTGAACTTTTATCGCTGAAGTGCCAACAAATTTTAATAAGAGGACCTTATTATGCCAAAGTGACATTTTTCAGCTGCCTGCAAACACTGCATTCATTCATAGGCCAAAGAGTGTTTTCCAGCAAGCTGCCAACTTTATTTTTATTGCGTTTATAAACTTTGCCCTTACAGAAAAGCGCAGCAAACCCAAAGTTCAAACCCCAAATTTATATAAAGTGTACATGTATACGAACATAAGTATAAGTGCAACAATTTACCAGCTAAGGCCACAAAATGTATAGTTAAAAAAATATATATATACATATATGAAAACTTTTGTCGCTTTACAGGACCAGACACGCCTGAGTACAGGTGTGTAGTATGCCTAGTGCCATTAAAAAATGTACCCAACATTGTTTTTGTCTGACAAGGCAACGAAACACGCCCTGTCTAGCATTAACAGAGCCGCTAACAGCGCCGTTAACAGAGGGCTGTGAACAGCAACGTTAACAGCGCACGCTCTTCGAAGCTTACTGTTGGCTTGTGTGCTTTTGCCTCTGTTTTGGCTTTTGTCTTTGCTTTTGCGTTTGCAAATGGCAGCAAAGACTGGCCAAGAGCCACGTAGCTGCTTGTTTAAATACAGCACGCACAGTTGTCTGGCAATTTATTCCAAGTTCGGCCGGCTTTTGTTGCAATTGGTGAGTGCGGTTGCCGCAGCAACTCCGATAAACAAAGATACGCGTAATATTCGTCATTCAACTTTTTTTAAAACAAGAATTATTTAAAATATATTTCAAACCTGTCGGAAACAAAGAAACTTTTTTAAATCGCTTAGAAATAATATTAAAATGTGAAAAAAGATTAAAAATAAAATAAAATATATTGAAAAAATAAAATAAATAAACCAATTCATCAAAGAACGAACGCCTGCCAATAAACTTTGAGAAACCTAGTCTTGTCTCCATAAAAAGTAGAAGAAATAAATTGACAGACAGAAAAAACCAAGCACCTACAAAATTTAGACATTTCAATTAAGGTTTAAATTCATGTTGCTTGTCAGAAATCTCCGAAGTGTCTAGCCGACTGGGGTACAATAAATAAGGAGACAAAAACAGAAAATAAGAAAACAAAGAATTTAGTGTACATAAAAAATGACAGAAATTAATGCAGCACATCAGGCAATTTCTGCAGTAAAAACAACTGCTGAAATAACTGAGACGATGAAGACTCAAATCACATCGAAAACGACAACAACAACAGGAACACCAAGACAAAGGACTCTGATGCGTACGGCAGAAATGGACGCCGATACGGATGACGGTGAGACCGATGATGTGAATTTGGATGCTGCGATTACAGCTACTGTTTCTGCCACCGATGATGTTGATGGGGATGCGGACGATGCGGCAGATAGCATCACATTGGAGCTGGCATTATCACCGACGACACCAACACCACCACCGCCCACCAATGGCGACGAGGATCTCGCTGCGCTGGACAACAGTAAGCCGTTCAAGGTGGGTTTATCCCGTTTTCCCGTTGCCGATTCACGTTACCGTTTCTTTTCAATAGCCAAAGGACATACACTCGTTGCCCTATTCATAGGGCAGCTTCCAATTGTTAACCGGCCAGCAATTCGTTAAGTGATTACGGACTTCTTTTTGTTGGGCGGTGTTCGCAAAACATTTGATGCTCAGTGCATAAAGTGAAGTGGAAGCATCAAACAGGATCTAGGCGCAAGGCACTAGCCAAACTGGCCACTCAAAACCGTTTGGCTTCGAGAGCCCTGCGCTTGTTCTGGCTGTTTTTTTCTCTTCTTCATTTTTTGCTTTGGTGCTGGTCCCGCGTTTGCTTTTTAGTCGCCCTTTAGGCTTTTTTGGTTTTCAAGTGCTGCAGCAGAAGCTCGACCAAATCATATTGCTCCCAGTCTGCAAACCCCATCAAGTGGCTAAAAACGAGGTTGAAATAAATTTGCGGAGGTGTATGTGTAAAAGGCAGCAAAAAAGCCATGTTTTAAAGTGGTGTTCTCTATATCTGCTCTTGATCAGCATCAATAAGCCGACATTTTTCGTAGGCAAAAGGGATGCAAATGTAAAATCAAAATAAACTCAATGAAGTTTGTTTGAAACCGGAATTGAAACCGTTTGATTAACCGGAATATTTTTGACAAACTAACTATTGAATTTAATTTTATTTTCAATTTTAATTAATCCATCTTATTATCCAGAACGTATTAGCAAATTGAAGCAAATTGCACAAGCGTATCAAAACTTCTTACTTTTCTAAGATTTGGTAACATATCCCCTGAGAACGGGCGGACATAGGAAAATCCAAGTAAACTTTTTGTAACAGCTTAAAAACTCTTGTAAAGAATTGCGACACACTTGAGACATTGCTGTAGGACTGCTTGCTTTTCCTTACATGTTTCAAACGGCTAAAAGTGGATTTGTTAAGGTATTTAGGCGCAAATTGTCGACTATGTTAAACCTACCATTAGCACAAAGTTTAATTGAATAAACGGCCACATAAATGCTATTAAAATATACAGCAAATTGCGCAAGCAGCATTTTATAGTCTTTTGACATGCAAATTATTGTATATCTTATACGTTGAAATTATCTTTGATCTTGGCATATTATTTGAATGATTTTCTGGTATTATGAGCAGTAATTTTGATTCATTATACGTATATGTATATGACAAAAATGTAATTTTCCAAGTAATTTAAACTTTTTATTAAACTTGCAGCTTGCTTGCCTAAAGCTTAGCAAATTAAGGGAAAATTCACCAAATTTGGGTAAAATTGTGTGTTAATAACAAGCCGGAAAGAGGAAGCTAATATTGTGGTTCGCTAACAATTGAAATTAATTAAAACTGTTAGCTATGATAGAAAGGACAACAACTGAAGCTTAAAGAACGTTGGCAACTTGGCGAACTTGGCCAGAAAGCGTAAAGTGGCCATTTAATGCTCATCTGCTTCGTAGTATAACATTAGTGTGTGGCTGCCACAATCTAGAACTAAGCTGCCGTTGCGTCTGGTGCGCGTTGGTGCCGATAACGATGTTGCTACCACTTGTGCCATGCGTCACCAGACACCAAAGTAGTAGCCACTCCTCACTCTCATTTCTCGAGTGCTTGTGTGCTCTGTCTGCCAGTCTGCACCCCTAATCGATTTATTGTCGGGATAAAACGTTAAAAAGCGCCATAACAAAATCAACTGGCCCAAGGATCAAGCGACAGGACAAAGTTTATACTTAAACTGGCCAAGCGTTGAAGTGCTCACAAAGTGATTTTGTCGTATATATTTTATTTGGCGAGACACGATTATTAATTTATTGTCCTGTAAACTATCTCAAAAATGTTTTGTTGGCAATTTGTCGCTGGCAGAAAAACTGCGCAAAAGATTTCCACCAGTTTTCCTGTTTCCTGAGTTGGTCGGCCAGCATGTCGTATGCGTAATTTATGTGGCATCCATCTAATTAATAAACATGTACGGCATGTTACATGATTTTGACAAGCATCCATTGTTACAGCTACCTTAATGGGCAACTTGATGTCTATCTGACAGGTTGTCTGTCTCCTTGGCTGACGTGCACCACTTTTTCAACAGTTGTAATTAATTAAATTAGCCACATAACGAGCATATTGTGTGTGTGTGGCATTGTTTTAACAAGCATATGTCTAAAAGAAGTAGGACATCGTTGATGGGATGTAGCTTAGCTATCCCAAATCTCTAAGCAACATGTCTTCCTTCAAATAAATAAAATAAACGGATTATTTAGTAGTTTTACTTTGGTCTTGAGTGCACGTTGAAATAAAATATTGTTTTAAATTAATGTCTTGAGGTCTCGGTGTCTCTGATATCAAAGCGGACATTGTGACCAAACGGAAAAAGAAATAATTTGCGGGCTCAACCTTATTACTTTATGGTTTACATTGGTTACGAAAGGTTTTTTTTTATACTTAGGCTTCTGGGTTACTCTTTGGACATAAATGCAACTTGATAGAAAGCTTTTTGCAAAGTAAAGAAAAAGTAACTAAGTGAGTAACAAGCAACAGAAAGTTTTACTTAACTTACGAACTTTTGTTAAATAATTTGAAAACGGTTGCAAAGAAGCACCTAATTGAGTTTTAAGGTTATATAATTCTTTACAGGACTTTAACTTATATTCAATGTGTTGAATTTGGTTTACTTTTTAAATTACTTAATAACTTTGCCGACTATTTTATAATATTTTATTTGTCTACTTGATGTGTTTTATATACTTTTTGAGGGTATTATTATTTTTTCATTCAGTACAGTGTTTCTTGCATGTTTTCTTGTGTCCGGTCAATGTAATTGCAATTTGAAGAGATCCTTTCCTTTGTCATGGAATAGCCGTTAGGTAGACTTATTGAAATCGTTAAGCAACTGTATAAGAGGACTTTTTAAAGCAAGCTAATCTCACAGCCATCGTCTCTTAATAGCTCGTTATGCGGTCATAAAAAATGTGAATGGAGCACACCGTGTGTCCTTATGTGTAGTGAAAACAGGACGACTCCCTGCTGGCTTGGTGGGTGTAATACGAATGCGACATGGAAAACGCATTTGCTTTTTTCTGTTTTCACCTACAATGTACAAATAAAAGCAATGTTTCAGACATGAAGAACAAGAGTAGAAGCAGGAGCCGAATGCCGAAATCCTTATATCCTTATAAGGCCGGAATGAATTAAGTTGCCCGAACACACATGTTGAAACATAACAACAACAACAACAACAGCAATTACAGTAACTGAAAGCTACAATTGAGTCTCACACATTGCGTATACGCAACGTTGCGCATTAAAGCAAATATGCGAGTTTTATTCCTGTCCAAACAAGCGTGCAACTTGAGTACGCCATTCCAAGGATGGGATGGTAGGCGGAGATGAGAGGATATGTTGACTATTTGCTAATAATATGCGTGTCAAGGCGGTGACAAGCATGTAAATTGCTGTGTATTTCATTTCTCTTTTGTCGCTACTCGGCTCTCGACCCTCTGTTTATTTGTTATTGTTGTAAAATAGCGCTTAATGCTCTTGCAAATGTGGCGACTAAACAATTTCAATAATTTGATAGCCGCAACAAAACGTTGCCGAGTCACGGTTACTCTTGCATTTTGATGACAATCGTGGGAAATTAGTGCCAGCAATGATGGCAACATTGAACCTGAACTTCGCACAGTGGTGACACAACTGAATACTGAAATATAATATAAACAAATTATTCACTGGAGCTACATATAAGTGACTTCTAGTTAAGTGATGGGGAGTAACTAGGCATGCAATAATTGGCTTACCAAAGGATATTATGTAACCACAACTTATATAATTTAATTGAAAATTGCTTCAAGTGGCTATCTTTTCAAGTGGGATACTTTATTGAAACAATAATATCATAGGCAGTTTTGATTACTACATTTTACGGCTGTAGTCCATCGTACGTAAAGCATTGGCATGATAGAATGTTTGTGTTAATTTCGATTCAACAGCAGCTCAGTTGCCCAGATACGATATTGCAGATACGCATTCCTGATGAGGTTTACAATTACCTGTCGAGTACTTTTAGGGATGGGGTGTCATTATAAATGCATGAATGCATTGGCATCTGTACATTGTCCTTGTCAGACCTATGTGCTCTTGCTTTCTCCACTTCCTGAATCGCCGGACTAATATTGATGTGTGAGCTGGCAAACGAAATCAAATAGAGACAGTCAATGTGCTGTTGATGAAGGCAATTTTAGACAGTTTCATTTTCATGGCTAACATATTTGTCAGTATAACTGACAACCTAACCAGAGTGTTGGCAATTGAATGGAAAGCAAACATTAATTCGCCTTTCTTTCCTATACCTGTCACAATTCATATTGATCAACAAATACTAAAAATCTCGTTTTCATCAATAATATTTTACAAATTTGTGTTGATTGGCAACTCCGTTTTAATAATCTAAAATGCCTTTCCAATGTAAGTTGAATCTGTTCGGACGATGAAGGCAAGACTTATTCCGTATTCATGTCCATTATTGAGCTGCCATTTGATATGCTATTCGACATACAAAAAGATGAGATAACTAAATCTAGTTTCTCAAAATATTATACTTGCTTTTGGGTTAGAGAAAACAAAACTTGTTGGAAAATATTTGAGGAATAGACTTAATAGACCATTCAAAATGATTGAACGTACTTGACAAAAAGGGTTTGCCATGAACTAGGACTAGGCCATAATAAATTACTGGTCAATTTAAGCAAAGTGGCAAGGAGTGCGAAAAAATTGCTCAAAATGCAGCAGTTTGAAATAACCTTTTAAATTGAGCAAAAAATTGAAGTAAAGGCCAGTGTAAAATGGGGAAATCTGAAGAGAGCATTGTTCAGTTCGAAGAAAACATCTGGTTTTTTTTGTAAGAGAGTGGCGAATTCGGAGCAAAACAAATTTAAGAAACGCACTTAGAGCAAACAAAGCCAGAGGCCATTGGCGTATGGCAGCCAAATAATCAGCCTGAAACCAGTCTCCAGTCTCAGCCACTCAGCCAGGCAGGCAGGCGGGCAGGCATCCAGTCTCGCACTCAGTTGACCAAGCAGCAAACGTGGCAATCAGCAAGTCAGCGAAGTTGGCTCAAACAGTTTTGGGTTTGAAGTGTTTGGCGAGGAAAGAAGAACTCTCAACTCAACTAAAAATAAGCAATGCGTAAAAAGCAGACTTTTTACAAATTAAAAATACTTTTACTATTATTACTTCGACAACATTGTTACATCCATAAACTCAACGTTCAACCCTCTTGAGGCAACACAATACAAGTCAGTTCAGTTCAGTTCAGTGCTGTTCAGTTCGGGCCATGCCAAATGTAAATATAAGTTTAATGGCCAACACGCAGTCAGGGTAGTCAGGCAGACCAAGTGGCCGGACTAAGAGGAAAAAGGTGGTCAGTTCTCTCCTTTCGTGCTGTGGGCGTCTGCCATATGAATTCCCATAAAATGGCTGATAAGTTTTCATTGTTGTTCGCCAGACGCAACATTGTCGGCTGAATGATGATGAAATCTCCTGGCGCTATAATTGGTTTAGCAAACGTGTGACGATCAATGATTGATATGGCTGGGCGTATGATAAACATCTGCCAATGGTTTAACTTAATGGCTTATTTGGAATGACAGGCCCATTATCACGCCCAGACAGTGTCGTCCCTTTCACACAAAGGGCTGATAATACTAACGATGATTAGACCTCAAACATTGATCGATCAAAAGAAGAGCACCCTCATTTTGTGGATGACATGTCGTATACTTAATATTTATATCAGGCGTTACATATAATTCGACAGTTATACTTTGGCTGCTTACCTTTTGCTGAGTGCTTCGTTGTCATTTTTCTTTTGTTGATTGTTAGACCCATCCGCTTCCCTTCAGCTCTCTCTCTCTCTGTCTCTCTCTCTCTCTCTTGGTCTACCTCACTCTTTTGGCCATTTGAAATTGACAGAGTTATGCTTTAAATATTAAGTAGGCCATGTTCGACCAAGTTTTTGCCCCCAAAAATATAATACGATACCTGAACGCATGACATGATTAAATTGACGTAGTTTTTTTTATTGCTGTTGTTTTGACTTTATTGTTATGGCAAATAATAAATTGATTATTTGCTTGTAGCTGTTGGCTGTTTGCTGTTGGCTTTTAGCTGTTAGCTGTTAGCTATTGCCTTATATACAGTACATAGTTCATCGCATCCTTAAAGCATCCTTATCGCTGTCGTGTGCTTGGATGGCATTTTGTTGTTTTTATTGGCAGCTTAGCAGAGGGGGCAATTCTTCAATGTTTCTGGCATATTTCAAATTAAGGCAAACTTCGCTGACGTTTATCCCCTCTGTTTTCCACCCAGTTTCCTTTTTTTGCCTGCTTTTGCGCTCAATCAAAAAAACGGACATTTTGATAATAGGTAAATGAGTGCGAGAGAGTTTTAAGCAAGAGTTGTATGCATATATATATTTTTAAAAGTATATATATATTTAGAATCAAGTGCTTTAGCGGGATTTTAATTCACATTAAAGCATTCATCTTCGGGGTATTGTAAATTCAATACCCTTGCGTACAATTGTAAATTGAGATTCTTAAAGTGAATTCTTAATTATATTCATTAGTTCGTTAAAATGTTTCCTCGGCAAGGGTATGCCAATGTTATTGCTTGAATAACAGTTGCTCATTCAGTGCACATTAAAGAGATATTTATATATTGTGGTTAATTGAAAAGAATGTTTGCTGACTTCCATTTATAGAATAAGTTAATGAATGGCAAAATTCTTGAGCAAAAGTTGTTGTTGTCAACCTTTGTATGCTCTACAGTAAAATCAGACAATTCACAGACAGACAATTCATGAAATTCTATCAAATATAAGATAATGAAAATATAGTTTGTATAAGTGATGACTTTGTGAATTTGGTAAAAACATCAACTTTTTTAATTAAGGAACCGCAAGATGGAATTGAAATAAATTTGAAGCGACAGTTAAGATTTCCGTTTCTAGAATTGTTGTGTTATATTCAGGCCAGCAGCGGCAGACATTTTTGGTGTGTGTAAACAAATTAATATCTCTTAAACTCACTAACACACGCGCAGGTCAAGGACATCACACGCAACATACGCAAGGCTGTTGTTGCCACAACATTGGCCGAGTTGCGCCTCAAGGTGGCCGCAAAGTTTCAACGCGCTCAGCCTGCGATTCATTTGGATTGCGATGGAACAGAAATTGATGATGAAGAGTATTTTTCGACGCTCGAGGCAAACGCGGAGTTGATTGCCGTTTTTCCTGGCGAACAATGGCGAGATGTAAGCTTGTTTTTCTTATTCACACATTTGACTTTCTGGCTTCACTGTACAGGTTTCAATTTTTAATTTAATAGCCCAGCGATTATAATGCGAATTTACGTCGCACTTCTTTGGATGCTCATCGTTTGCGTAAATTGGTCGGCAAGCTGCAACAGAATCTGCTGAACGATGCCGATTTGGATAAACTATCGAATATGGATCCCAATTCGCTGGCAGATATCACAGGACGCGAGATCAAGGACACTGAACATTGTGTGCACAGTGAGGCAGCTCGACGATCGACGGAGTTGTCCTGTTAAACGACGAACGTTGGAAGAAGAAATTGTTGCACTTAGCAAATTTGTGTCTATTAATGTTGAATCACCTAGAAACCTACCTTAACACTCCTATTATTCGTATGGGAAATAGCACAGTGAAACGTCGCTTATGATAGATTTGTAAGGAATTTGTAAGAGCTTTTGTATGTCAAGCTGAAACTGATAAGACAAATATCAGGTTCGAGTATTTTTGGAGCATGTTTTGATAGCACCTAATGAAAGCGACGATTTAGACAGCTTATATATGTATATGTATGTATAGTTGTAGAGCACTTCCAGTATTTTCAGGATAATCATCATTTTTGAAACTAAATTTGTAATGTGAATATGAATAAGTGAAATTAAATTACACTTCAAATCAACACTAGTCTGTTCCTAGACCAATATGCTATATAGTATATACATAGACCAAAAGTCCAATCTAGTATGCCCAAAAGTCTACCATAACCAAACGACTATAAACCAATTAATAGCTGCTTCAAGCAAACTTAGGTATATACAATCTAATTATTAAACAGGGTTGCCAGATCCCTAAATTATATGTTCGAAACCGAAAAGTTGATCGCTTGATATACATATTTTAAAAAGATATGTATATGTATGCGTGTAAATTTGTTACATATAGCTTTTGGTTAATAGGGAGCAAATAATTTTATAAAAATTGAATGCAATTTAAATCATTTAATTATAAACCAAAGACGCAATAAAATTCAAAACCAACAGCAAACAAAAAATAAAGCTAAAACAATATATATATATATATATATATATAAATTGAATAAATTGAGATGTAATTATATATTTTATATAAATGTCTGTGTGTGTATGTGTAATCTACTGCACTTTGTTTAGAAATTAAGTATGAAAAGGATACAATTTAAAGAGTCATTGAAAGAGGCAAAATGAATTGCAATTTACGATAACAATACAAAACTCTTCTTCTAAGCATTTTGTGCACAGTTTATAACACGAATATTCCACACAAATCGATCGAATTGAAATGGGTAACTCGGCAAATAAGATAAACGCACGAAAACTTTTTGCATTGTCAGTCAGTTCAAGAATAAATTGAGATTAAATGTGTTATCAGGCTTGCGTTTTATTTGCGGTTGCAACGAGCATCAAGGGTAAGTAATGAATGGATATAAAAGTAAGAAAAAAGATTATCTTAGGCACACAGAAGATTACACACTCTTAAAACGTGTAGATTATGATGTGTTTTCGCTTATGAAACTCGGTTTAGTTTTGTTACAATTATTGCTACTTAAATTTTGTATTTAATCCAAAGCCCAAAGCGTGACCAAAAAGTTATTGCAACAAAGTTTTAACTGTGAAAAGTTATGAGCCGTTCCCACATTCATTTTTTCTAGCCAGCTTTATATATATATTTAATAGCGAACACTTTAAATATGAATATTTTTATTTGGTAATTATTTACTTAACTTTTAAGTAAAGTAATATATATATATATATATATAAATCTGTGCGCTTTAAATTGTCAATTTAAAATCATCCAAAGTATATTATACTTCTGTTACAGTATTCATCTTTCAATTTGCATTTGCACACTTTTGCAAGATTTTTGGCATCGTCCTTTTGCCATTTTCTCTTGCTGTTTGCATATTTTCTTCGAAATGCGGATAACTTTAGCATAAATGTTTTCAACCGTAATATGTTATTTGCATTTTTGTTTTATAACTATTTGCCGTTGGCAATGACCAAAAAACGTTTATACGCTTAGCCTTTGGCCAATCTAATTAATCGGCATTGGCCATTCGAATTTAATTATAGAATCAACTGCTTAAATGCACTTGGCTAAATGTTGATAATATGTTACAAGATATCAAAGGTCAGCAATAGTCAACTGGCCTAGTGGGCATCTATTTAATGATAATTGCTAAAGCGGCTTTTGTCTAAATTATCTGCTGATTGAAATCCAAGAACCACTAATCAGTTTCCGACTGTCCAAATTCTTAGCTGTCCAGTTGTCCAGCTGTCTAGTTGTCCAGCTGTCCAGTTGTCCAGTTGTCCTACTGTCCAGCTGTTCAGCTGTAGGTGCAATTTTAATTATGCAAAGTGCCCGATGCAGTTTGAACGAGAGAATCTGCACTTAGTTGAATTTGCTTTGGCATCTGGCGGCAGCTTAGTGCAAATTGAATGCTACTTTTCGAGATTAGCCTGTTTGCATATCAGCTTAGAAGCTATTAGCCAAACAGGCTCAGTCGCATTTTGATAGCCGTTTGCGGAGAATGCTTTACTCGTAATATCTTTTCATAGTAAAAGACCAATAAAAAAAAACATGGAAAACACATCATTTATTTGCTCTTGCTAGCAGTGCTGCCGAAAGGTAAACACGCCGTCGCAAAAGTCACTCAAATATTCTTTAAAGTCGCCTAAGGGCCTGCTGTTGTGTATGTATGTGTGTGTGTGTGTGTGTGTGTGTTGCATAAGAAATATAACACCACAAATAAAAAAGACTCCAAAAATGTCGTGCGAATACTGTGAATACAGAATGCCCTGTGCGCATAAGGAGTTTGATATATGGGCAACAATTGAAAAACATGGCCAGCAAAAACAGGTGCAATAAAATTATATTTGAATACCCCTGTTGAGTGCTGCATTTGCCTAAAGGTTTGCTAACTCTGTGAGGAGGTATTGATTCTTTCTAAATATTTAAGCTTAACACTTAATAAGATAATCATTAAACCTTTACTTGGGCTTCAACTTAACGTAAGTAAAGTCAGAGTTACCGATTCTGGATGAGATATGTAAAATATAGAATAATCTAAGGATCTTAAGTTAAAGTAAAACTCGCCAATTCATAATTAGCTATCTAAGATTAAGATTTCTTCACGTGTACTTAACAACTTAAAATATTTATCTGCTCTTCCAATTAAGATTACAGAAGCTACTATCTTTCTAAATTGGTATTCGTTGCATTGATATTTATTTTATTTAGTTTATTTATAAGCTAAAAACCTGGGACAAATAGAATGTGAATGTTTGGTTTCATAACATAAAAACTTTAAAACTTGACTGGCTTTTCTATATAGTTTTTTGCCTAATGTATATTTGGAATTAATATTGTATTTCATTCAATTTTCGACTATCTTAGAAAACGTAATTTAAATGATAGTAAAATGGAAATAACCAATTGTCAGCATTCAAATAAATTTAAATGTAGCTGTCAAGGAGAACATCAACTATCAAACTGAGGGAAACGCTTATCTTAACGCTTCACATGGGCCCCTATTGGTATGCAATACAAAAATGTGACAAATTCTATGTCCACTCACATTAACATACACACACGCACACACACACACACACACACACACACACACACACACACGCACACACACACACACATACATACAGCATTTTCAAGTTGACAGCCAAAAAGGACAATGGATACGGATATGCATTCATATATTTTCAATATATCGAAATATCTGTTGGGAATGGAAAAAGGTAAGGAGCCAGGGTGTGAGTGATATACGTTAGCGCTCATATGAGTGACAGATTTACATACACACACACACACAAATGCATATGTAAATCATTGGTCAGTGCTAAAACTTTGCCAGGGTCGTCGCTTTATTGTCTGCGCTCCATTCTGTGTTACTATATGTTTTTCATATGTATTTTTTGGCTAACCAGCTCATTTCCTATGCACCTCACTTTTTGCCTGTTCCTTGTTTTTACTTTTCTCGTTTCCTTTTATAAAGTTTTGTGTGTCCTTTTTTTTTTTTTTTTTTTGTTCACTTTACTTTTTTGGTGTTTGTTGAAAAGTTCGAACGTGCGACGGGTGCCAACTGCCAGCCGAAAATGGGGCAAACTGAAAACTGGGCAAGCTGACAGCTGAGGTCTGGCTGCCAGGCGCGGTTTGCATTAACAACTATGAGAGATTTATGCAAAGGATATGCGCTTCTTTGGTATCAGTTACCGTTACTTTTATATGCTTTATAAAACCAACACGCTCAGCCACTCTGCCCCTGCCGCCTGCCGCCTGCCGCCTGCCGCCTGCCGCCTGCCACTTGATGCCCAGACTTAGCACACCACAGCTCATTCAGCTGTCGGGGGATTTGGTTGTTGTTTGTTTTCAATGTTGTTTTTTTGTTTTTACCTGAGCAGACGCCGCAACTCCAGCTGATATCCTTGAAATTGATGGCAGCTGCGGGAAGTGACGCTATAATCCTCGAACACTGTCATTGTTGCTGAATCAGATGTATTAAAAATGTATCGAATTTATTTTTATATGCTGCTAGTCTGAGATGGCGTGCAAAATGCGCATCCAGATGCACTTAAGCTTGCCCAAGCCAACAGCAAAAGTAGCCACCAGACGTGTGCCTGTCTGTGTGTGTGTGTCTGTGTGTGTGTCGGTCTGTGTCTGTGTGTGTGTGTGTGTGTGTGTGTGTGTGTGTGTCGGTCTGTGTCTGTGTGTGTCTGTGGTGTTAGTGGGTGTGGCTAATGCGGTTAAGCGTTGGCGTTTTCAAACTTTATCCGAACGAACATCAAGTAACTGAAGCGATTGTGATGGTAATATATACAAACACTAGACACATACATATATAGATATATACTTGCAGCTCTGGCAACAAATTCAGGCAAAAGTCATAGCATGGGAATAGATAGTTCTTGTTTGTTTTTGCATACTGCATATTTCATGGACTTATTGAGTAAATTACCCTTTTAAACAAATTAATCTAAGCTGCTTTAAATTTAAAACATACCTGCTTTTTCAGCTGCTGATTGAAGACTTAAGAAGTATTTTAATGTTATCATTGGTTTTATTTATCGTTTAATGAATATGTATTACAATTTGCGCTACAAACTAAAAATATGCACAACAATATTAAAAATATAAATGACGCACGATATTTTCAAAACGAAAAAGAGTAGGAAAACCATGAAAATCAGTAAATTGAAAAAAAGGTGACAATCTAGTATGATATTGTACATATAGTTGATATACTCGTACGAGAGAAACGCTAAATGCTGAATGCGTGACAACGTTTTTGCTTCATTTTAAATGCGCTTTGGACAACAACGGAGCAATAGATAAACAATAACAATTTCGACAGCATACAAAAAATAAAAACAAACTGCTTGGGCGTCGTCTAGTGTGTGTGTGTGTGTGTTTGTGTCTGTGTGGCAAGAGGATGTGGGGTGGGTGGGTTGGGGGCGGGTCACTAACAAAACGGAAACACGGCAACGAAATTGCTCAATAGACAAATTTCTTTTGCTCGCCATAGATGGACTCGTAGAGTGAGGGCGCCAAGTGTTCGGCAAGCAATATTTGCAGCTTCTCTTTGGCAGTCACTGGCGTGTAGCGGGCCATGGGGAAGGTCCTGGTCACAGCATCGATGAGCACGCGCAGCGTTGGCTGAATGTCAGCGGCCTGTTAATAAAAACAGAGTTTACCATCGTGCCACATACATTTCATTTGGGGAGCTGCTCACCTGGCGCGAGTATTTTTCCACAGATGTCATGGCAGACTCGTAGTAATCTTCGCCGTAGGCCTTCTTCTGCTCGGAGGAGAGCTGATTCCACATTTGCTTCGCCTGCAAAACAAAATGAAAGTTTTAATGAGAGGCCATGCGACACTCATGCGAAGCATCATCTGCAACTATTTTTATGTGTCCTCTTCGTTGCTGGCCAACAGGGGCATAATCGTAAAGACTGGGACAAGCCAGGGTCTCTTGTGTCTGGCTTGCCATGTCCTTGTCATTAAGTGCATTAATGGCTAGGTGCATTAAAAAGTGTGGTCAAGCAATTCGGTGCCTACCTGTTCGCGCAGCTCCGTCTCGTTTAGCCAGCCATTGCCAGGAGCAAACTCTCCACCTGCTACCACGGACACATCCACGCCGCGTGTGCGCATCTCCTGGCGCAGACAGGCAGCGAAACCGTCGACAGCCGCCTGTGTGGCACACTGGATGCCACGCACCGGGGACGGCACACGATTCAGGCCCGAGGTTAGGAACACCACACGTCCATGGGCACGACGCACCAGAGGCAAAAAGATTTGAGTCATACGTGCGGCGCCTAAATTCAGAGATTTAACAACAAAAATATAGCTAAATATTATTGGTTCGTTGTTAGAAGTGATTTTGGGTTATATTGTAAGACAAATAAAGGTTGTTTACACCAAAAACTTTGCTTTCAAAAATATCTTCAGTTAGAAAGCTTCTTTCAACTCTGCAAAACCTGCACAGTGGCGCCCTCACTCACCGAGTAGATTCAGATCCAAGCTTTTGCGCAACACTGCAAACGGTATCCACTCCAGTTCGCCGAGAGCAATCCAATGGGCACAATGTACCAGAGCCCACAGGCCCTCGGCGCCATGCGGCAAATGTTGAGTGACATAGCGAGCAGCTTCCAACAGCTAGCGAATGACGTACAATGGGTGTAATTGAATTGGCTAAAAGCTTTTAGAGCTTTTTTTGTAGACTTACACTTGTCTCGGATGTAATGTCAAGGTGCAGCAACTTCATGCGTCCCGAGGTCTCCTCCTTGAGGATTTTGGCCTCGTCCGAGTCATCTAAGGGCGTGTGAAATCCCGCATATACCGTAAAGCCCAGATCATCCAGTTTCTTAGCCAGATACCAGGCTAACGGTGAATCACAGCCGGTGATTAAAACACCCTTGCCCGGTGCAGATACCTGAAAAGATTAACAATCAATCGAAAAAGTTTATTCAACGATTCTTATGAGTTTATTTCAATTTCGCAATTTAATTACGATATGAAATATGTGTATATTTAACAGACTGTAAATCAAGCGGTAATTTATTTTGGTTTGGTTTTCTTAGAATTTACATTTCTAGGAATTACAGTTAATGTCCGAGCTATTTGACCTTCGTTAGTGGAGTTTGCTGCAGCACAATTTAAGAATGAGTAATAGGCTTTATTTAGATATGAAATGCTTTATTTTAAGAAAAGCACCAATTATTATTATTTACATTTTGCTAAAGATTTCTCTGAATTTTAACATTTAAGAAAAACATTAAGTACAAGTACAAAGAATTGTAATTTAATTAACTAGACAGTTCTTTACCACAATCTGCACCACAGCCTTACTGCTAAATTGAATGTCTTTATTATAAATATTTAATTATTTTACTTTTTTGAAGTGTGATTAATACTGTTGATTGAGAGCAATTTTCTCAATTATAAAATTTTCCGGTTTAAAGTTTTTATTGTGTGCGGAGAAAAAAGTAGTTTTCGCTTTCAAGGAACAATATTTTCTTAGTTGGCTCCATCTAAAGCTCTGACCGACTGACTGCGAGACAATTACACACCCACAAGCACACTCACACACACAGCACACACACACACAGCACACACACAGCACACACACAATACAAGGCACACAAACAATATATAAGGAGAGAGAAGCAAAACGTGTGCATTGACACTTCCGCTTTAGACACAAGCGTCTTCTGTCTGAAATGTTGTAGCTGTGTGAGTGTGTGTGTGTGTGTATCGGATGCTTGGCACAAAGGACAACCACCGTTTGTCCAAGCCAAGTCAGAGATGGAAAGACAGCTGGACAGATAGGCGACACGGGGGAACGAGGGATTGGGGAATAGGGAAGCTAGGCCTGAAGGCAACTTGTCTATAACAGCCGTGCCATAATTCATCATGCCATTAGCCAATATATATATATATATATATAGTATAGTAATAGTTTGTCACAGTATTGGTAAACGGTTCAAGTGTGGCGTCTCTAGTGCGTCAATTGTGAATTTGGGGCCGGGATGAGAGCAAACTTACTCATTGTTCGAGCTATTAAACGCTTATAAAGTGCTCGTAAAATTTGAGAGAAAAAAAAAGTCTTGTTGATGCAGAAGAAAAGCAGAGAGAAGAGAAGAGAAGAGAAGACTTCGACGTCGAGTCTGTGGTCTGTGTATTATTATTTAGCTGTGTGCTGCTGACACCCATTAAGACTGGCCGACATTTTATTGGTGGCTATAAGTGTTTGGGCTTATCAAATCTGTTGGCGTTTGGGCATTAATAAAAATAGAAATAACTATAGACAGTCGTCTGTCCCACTACCCCGCCACCTCCAACTGCCCCTTCCCCTTCTGCGTACACCTTCCCCGCACCCCCCCAAAATCCCCTCAAAGTGTCAGCTGTTTTGTAAGTTTTGGTCGATGGTCAGCGACAAGTTTTCGTTGTTTTTGTTGTTTTTGTTTGTTGCTTTTTATGCGACTTTACTTATTTTTGCGCTTTATATTTTGCCATAAAGTTTTGGTCAACTTTTGCTGCTGCTACGTGCCGCTGCAAGGATGTCTGGATACTGGCATTACTTTTTTGCTTAGCCACCCCAATTTATTGCGCTTCTGCTAAAATAACTGTAAACTTTTGGCGCAAGTAAATTGCAGTCAGCAACAAAAAAGCATCCACAGACTTAACGGGAATTGCGCAATTAAAATCGAGCACAAAAACCCTTTAGCAACAATATATTTAGAGTCAATTAAATGCACTCGTTGGCCGAGGGGCAACCGGCAACAATCTATACAAAATGTTGTGTGGCAAGCGAATTCGATGAAAAGAGGCGCATCGAATTACGCAGCTGTTTGAGGAAAGTGCAACACACTTAAGGGTTATTTTTTAATTCATTTCATTTATGCTTTATGCTTCTCAAATCGATCAAACTTCGCATTGAATTGCATTGCTTTTGAAGTAGTTATGCAAAAACAAAGCAGAAATTAAGTAGCTAATTTAAGTTACCTTTAAACAATTTAAGAAATTTTCTTTACCTTTTAATAATGACTGCCTAACGATTATATATTAAAAATATCCATCACAGATATAAAGGGTCATATATTTCATTAGAAAATAAAGTAAATTCAACGACTTTTGCAGCCACTCTCAGCTGACTTTAAGCTAAAGCTAAAGCCGTCAACAATTGTCAGCCGATCAACTCGCTTTTGGTTGTTTTCTTTTTTTGGCTATCACCGAAAACTGTCACCGAATGCCACTTGAGCAGCTTTTGGTGCCACACCAGAGGTGAAAATGGATGCCACAAAGAAAATAAAAATTGGCGCATGCAAAACAACAAAAGCGAAGACAACCGGCAAAACAAAAGTTGCACCAAAGTTCAGTTGGGGCAACGTGCAACGTATAAAGAGAACGATTGAGTTTGAGCCGCCAGTGTAAGCCAGTAGGCAAGCAACCACCGCACCACCATGCCACTCTACCACTGTAGCACCGCAACGCAACGTGGGCCATAAAAAGGTGGCAGTCATGTCATGTGTCTGGGAACACGGCAGGCTGCGGTTGCACGTCGCTCGCATTTGGCTTTTTATAAATGTTACCAAAATAGACGCGAGTTGCATGCACCAAAAATAGGCAACAACCAAACAGCGAAGAGTCGCAATCGCAGTCGCTGTGGGGAGGCGTATGTCAATCAACTCGAGCATTTAACAGAGTTGTTGTTTCTTTGCTTTTCTTTTCATTTCATTTCATTTCATTTTGTTTCATTTTGTTTTTTACTGCAGGCCGGATCGGCTCGAGTTGCAGCCGGAACCATTGTTAAGCGGAAATACGCCGCTTTTGTGAAGGGGCATCAATTGCGTTGCCGTTAAATGCATCCTCAATTGCATTTTAATTGCGCACTGCATGAGATTTACGAGCAGAGCAGCAGGTGTTATCTGCAGTTGGCTAACAGCAGAAAACGGCGCATTTTACGCGCCCTTTTAGCCAAATTTGATAAATGGCCCGGTGGCACGCGATTTGCTCGCAGCCCGAAGCTCCAAGCCATATAGACCTTCTCTGAGGCGGGAGTTCATTAATTTTGGCTTATAATTTATATACTTATGTCGGTGCATTATGCTGGCCATTATGCGGAAAACTGCAACAAGTTAGCGGCAAAAGTTTAATGAAATCAAATTGCGCCTTAAAGCTCTGCCAATGTGGTTCTGGTGCATTTGGGATGGGCGAGGTGTGCCGGATTTGAGGTTGGAGTGTGTTTATGTGTGTGTGTGTGTGTGTGTTGAAAGTTATGCGTGCAAAATGTAAACAACAACAAGGCAAAGCCGAGAACATGATCCTTCATTTGCCGCACAAACAAGCAATTTATGACCAACGAGGGCTTATAGGCTCCATGGGCAGGTGTGCATATATTCTGAGCATAATATGAGCTGTTGCCCTAACGCAAGTTTAAAAGTTGTCTAAGCGTATGAAATAAATTATAGCTAAAAGGTTTATTTTGAAATGTAAGTCAGTAAATGAAATCAAATAACATGAGATACGCAATCGAACAAATAAACAATGACCGTTGAATATGCTATTGAATAATTGAATTCCATTCCTTAATAATTCAGTAAAGGATTTTAATCGGCTCGGACTTTTATAAGTTTTTTCTCCATAACTTTTAGTTGAACAAATGAAATAGCAGATAATGACGCTGAGGGCTCGAGTGTTTTATCTGTTGTTGTTGTTGCTGTTGCTGTTGCTGTTTTTTTTTATGGTTCACCCAACCAGCGTATAAAACTCGCATAAGAAAAAGGAAAACAAAGAAAATAAGCGCTTGACCGCCCTGAGAGACCCCCTCATAAATCTACATAAGAGAAATGCGTGGCGTCCGCTTGCAGAGTTTAAGTGAAAAATGGCAAACAAACCGCATACAAATTGTCCTCGCACAGTTTCGTTATGAACAAGGCGACGAAATGTGGCCAAGAAAGCAGCACAGAAGCAAAGCGCTCAAAAAGCAACCGCAAATAAAACACAACAAAAATAAAAGAATACAACAAAGCAAAAAAAAATAAACCGAAATAATATATATATATTTAAGGGAAACACGCACACGCATGCACGCATATTAAATCAGTTGCTAAAAATAGCGAATGAAAACAAAAACCAGTAAAAACTCCCCTCCCAAAACAACAAAGCTGACAACGTACGCAATTTTCGAGCATGTTAAAGTGCAGACAGAAGAAGCACCGAATAAATCTATAAATGATGAAAACGACAAATACACAACAACAACAACAACAACAACAAGAAAAAAAGAAGAGAATAACAAAAAATAAAGGTAAAGCAAACGGCAAAAGTCATTGAACGTATTAAGCGGCAATAAATTAATTAACTGGAAAGTTAAAAACCATTTCTGTGTTTCGCTTTCGCTAACAAACACAACGCACACGTGCAAAGCTGGCAAGGGAGAGCGAGAGAGCGAGAGAGAGAGAGAGAGAGAGAGATAGAGAAAGAACATGTTGATTTCTGGGTTTTGTATTAACATTTTCTCATTATCCGGCCAAGAGAAGCGCGCTTATTTGCGGATACATATGAAGATTCAAATTTACATCTTTTGTTTCGTGTTGATGTCGTGTTAAGTTAAAAGCGCCAATCTCAATTCGCATAGTCATAAGCAGCTTCACACCATTCACACACTCACACACACACACACAGGCAGACACACTCATGCACACACACACTCACACACACATAGACACACGTATAGATTCTCATTCAGAAGTGTTGTCAGCATTAAAGGCTTTTCGCATTGCGCATACGAGGCGTTGTACGCCGCCTAACACTCAAGTTTGAGCTTGTTCAATTTGCAGCTTGTTCGTCGAACGCGACGCAACTCAGCTCGACTCATGTGGCAGACAACACGCAAGGCTTTGACTTTGTGGCAGCTAGTCAGTCAGGCAGTCACTCATTACATGCCACAAGCTCACACATATTTCAACAAAGGATTAATATACTATAAATGCATTTTCTTTTTTTCGATCTCCCTCTTCTCTCACTCTCTCTCGCTCTCTCTCTCTCTCTCTGTCTCCCTGTCTCTCTCGCTCTCTATTGCTGTCCTTCTCTTTCACTCTGTCTGTTTGCTTGTGTGCGTGTTACCTTATGATATTTTATCTATATTTAAATCGTGATAATGTTTTGGTTGAGCTCATGTTTAGTTTTCACCGTTGCCAGGCTACAAACGGTGCCCCAGGCAATTGCGTTAATTAATATTTAGAGCATTTGGTAGATACCAAGCTAATAGAGCCAAACTCTGCTGTTTGCTCCAACTTGTTAAGCTTTTCACATTAAGTTCAAACTTTGTGCTCATGTGCAATTATTAGCCTGAGTAGAGAGTGTCCAAAAGTATAAGTTGATATGCTATATGCTATTTAATTGCCAGTCACACACACACACACACACATTGTCTGCTTAATAAGTGTGTAAGTATGCAAATTTGGTTAACTTATTAACACGTTAGCTTAAGCTAAACGAATAATTGGAAAACAGAATAAGCTGTGACTTGAGGAGTTCACCATTAAGCTTACTTAAAATTGGTAAGCATCTGTGCTGCATTCGGTTTCTTGCCAACTCACAAAGATAATAATGGATTGCGTTGAATAAGTGTGCTTAAGCTGAATTAATTTGTATGCCAACACATAGTCTCCGTGCTGAGTGACACACTATTGTCCATATCAAAACTGGTATCATGTCTTAATCGAAGCAATTAACGAAGCTTGTTAAGTTTCCGAATGAGCCACATTTTTGCTCATAAACGGTTCATGCAACCATGAATGGATGTGCCTGCAACCAAATGTCAATTCTGCACTGTGGTTTTAGTTTCCGTTTTTGGCTTTGACTGTGGCCTGGCTCTCGGAATGGAATTGTGAACAGCGTTGGCAGCCTCTCGGCTCGTATTTTTGTAGAGTTTGATGTGGTCGGGGAAGGTGGTGCAAAAATTCAGAAATCAAATGTCAAATGCAATGCAATAGCTGCTTTTCGATACACTCAAAAAAAAAAAAAGCATTCTAAAAGAATCTTTCGATATATTTTATATTTTTGTTATTTTATATATTTGAAATGAAGATTTTATTAAAACAAACAAAACAATTATTGGTCGTTTTGGGTAATTTTTTTTTAAATCTGGTGCAAATTTCTTAAGTGCTTGACTATTTGGCTATGCTGTGCTTTTCTGCTGCTGCTGCTGCTGCTGGTGCTCTTGCCAATCATTCGCTTGTTTTGCCAACCAGTTGACGACCCATGACCTTTGGCCCCGTGCGTTGGTTGTGGCTGCGCCTGTGTCATGTGCAATTGGTTTTTAATTTAACTAAAATGCGCAGCAAACTGTAAAATTTGAAAAACATCCAACAGTCAGCAAGTCATCGAGTTGTCGTCACAGCTGCTAGCCGAGAACTATGAGCTGAGAGCAGCCACAGCCGCTAACTGTATTTGCTTGGACAAGTTGTCAAGGCGTTTTTAATGGCGTGCCATTCTTTGAAACGCCAACGTAAACGCGACTGGGGCCAACAAGAGCCACATGTCCTTCGTTTGAGCCATTGTCAGGCCGGGCACGCCAATGCGATTGCCTTAACCCATTCTCTAGAGGATGAGCATGTACATATGTTGCATGCGTGTGTGTGAAGCAACAGGCCACGCGCGACACCATAAAAAAGTGAAGGAAAGCAACGCGGACAAACTGGAATAAAAAATAAAAAAAACGCAATGCAACTTCGTACATAATAACATTTATGATGTTTAGATATATGTATGCATATATACGAGTCTATGTGTGTGTGTGTGTGTGTATTTGTTTGCTTGTAAACTTCTAGCCATGGAAATATGAACTGGTCGCGTTTTATGTAACCGTCAGTTAGTGCCGCGCTGCGTCCCTGTTGCAAGTGCCCAGGAGAGTTGCAGCAGCAGCAGCAGCCGGAGCAGCAGTCGGGTTGGTCAGAAAAAGCTGGACACAGTCCACATAATTGACAAAGGAGTCTGCAAATTGCAGGCTGCTACTTTCGCATTGTTAACCGGAAAAGAAATACGCACACACAAATCAGCGTACAATTTGTCAACGCTTTAGTTTTTATGAAGCTGTAAATGCTACAAAGTGCTTCAACCCTTCAGGAAGTGAAAGCTGCTTAAAAGGGCCTCACAAAGCGACAAGAAAAGCCACATTGCAGATAAGTAAGCCTTTAGATGGAGATAGTAGCAGCGTTAGCGGGATTGCTGGTACAGATCTGATTCAGAGAACTAGTTTACTTAGTTGTGCATGTGACCAGCTTAAATGAATATTTTTATTATGAAAATGTGCAATAGAATAATGGGATGATGCTAATGAGTTTTACAACCGATTAAATAATTAAAGTAAGTGCTCTAATTCATTTTGGTTTAATTTATGCTATTAGTGTTAGCACTTTTTTATAGCTGCCACCAACCTGTGCTATTATATTTTTAAACATGAACAAAGCCAGTTATTTTATTCTTGGAAATAGGTTATTGTACACGCAAAAAATAAAATATTTTCATTGTAAATACTACTTCCAGGAATCACAAATAAAGCCGCACGAATGTAATTTTAACCCTTTTCAAGTACGTTAAATTGAACATTGAAAAGCAGAGCAATTCAATATTGTCGACTAGCTTAAATATCAAGCATATGTAAAGTTTTAAAGCATAAATTTGGCTTCCTGCTAAAACGTTGCATTACGAAATTTACATAACTATGTATGTACATACATCAATGTGGGTAACCTGATTACCTTTCATCTCCCTTATGTGGTATACTGTAAAGTGTTGCTTTCAGCTGTAGTTTGGCTGGGAGCAATGTATCAATTTGAAAGTTTTGCGCACACAAGGATCTTTGAGCAGCATTTATCGTTAGCTACTCGAGTGGTTGCCATTACGGCGGGCAAGCGAGTAACTAACCCAACAAGTTGAGGATAAACTCTGTTGCTTGGCTCCTCAGGTGTGCCTCGGAACTTTCTCTATGACAGTTAAGTAGGGCTGTTGCTTGTTGCTTGGTGGGGTTAAAAAGTTCAAAGGGCACACGCTCATGCTAAGAACTGTTAAAGAGAATTCCAGATGCCGCAGCCAATTACATTTTAATACGTCAGTTAAGTTCGCTCTAAAATATGCAAACAATGCCAAAGTCAGAGGGGGATTACAGCAGGGAGAGCTGGGTGGTTGAAGGAGCAGGCGTGACTGAGTGAGCGTGTTAAGCAACTGCTCATTAGCGACGCTTACATGAAGCTATTAATTCAATTATTTACACTGCGACAGCTGACATCGCCACAAACACAAGCGCACACACGGGGCGTATAAGTAATGTCTAATTCCGGGAAACTCTGGCGCAAGGGCGTAACTCTTGTGGCATTGTCTCGCTCTAACGCTGTGATGGGGCTACGCTTAATTATGCGTAATGCACTAAGTGTAGTTGGCGACGCTGCTGTTGCAGATGTGCTGCAAATGTGACACAATTGTTGCCTCCGCATTGCGACTGATTTGCTGTGGCTTGCCGGTTGCATTTATGAGCATTTCATTAGCTGTGCATTCACATTTCATTGAGCACAATTTGTGCTGCATACTTTTTGGCGCTGTGTCAGCATTTGCCAAATGTGCCCATTGAGGTGCGTGAGTGTGTGCCAATGCCCCTGCCTACGTGAGTGTGAGAGTGTCTGTCAGTATGTGTGTGCGTGCGTGTAATTTAATTTGACAAGCATGACATAAAACGAAATGCACAACGTGATGCGCAAAACAATCGAATGTGAGCAGCAGGCACTTCATGAATAGACATATATATATGTATATATATATACATATAAAGTATCGGCAACTTTGCATTTGGGAATCGTGTTGTGTAAAGAAAATAAAAAGATACTAGAAGCAAGAACTCGAGAGTGCTCGAGTAGGCAGATATCCTATATAAAGTAGCTCAAAGCAAGCAAGTTATATATCAAAATCAACAAATTGCATTACATGTTTGAAGCCGTTTGAAGGGTTAATAGTTGTTGGCCAGACAAACTAATCAAAGGCATGGCCATTTTGTGCTTTTCACTTTTGAAGATCCAAGTGCCCCTTGCAAGGACGTTGACGCCCAAAACTGTAAACTGATTATGTGGCTGCCGCTGTTGCTGTGCCCCAAAATAGACACAGAACGCCGTCTGGCAGCAACAGTGGGTTCGCGAGACGTAATCACAAAAATGGTCGAGCAGGGTGAGCAGCAGGTTATAACTTGATTGAGTGCAAGCTTGCTAGACTCAAACGAATATCTTTATAATATTGGCATTTATTCGATTATAACTTCTTTTTTTGTTCGTTTGCAGGAGCAAAATTCAGTTTTAAATCATAAACAACAATTTCGAGATAGATTTTTTTTAGGCGAACCTAAATATGTTTGCAATTTGAATGCCACTGTGCGCTGTTGACTCAAATTAGCTGTTCGAATATGGCGAAGCTGCGGCTAAGGAAGTAGCTATCTATCTGGTTGCGTGCTTGACAGTCTATCTGCCTGTTTGTCGATCTGACAGTTTGAGTGTGGGTGGGTATTGGGGTGATGGTTTTCGTTGGGGGATGATAGAAAAGGGCAAAGGTCGCATGCGTGGCGGGACTTGACGCATTTGATTAGCCTTTAACTGAGATGTCTTGTTACAACATCCGAGGGCTGCAAGTGCCACAATCCACGTGGGCGACTACGCTCACTTAATTGTATTCACTTTTTTGCTATTCGCTTAAGAATATTTTGTGTGCTTTTATTTTGAATCAATTTAAAGCGCCAACTGGCATCTACATCGGCCGGCTACATATGCCTTGTCGTCCTTGTGCCGAGGTCAACACTGCGTACAAGTAACGTCAATTGTGGGCAATTGTCAGGGACGCATTAAACTATCCATGACTACTGATGCAGCTGCCACACCTCCTAGTGGAGTAATGCCAGAGTTGCAACTGTAACGGCAGCTGTTAATTATCATGGACCTGGGTCGGGCTGCTTATTACGTTAATGTCTGGTTGCATATCGCGCATGATTCGTGTCAAGCAGCCAGAAATTGCTACGATAATGCGTGCACATGCCAGGACACGTCCGGCTGTCTTATCAATGCAAAATGTTGCCTACGTGCGCCCGGCCCAACTATAAAATGTGGCCCAGCAGCAGTAGAAGCCGCCGCAGCTCGTAATTGCCAGACAGTTAGCCAGCAGCAAACGACCAACGTCAGCAGCCGAAGGAACAGCATTGTCCTGGCTTATCCGGCATTGGTCCTGCCGTCAGTTAAGCTAATTAAAGTGCACGCAAATTTGAATTATCTGCCGGCTTCTTGTGTGTCCCCATGCGATGCCATCGATATTTCTAGCCAAATGGCCAGCAAATGAAGAAATATCTACAGTATTATCTACGCCGATTTATAAAGAAAAGAATGAGCCTTAAAGACAACAAAACACACATCCTCGTGCATACTTGCTGCTTGCAGACGTGTATATTTATTGGTCGCCTGAATCCAAATATGTTGAGGTTAAATAAATTACGCATACGCAATGTGGCAATTTATGCGGATAACTTACAAGTTAAATCAGCTGCATATGAAGATAAAGCGTGAGTAAATTCACAGATTCGTCTAATCACATCATTCCATTTGGGAATGGAATGCGAATGAAATGACCGAGAAGTAATTTAAATAAATGTATGTGGCATGTGTTAGTTAATCAACTGTGCCACAATTACAAAAAACAAAAATTACTGTCTGCTCGCATTTTCCACGTGTAGCTTATAATCAAGAGCCAATCTGTGCGTCAAGCTCATTTCTCTATTAATAGACTGCATATAAGATATAGAGCTGTTAGACTTAATTATGTTGAAAAGGTATAGCTAGAAAAGGCAAAAAAAATCTGTCAAATGAATGATTTTGTAACTTCAATTTAGTGTTTAAGCTTTTCATTTTCATTTCCATCTTATACGCTACTTATGCGTTTTATGTTTCTTACTTTTCAACACTTTTCTCTGGCGTGCGAACAAACTGCACTTCAAGGCTTTTCATTTAAATTTCCTCTTATTTGCTTTGTCTTCTGGAATATGTTTTTCTTTTTTAAATTTGTATTCATTACCCAAGCTGTTGTCGTATTTTCTCTTTCAACTGTGTTCTTTATCTGCTGTTTATTTATTTGTTTTCATTTTCATTTCGTAGTCAGTTCTAAAATATCAAAACAGAGGCAGAAGACAAAGTCTCAGCCAAAGGCAAATACCGAGCCAAATGCCATTGGTGGTTAACCGGGAATAACTTAAACTGTAGCTCAGTTATTTGTCGTCAGTGCGTCCTCTGTACTGGAGTCCTTTTGTCCTGTGTGAGTTCTTGGCTTTGTCTATTTTTAGTTCTAGTGATTTGTTTTGCCTTCTATTTTGTGTCTCAGTGTCTCAGCTTGTCCTTTGCTCGCCCATGCGCTTTGTTATTTTTGCGGTTTGGCACTTGTAACATGCTAATTTTTGTTTCTTTTTTTTTGTAGGCTCACACAAACCGAAACCCCAGCCAGAAACTGCCAGCTACCAGACATGACCCAAAGTTTAACCCAAAGCCGAAACTGATACCAAACGCTCTTCCGGGCGTTGTCATGTGGCCGGAATGTGGTTAGCCTGTCGTCTACTGCTCTCGGCGTTAAAAGGATTAAAATGCCTGAAATGGACTTGTGGCATTCCCCAGACATATACAATCTAAGGGACTTACCTTCACAAAGTGATAGAACAACACGGCACCCACGGTGGCCAGGGCGAACCAAACGAAGACCGCAAATGTTGAAATGTTGCTGATACTCAGTGCATGCAGCAGATGCGAGCTGACAATTGCCGCAGCCTGACAAAAGAGGAACGGCATAAAGAGGCGCTCAAAGATATCCCATGGAATCTCCGCCGATTTCTGTGGCAGCGCCGAAATCGATCCACGTCGCAATGAGGCACGTCGTGAGGCGCGACGCTAAATTGAAATAGTTTAAGTAAATGGTATATAATTAACAGACAAATTAAAGTTAATAAAATATGGTGAATTAGAAGAACTGAATTTTTTTAAACACTTTTTTCATTCTAAATAATAATAGTGTATAAGATATAAAAGTAATAAAATAATATGGCAGAAAATGATTCAATTTTAAGAAAAATTTTAAATGCGAATTTATTTTTAGAAAAATGACCAAAAATCTTTTTTTTTTATATTGCCAATCTTCCCAACGATTGGCAAAGCTCTCACAAAAATATTTTGGTGGTAAAGCCAATAAATTAACCCACTGACCGCGAATACATTTTGTTGATTTCGTACACAAAAGAATTCATATTTGTTGTTCTGTTCTGTTTTACTTATCAGTTGATTAGTGGAATGTAGTGACAGCTACTTTAGCAGATTTCTTAGCAAAGTGCCAAACACATTTTAATTATTCATTTCATCAATCTGCCGAAAAATCGAAGAGAATATTCTTCTGGCTCTGCGCGATGACAGCAAACAGTCGAATTTGTATTGGCCCCATGTGATGCGATGGGTAATTGTGGTGCGTTTAATCACTTGCAAATATTTGTGTGCACATTATACAAGCAATTGTTGTGGCTCTTTTGTTTGTGTTTGGTTCAATAAACAGTGCGCTTTTATTTAAATTATACAATTTGTTTGCTTCTTTGGCGCGTCATTAATCGCTGAATTATTTGTGGACTATTGTTTACACACAGAATAGTGTCATATATAGACAAAAGTTCTTATTGCTTCTATGTATTTATTTGTTTATTTGCGAAATTATTGCCGTAAATTTTTCGAACTACATAATTGATACTATTTAACTTGTATATTTTTTGGAACTTTAACTGATTTGCTGTTTCATTATTTACGTAATGTTGGGCTTTGTGTAACTAGTTGGTAGTTTCTATAGTTATTTCTGATCAACTTTTCTAAAAAAGTTCTCCTGAAATTGAATTGAATGAAAACAACTATTCTGGGCACGCCGAAGATGAAATTCCCTTGCAGATCATTGTCAACCTGCCGGCAGCTAAATTTGACTATAAATTCAAATACCAAACGAGAAACAAGTATTAAGAAATTGATTTCTATTTTAAATGGATTCAAGTGTTTCTATTCTTAACAAATCCCTATTTTTTAATGTTAATCCGCTAAGAAATATAGCACACATTCTTGGCATAGCAGAAATTTCAGGTAATAAATAAGATTGCAGAGAATTAATTTATTTTCGTTAGACTACACATTCTTTAAATCCAATAAACTTATCCTTTTAAATACATCATTTATAATCTGTTTTTTTTTTTTAAGAATTCAAAATATATAAGCAAATTAATTTAATAAAACCATGGATATTCATTTATAAATTTACCGAAATAAGTTTTCCCTTAACAAAAATCTGCTATTCATGAAAAGTGTAATCTATTTTATTTATTAAGTGTTGGCAACTTTACCTTTGTGTTTGCCACAAATCATTTACAGTTCCCGAAAAAATCGAATACCAACTAATTGCTGTACATGAGAATAGAATACTTAATCCCAAGAACAATATGCTAATAATTTAATTGAATTGAAACGAGATGCAGTGCAAAAGTTTAATTGTATAGGGAAAACCGCAAAAACCGCATATGCACGTCCGGTTAGCATCTATCATGGCCGCACCCACACATTGACATTGACATATAGCAATTACACATGACTTATGTGTACGTTCATACATAAACACACACACACACACACACAGACATATGTAGAATGTGAGTACGCAAGTAGATTGGCCAAAAGGGCCACAGAAACCTGGCCAAAAAGGCAGGCAACATCTATCGCCCATAAATCAACGACTGTGTGAAATAATCAAATGATGGCATCTGCATAAATACGACCAATTGATTTATTTTGCACGAAAATAAACCAATTCTATTGCTATTTTTTTTGGTTTTTTTTTTTGTTGGATGAATTGTAAAATGGTGCCACGGCTATTTTTACACTAGCTAGAAATAAATTGAAAGGAAATCGACGAAATGTTGTTGTTGCGACTTGAATTTACGCCAAATGCGTCGACGTCTATATCGTCATCGTTGCTCTGCCGATTTTTCTGCTTCTTTTTTTTTTGGTTTTCTGCTCTGACCTTGTCACCAATTTTATGTTTTCTTTCATTTTTTTGTAGGCGCAATTTTGGTGCATTTGCTACGATCTGCGATCCATTAATATGAACTGCTAATGAGCTACCCAAAAATCCACTCTCCCTAATTTTTAAACTTTCGTAACATGTGTCAGCTGTGTGACAAGATTTTTAAAAATTCTATGCGTATATTTCAAAACTTTCTAAGCAAATGTTTGACGATTTATATGCTTGATTTGTCTGCTCAGCTGCCAGCAAATTTCTAGTTTCTACTTTTTTTTTTGTATTTATTTTCTGTTTTCTTGTTTTTTTTGTGGATCTATAAAAAAAAGTTGTGTTTGTCGCCGGTCCGGGCGTAATATTAATAAGCTAAAGATTTGAAAATACTTATAGCTCTGCCCCAAAAGAACATTTTGTGTGGGTTTTATTTTTTTTTTTAATAAGCATAGAATTTCTTCCAATGGAATCAAATGGAAATTTCTGGCAAAATACTCAAAAAGAAATCTTGTAGCATTGAAACAATTTAGTAAAGGTCCATTAGAAAACGCTTTACGACTGTACAAATTGCTAAGTGATTATATTATGGATTTCATTATTCCAGTGGAATTTTAATTGGAAATGATCATATTTATGGCATTAATAAACCGTAGAAAAAAAGTATTATTTTGAAAACCATTTAGAATTGTACTTAACCAGCAAGAAGTTCTAATATAAATGATTGCTTGAGAAATAACAGCTGGGAAAAACTATATATATATGCTTATATAAAAAATATGCGTCTACAATATATAGGTACGCACTTTCATTGCACTTGTGCTTCTTGGCAGCTGTTGACCCACTTGGATCTTGGCCATTACGTGAATTTTTGTAATTAATTTTGCATGGCGCGTTGAACCCCTCAAGACTTCCGGATTTTTGTTAACAGAGCGAAACGGCAAACCTTTTGTTAGCCAAAATGGGCGTGGCTACCCAAAAGAGGAAAAGAAAGAAATCAGCCATAAGCTGCTGAATTTGTTTGCCCACGTATTTTTATCTATTGGCATTTCTGGGTTAAGTTAACTGGGCTAAGTGTGGCTACGTTGGCACCGCAATCAATTTGGCTTTTGGCTTAAGCAAACAAACATACACATATATTCATACACACACATATATATATATATATATATGATGTATAGGGCAACTTACCATATTGTTATCGAAGACCTGCATGGCGGCTGCGGCTGCTGCTGATGCGGCTGTTAAAGGAATATGCAAGATATACGCTAGTTTAAATCCCTTACAGGATATTCAATTCCCTCTGGTTCACTCACTTTCACAGCCTTTGCTTATTATATAAAAATTAAATGTGAGCCGCTGGGAACTCGATTCAAAAATATATATTTGTAGAAAATTTTCGAAATTGTTCTTCGCGTTCGGCGTTCGTGGCTGGGCGCTCTGAAACACGACGTGGTACTAAGCGAGGAGCTGACCGGCCGACCGCTGCCTGCAGCTGCCGTCGATGTTGACGTCGCTGCCAGCGTCGGCATCTGTTGTATTTCAAAATGCTGCAATTTACGAAAACCGCTGCGAGATTTGTCGTTTTGATTTTTTAAAAATATACATCGCGCATAGGTATGTGTGTGGAGAAATGCGTGTGTGGATACAGATACATCAACAGCTAGAGATACTTAAATAAATAAATATATATATATATATATATATGTATATGTATATATATATATATAAGTATATGAGTGTATGCATACATATATTTAGATATGTATGCTTGACTTTATTTATTTAAATTTTGTGCCGTTGACGCAGAAGCCACGAATGTGCCGCATTTAAATATGATTATTATTAATAATTTTGCACGGAATACGGGAATATTTATTTACCACAACTTTAGCCTGTATGGCATGCAAATACTTTTATCTAGCTTCATTATTGTAAAATGAATATACACACATAATGTATGTGCTCGCGCTTTTACACACACACATTGTCTGCCAGACAGCAGCTTTAAAAACTCGAAAGTATTAAATATAAAAGTACACGCATTAATATTTATGAGCCTGTGAAAGGGCGCCTTGTTATTGACCCCACTCGTTTTTGGTTTGCTCTAGTGTTCTCTGAAGTTATGTGTGTGTGTGTGTGTGTGTGTGTGAGTGTGTGTGTGTGTGAGTGTGTGTACGTGTTATTCGGTTTGTTCAGTATGCCGTAACTTTCGTTGTTTACATTTTTTTTATTGTTCATTTGCAAATTGCATTTTTGCATTTTATTCAAATGTTCGGTTCAGATGAGAGTATCTGAAAATGGCATAAAATGAAACTAAGAGAAGCACGAGCAGAACATAATAGTACATATTTATACTATTTTAAAGCCCATCAATGTATCATCAGTGCAACATCATCATCCAGTTTTTGTTTACTCTTTCATGTTATTTGTTCAGCAGCTAAGGCATATGCAAATGAATTAAATTTAGAAAACAATTAACTATTATCATCAAAAAACCATTTCTTCAAATCGAAAAGCAATTTAATCCAACTAAAGCAAATATTATCAAAAAGCTCAGCTTGACTTGTAAAATTCTTAGGAAAATAGTTTTATATTATTATAAGCAATTAATTTCAGTGTACAAGTTACATTAAACATGTGTAAGTCTATCATCAGTAAATACTCTTACTTAATTTCTTTTGTTTTCTTGATTTATTTTTTATTTATTTCTTTTAATTTTTTGTTATTTCCTTTATTTTGTACATGAAAGCTTTTGGCAAAGGAATGTGCACATCTGAAACTACATAGTACTAAATAGAGCTATACATTTGTTAATATGTATAGATTTATTTCGGTTTCCATGAATATTTGTTTGATTTATATTAATATATTTATATATATATATATGTGTATATATATATTTTAGCTTTAGGTATATGTAGACGGAATAATATTTGTTTGTGCAACTTGTTGTTTTTGGTGTTCCTGTTTTTCGGCGTTTTTTCTGTTATTGTCAAAGCTGCTGTGTGCGTTGTCTGTCAAATTAACAACAATGTTTTTTTATGGATGTGCTGCTTTAATACATACATATGTATGTTGAGTATATACTTGTTCTTTTTTTGAGTGTGTGTAAGTGTGTGACTATGTCTGATGCATTTTAAAATAGCCCAGCAAATGGTTGACATTTTTTTTTGGAAAGCGGTTTGTTCAGAATCCGATTTTCTGCCGTGCGGACACTTAAAAGATTCGAAAAGTGATTTATGAATGTTGCGCAGCGCCACAAATAAAAACATTTTCAAAGAGCAGTAAACTAACCGTAGACCCATCAATCAGTACTAACAAAATATTAATTGTTAATAATATTGTTACTGTAAGCATTTTAATTACAAATAGCACACATGTCGCAAACACTACAGCATTGAAACAAATAACAAATTTATTACAAAATTGTCGGTCATGGCGCGGAACAAGAAGGGCAAAAATGTTGATTGGGCCGATGACGAGCACTTCTCAAAAGATCGGAGCATTTTCTACATAGAGCACACAACAGAATGCCCCATCTTTCATACGAAAGCTGAAGAGTGCTTAACCTTCTTCCAGCAGCGCATTCCGGAGCGCCAATTCCAATTGGTGCGCAACAGGAATGGCAAACAGGTGCCCCGAGATGGAGCCTTTGAGGTTTGTATTGCACAGAATGCTCGCACTTCCCAGCACGAGCTGTGGTCGGGTCTGAACAGAGGACCGCCCCGACGGGATAAGTTTCCACTGTACGAGGACCTCGTTGCCGATGTGCATCGCGTCCTGAGAAAGTTCTACCCGGACAAGGTTGCGCCTGAGGATGACGAAGAAATTGGAGATTTGTAGCTGGCTCATTAGAATACTGAAAATATGACAATGAAAGCTCATTGTTGAGAAATGAATATTTTTGAAATTTCAATAATCATCATATTTCCATAACAAAGCAGCATGAATATAAAGCTAATGCGTCTTATTGTCATAAAAATAACAAATGCAAAAACTCATATATTTATATATATATATATATGGCACATAAACAACAAAACACATATCAACTCACACCTGTTTGAAAAGTTCTTACACGCAAGTCAACTGATTAGCAGCCGCGCTTTTTCCTATACCCTGTAGAAATTAAAGCAGATATACGTGGCTTATCTGTCACACCGAAAAGAGCTACCCATCTATCTATCTACTATCCGAGATACTTTACTTTCCTCTATCAGATAATCTTTTCCATCTGCTAACTACCAAGTTAACTAACATTCCAAGAGTTTTGCAATACAATTACAATTTAAAATTGTTATTATTAGTGGTCTGTAAGAATTAGTAGGGTATTTTGTTATCCAGCAAAGTGCTCCTTATTTTGCATGTCACTGATATTACCTGACAGCTGCCGTCCTTTTGTCGCCACTTTGACAGCACTAAACGCTAAATTCAAGTCAGATAATTAGCACACATACAATATAAATGGAATATAAAAATAAACACAATTGTGATAAGTGGGCCGTGGCGTCGTCCCATTGTCTGGGAGCAGCACGGCGAGATTCACCGCACTCTTCCCGCTTCACTGTTGACAAACCTAAATAACCAAATGCAATTTCAATGTACACAACAATCGGCAAAAATCTATAAAAACTATTTGATTTGATAACAAAATGACAGGAGAAAAATATAACCTACATCGATAGCAAATAAATTAAAAAGTTGCAGTACAGTGGTAACAATGGCTATTTTATTACTTTTCTATCTAGGCTGAATTTCCACTTTTCCAAATTGTCGAGTTAGTTAAGTGACTCATCAGATTATATATTCGCTATGCTTACAATCGATATAAACTAGAACTAAGATCACATTTATAATCTGTCCATGTTCCTACAGATACTTATATAAATCCCATTCCAATATCCTCATTATTTCGTTAAGCCCCGGTGATTGCCTTGCATAGCTAACATAAGTCGTAGTCAGATCAGATGAGATACCTATATTCATATGCATACTTTGTACATTCAAATCTATTCAATTTTATACCATTGTTGGGTGCTAGGGGGCGTTGTGTAAAGGCCACCAAGCCATAAAAATCCAATGCGCACAACCAAACCAAATTACAATGTTGCAACAAGAATAATAACAAGAACAACGAAAACCAAAAGTTCAGATGCCAGCCACTGTTTGCATGCAGCATAGCGAGGCACTGAACAAAGGGGTGGTGCAAGGGGTGGTTGCAAGGGGTTGCGCATGTCCGTGGCCCAAAGGGTTTCTGTGTTCCATTTGTGCCGGCGCAACATTTTAACAATAACATTTGCTACCGAACTTGCACGGAACGTGGAGTTGACATTGCATTGAAGTGGCAACAACAACATTAACTAGCAACAGCATGTACATTATAAGTTGCATAGTGTTGTTGTTTGACCCGTTCGCCTGATTTTGATGTGGATGTTTTTTGGGGTGTCACTTGCCGTATCAACATGCAAATTAGGCTGGCGGCTGGCAAGTGCAGATGGCTTTTTGATTGGCAGTTGGCAGTTGGCTGTCTGCTCTTGGCTGTGCCAAATTTGGTCAAAATAATGTCAGGCAGCTGCCTAGGCTAATTTAAATATGTGTAAGTACAACGTCATGTACATGTACAGAACAGATAACTAACAAGTTAGAGTTCCGCCAAGTTTTCAGATCTGGTCAATAATCTGTTAATCGACTTCAGCAACGTCTAGATTACATGCCAACCAAAATCCAGCTGAAGACAAAAATGCAAACATATTTTGCAACGAGCGTGGAGCGCATGAACCGACAAGAGCGTCGCACATCATTAATATTAATAAAGGCTCTAAATAAATTGCCAGCGCTTCCAGCCAAAAATAACAGCCAGCCGCATATTTCAGCTGATGGAAAGTAAATGAGAATAGACGAACTATGGGAAAAAGTGGCGAAAAATTAATGACGCATTCTTAGAGAATCTGTTCACCTTATGTTAAATTTGATTTGAAATTTTACTTTCGTCACACTTACTAAGAATGAAATTATAAATATTTATGGTATGTCTAGTCATTTCAGTAGTTATGAAAAGTAATGAAAACTTCTCATTGTGCGACGTTGTTGCTGCCAGTGCCCACTGTCTCATACGCTTTTTTTCAGTTTCACAGACAGATACATCGCTGACGCGAAGACATTCGAAGACGCCACATAAGAAAAAAAGGCCAAAGAGGCCAACAAACGCGGCGAGTGATTTCAACACATTTAATGTGGCAGTCCCACAAAGAGATGTCAGCATTCTGCTGCCCACGGATTGCAATATATTTGGTATATTGTTGATGCTGAAATTATGCCAAAGCATCAGCAAGGAAACGTAAATAGATTGTGAGAAAAACAACAATCTCAGGGGAAAATGGGTTAATGTCCAGTGCGCTGAATGGCCATGGATTTCTGGCTCAAGTCGCCACAGTTGCACTGCATGTGTCAGTTGTCAAACGCAAATCGAAGGCGAAATTTTCCCTTGTGCATTTGCAGAAAGGGCATTGCAGGATCTTTGCCAAAAGCAGCGTCAAACTGCAAAGTAACGAAATTTTCGTATGGAAACAGACCGCAACATTTTGCATTAGTTCGCTTTCAGCTCTGACCAGATTTATTTTTAGTTTTCATCGATTCGGATTTGAGGCAAGCTGCGGATGAAACTACAAGTAAAACTGTGGACGTGCTTTTTACAATTCCTGCCAAGTAATCAATTATTGTTTAGCAATTTCATTAGGACTTGTAACGAAATGGTTTCAATATCGAAACTACATATATATATATATATGACTAGAAATACCCTTCCCAAATTTATAACCTCAGAGTCTAAAAATGTCAAATGGCTTGGAGCTTTGCATGCTCTAAACACGGTCAGAAGCACGGACGCAGCTGATGGTCAGTCAATTCCAGTCAATTGTGTAAGTTCATAAAATCGAAAAATGTGGCGTAACTTGACCATTTCATGGGTTACCCGTATGTCTTTTTGACCACAGAGAGTCATGGGGAGGCAGATTTTAAGACTACTTTATTACTACTTTAAGACAACTAAAAACGAATTCCATTCTTCAGCCAAAATATCGAAATTTTTAAATGGCTCGGCAATATTCTTTCGAATCCTGGCAAGTGCTGTGTCAAACATTTTCTTTTGAGCAAGGCTATGAATTGGCCAAAGGACATTCAAATCGTCACTTTTTTTCCCCAGAAACTGAAATGATTTAATTTTGACTCATTTTCACTCGGTCTGCGAGAGAAACTTAGTCACGTGGATTCGTTGATGACCCCATTATTTTAATTGAGTTGGTCCTTGTAATTCTAGCGTACCATGTCCTTCCAATTTGCAAATAATTTGACCGAGTTTGAAGCATTTTAATTGTCTCATGACCCTAAAAGTATGTTTGTAATTGAAAGATAATTTAGCCAATGCTTCAACCTAATTGGTGTCTGGTGGGTGCACATGCTATTCAAAACATCAACATGTTAAAAAAAATCAATATAAAATAACCCTATTTCCGACAAGTTAGAAGAAAAAAGTCAGCTATTAGTGCACAAAGTGTTTTTTTTTTTGGTTTGTAGTTTGTTTTGTGTGTAATTGTTTGAGCACAAGACATTCACTTAAATCAATTGTAAAGCATTTCTTTGAAGCTATTGTTTTGCACCCACGCCAGACTCGGATAATTGGCATATGCGCCCAGGATCTCAGGAGCTTGCACATTGAGTGGGTACATGTGTGTTGCTCAGTGCAATAAATGTCAGCAGTTGCCACTTTGACATTTGTTGTATCGCATCCCTTAAAGTGAACTGCAGAGGAGGCCTCTTGAACAACATGTGGCTATTGTCCCAATTTCATTAAATTGCATTGGTTTGCAAAGGTCAACCAAGTATGTGGGAAAAACATGAAAAACCCGTAATTGTTCCTAAGCTTTGTTCAGCAAATAGGATAGTAGTTATAACGGATGCGACCACACCGTTAAGCACAGGATATGAGCTATGACTATTCTGAATTTTATTTACATGCCCATCATAAAATACAGAAACAGTGGCCCATAAACTTCCCAGATGGGAACTGATTTCCAGGAAACGCGACTGGGCAGGGAGACATTCAGATAAATAGAAAGTCAGCCAATAAGTATCAAAAGGGCAGGCAATTAAACATGAAATACAAGGCTGACAAAGAAAAACAAAATATAATTTTCGCGTATACTCTGGGGTGCAATGGGGGACCACGCAGTTTACTAGTTATGCCTCGTACGGACTGTCGGGGCCAAAAACCAACAACAGTTGACTTAAGACACACCCACAGCCCACGCGCACGTCCAAGCCCACTTTTACTGCCAGCTGGTTTATTATTTTTCGCATGAAATTAGTTTTTGGCCAGCGCTAATTAAAATTTATGATACCTGTTTATTTACAAAATATTTACGCGAATTCCCAAAGAACCAAAAACCACAACTGTTGTTTCGGCAAGCGGTCAAAAGGCGCCTGACGCTATTCCTTTAAGGATCAAAATTAACAATACGGTGCAAATTCCGCTTAATGTGGTCATAAAATATACTATACTTTGCTTTACAATATTTGAACTAATTCATGGTTATTACTTATGACTTGAGCATCTTTCGTAGTTGTTGGGTTATATTTTGCTTTAATTATTATCATTATGGGCAATTTTAATAGCAGTTCTCATTGATTGGATTTGTTTTCTGAATGTGTAGGAGAGATTTATGTTGCAAATTTATTTGGTACTTTAATAATTTCTCCTAGTCTCTTTTTATGTATCACTTTTCGCTCTCCCTTGAGGGTCTAATTAGCAGCAGGCCAAAATACTTACGCTTATACTAAATTTATTATTTTGAGGAGACTCAATGGAAAACTGTAAATACGCAAAATTCAAAGGAATACTTACTCATACTATATGTGCATACTGGCAGAGAATATTTAACCATAAAATCATTTGCAAATGAGTGATGAAGGGCTCGTT